AATAGTTTGAATTTCAGTCTGAACCTTTACACATCATGGTGCCGTGACCCGGGAACGAACCTGTCGATTTTGAATTTGGAATTAGCATGGGCTAAGTAAATATTTTGAGCGATCATGGAGGATAGCCTAAAGAAAAAGGTAAGGAAACGAAGCGGACATAAGCTTTTCGTTAAAAATGTGTTGTCTAGTTACGGAGATTTTTTACCCGAAGAAGGACGGGATTTATCTGGATTATCTAAGAACAAACTTGAATCGTATCGACGGACACTGAATAAACAGAAGTTAGAATTGGATACTTTGAACAACGAAATTTTTGATCTTTTACCGGAGGAAGCAGTCGAAAAGGAGACGCAGGAGAAATTGGAGTTTGAGAGTGAAATTGAAGACGCCTTGTGCATCATAGAAGGAGCAATTGGAAGTTTCAGTTTAAAAGATGGTCAATCTATTGGAAACGAAAACTTTAATACCTCGTCGGCCTCCAGTGCGGAAACAACAGGAGCGTTTAAACAGCAAGCAAAGTTGCAGAAACTCTCGATGCCAACATTTGACGGCAAGGTCGAAAATTGGCCTTCCTTTTATGACATTTTTGAATCGGCAGTACATTGCGACCCTCATTTGTCGAATGTTACTAAATTTCAATACCTGCAGTCTTTATTGAAAGGTGTAGCAAAAGAAGCGATTGCCGGTCTAAAAGTCACGAATGCAAATTATGAAAGCGCCTTGCAAATTTTGAAGGAGAGATTTGGACAAAAACAAATTTTGATCTCTACACACGTTACGACGTTGGTTTCGCTGTCCCCTGTTGAAAGTTGTAGCGATTTAAAAAACTTGCGAACCCTTTACGATAAAACAGAGTCAGTTGTTCGCAGTCTTGATGGCTTGGGGATAACCGAGGAAAATTACGGAACATTTTTGACCCCTGTATTGTTGGGAAAATTACCGAACGAACTTAAGATCACAATTAGCCGACGGTTAGGAAACGGAAATTGGGATTTAAAGCGCTTGTTAGATACCTTCAAGGAAGAACTGATGATAAGAGAAAATTGCTTTCTAATGCCGAATGATGGCAGGAAAAGGTTACCTAGAGTTTCGCCTTACAGAGAACGGGAAGAAAGGCAACCAACTGTATCCACGCTTTACACGTCAGGCAATCGTGTTGCCAAACCAAATTGCGTATTCTGCAAAGGTGACCATCCGTCGCAGAAGTGTCAAACCGTCACGAAGCCCTCGACAAGAAGAAGAATTTTGATGCAAAATGGAAGATGCTTCATGTGTTTCAAAACTGGGCATATTGCAGTTAATTGTTTGTCGAATATAAAGTGCTATACTTGTGGTGGAAAACATCATGTCACTATTTGCAGTGCCGAGAAAAGCCCAACAAAAGGAGGACCAGTTGCTGTCGAAAAACGAAGAGAAATTCCACCACCGGTGGTGGGTGATATGCAGTATCAACCAAGTGAACATAGCGTACATCTTGAACAAGGTATGAGTCAAAATATTCTCTTGCAAACCGCTAGAGCAAAAGTAAGTTCTCCGCAAAATGAAAACACAACTGCTAATGTTAGAATTCTTTTAGATTCAGGAGCCCAAAGAACATATATTAGCTACAGACTTCGGGATAAATTAGCACTCCCTACAATTGCTAAAGAAAGTGTCTTTATTAAGTGGTTATCTAGGTTTTTTCACTTTAAAATAAGTTTTTCAAATATTTTGAGCTTTAGGTTGCAGAAGGTCTAAAAACTATTGGACTTTACCCTCACACTTACAGTTCGCCATTTTTTACTTTTATTTGGCTACAAAATCACTTTTTCTATAGGTACATCAAAGTAAATTTCCTTAGCAACCTTGTTATTTTTGGTTGCTATGGGGGTTTTTTTACTGTTGAGCCCCGAATTTTCGTTTTTAACCACGCAAATTTTGTCCTCCCATTTATTGAACTGAATTAAATTGGTGTTCTGTAATAGCTTTTACATGAAGTAGCAGGGAATATTTGGAGAGAGCTGAGGTGGCATGAAAACTTGTAGAATCGGTCGACAAATTAGAATGAAGATATAAATTTAATATTACCGATATTATTAAGTATGGTTGGAAGTAAAATACATCGAAGTACCGTGAAGAGCGAAGAACATTTACTGGAAATAGAAAGCAGAAATAATCAAGGAAGAAGAAGATGAGAGCAGGGATGAAACTAGGACATTTGACGTAGGCCCATCCACTTCGACCCCAGATAAACACTTGAGAAAGTAAACCGATATTCCAAAAGATCTCAAGACATTGTCCAATTCTTGAAAAAGATTAAAGCAAAGTTATAACAAGAAAAAGAGCAAGATCACTTGGATTAGAGTCTGTAACAATTAATAAAACCAAAGTTTGTTTCTGAACAATAATGTCATCAAGACGCACATGGCTTTAATCTCACAAGAGTCAATAAGTTACAGCATATGCTATCTCAAACTGCAATCTTTGGATCTTGTAAAAGCTCCAAAGGCAAGCTTATTATGTTAAAAGTTGATGGCAAGCAAGTTGGTTTGGATGAACCCCTTGTCCTTAAATGTACCAATCCATTGCCAAGGTAGTACTCTTTTTCATACAAGCCCAAGAATGTAAAATGCCATTTGAAAATCATCGAAAGTAAATGTCAGGTGTGTTTAAGCTGGTATTGAGACTGGTCTTTGGCTGACAAATATGCTAAAGCTTTGCACTGCTTTTAACCTTCCATTTCCACTTCCTCGTGCAACATATAATGACTTGGAGAAAAAGTGTGAGTGTTGTTGTTACTCAAATGAGGCTGATGCTTCACACCAAAAGGCGACACTTAATCTCAAGAACATTATAAAGAATAAAGCAAAAATAAAAAAGGACAAGATTACATGGCTGGTAGATTCAGCATCCACAATGTTCTCTAGACTGTCTTTACGAAAACAGAAAACAGAAAGAAGACCCAAAAGAACAAAATGAGGTCAACTGATGATAATGGCATTACATTTGTCAATTTGTCAATGAACACAATATACCTCTGGTTGTGGAACATTACAAAAAAGAATCAAATAGTAGGACAGCCTGTTTTAATTTGTCCTCTGAGAAAGGAGGCACAATCTGATGCATACTGGCTATGATAAAAAGTTCTTTTCTGTCATTATGATAACATTTGTTGTAAAAAAGTTGTTTATAAACTTTCAAAGCCATTTTCGAATATTAGCCACCTTTGACTTTAAGAAAGGATATCTCTAAAACTATGTGAGATATTTAGCTCAAACTTTTTGTGATACATTATTTTCAGGTTGTTTTTAGAATAAGCAGATAGAATTTTGATATCACTTGTAATCCATAATTTACCTGGAAAAAGGGCTATTTTGGGGTTTCCATGGCAACCATTGCCTGGAGGAGAAATCCCTCTGCTCATTCAAGTAACATCAACTTGGCAAGTTGTTTGGTATCTTTATGGTTAAATTACATCAAACTGTTTGTCTCAAATCTTTTCTCAAAGTGAAAATAGTGTTCCGACAAAGTGGTCTGTAAAATACAGACCGGTCGAATGATTTGAATTTTTTTTTGGAAAATTTCTTTCCAAGTTATAAATAAATATTTTTTGTAAGTTTCAGATCTGTGAGTCCTGTCATTGTTGAAATAATTACATTTATGTCTAGGAGACATGATTTGTGATCAAAACCTAGATAACCCCCTTTATTAAAACGTTTGGAAGGGAAGACGCCCATCACACAATTTGTGATGTCGTTCAACTATGCGTAGAATGTACTGATGGTTTAAACTTATTTTTGAACGCTTATGCAGTACCAATTGTGTGTAGTCCGCTTGCAAATCAACCAATCGGACATGCTAAATCTCATTTTCCGCATATACGTAACTTGCCTTTGGCTGATTATGCAACTGGTAATGAAGATTTATGTATTGACATTCTTTTGGGTTCTGATTATTATTGGTCGTGTGTATTAGGCCATGTCGTACGGGGGGAGAATAACATGGGACCTACTGCTATGCTTACTCGGTTTGGCTATGTTTTGAGTGGACCCGTTAATGTTCCCATTCATGGCGGTAACACTTATTCGTATCATACATCTACGCATGTTATGAAGGTTTTACACGAACCTTGTAAGGATGAAGATTTGAAACATGATCTAAAAATGTTTTGGGACTATGAAACTCTTGGAATAAAAGAGAATGAACCTTCCGTTTACGATGAATTTTTGAACAATGTTGAGTTTTTAAACGATCGCTATGAAGTCTCTTTACCTTTGAAAGAAGACCATAAAATAATTCCAGACAATTACTCTGTTAGCGAAAAGAGATTGTTTTCTCTTTTAAACAAATTGAAGAATCATCCTGAAGTATTGAATGAGTATGACAAAATTATTTCGGATCAATTGAAAAATGGCATAATTGAAAGAGTCGATCCGACTGTTAACTTTGATGTTGGAAAAACGCATTATCTTCCCCATAGAGCAGTTGTAAGGGAGGATAAAACAACAACACGTGTACGTATTGTTTACGACGCTTCTTCTAAGTTGCCTGGTGAAACAAGCTTGAATGAATGCCTTTATACAGGACCAGCGCTTACTCCGTTAATTTTTGACATTTTATTGCGTTTTCGCTTTAAACCTATCGTCTTGATGGCAGACATGGAAAAAGCATTTTTGAATGTTAGTATCAAACCTGATGAACGCGACTTTCTGAGATTTCTTTGGGTCAATGATATTTCTGACAGTGACAAACTCGAGATCGTTTGTTTTCGGTTCACAAGATTGGTTTTTGGCCTCGTCAGTTCACCTTTTGTTTTGAATGCTACTATCAGAGCTCATTTGGCCAAATATGCCCAAAGCAATGAAAAATTTGTACGAAATGTCTTGAATTGCTTATACGTGGACTATTTTATCTCCACCTTCTCTTCTAAGACGGAAGCCTTGGAGTCTTACAAGGAACTGAAACTCTGTTTCAAAAGGGGAGGTTTCAATTTAAGAAAGTGGGAATCTAATTGTTGTGAATTGGCTGATGAAATTGCAAAGATCGAATCAAATAATTTCGAAGCAAATAATGTATTAAAGGAAAGGAAAATTGAAGAAGAAGATGAAAGTTTTTCGAAGTCTTCATTTAAGAACGAAGATATAGAGAATAATGCTAAAATCTTAGGCTTGGCATGGGACAAAACGTCCGACAGAATTTGGTTTGATTTCTCAAAAATCTTTTCAAATGATTGCCAATTCGTAACGAAACGTGAAATTCTGAGTTCAACGGCTAAGATATATGACCCACTTGGTTTACTTTCGCCAATTGTGGTTCCTTTAAAGTTACTCTTTCAAGAACTTGGCAAGAAAAAGGTAAATTGGGACACAAAACTTTCTGAGGAGATTTCTACAAACAACTATTTGAAATTAAGAGCAGTTTGATGCTAAAATCGAGCTAAATATAAAAAACAAGGTTGCAACTCCACTGTAACTTTTATAAAAATGTGGGTGATAATAGAAGAATTTTTATCAATTTATTCACATAATTTATTTCAGATGAAGGCTTGCTTCGTGCAACCAACTGGATTTGCATCTGATGGCAGGAATTTGTCGAATGTTGCTAACAGGCACCAAGAATCAAAAAGTCACATGACATGTCACGCTTCGTAGAAGCTTTTAGGGAATGTGGATGTGGCCAGTGCACTTGATGAAGCAAGACAGAGAGAAATTCTGAGACATAATGAAAATGCATCAAGATATTCAAAGATGATGAAGCACCATATTGATGTTGCAGTCTACTTGTCTGCCCAAGGACTCGCTTTCCGGGGGCATTCTGAAGACAAATTCTCTCCAAACAGGGGAAATTTCATTGAATTGATGGACTTGTTAGGGAACTACAGTCAAGAGTTGCGAGTTTTCCTAGACAAGGAACGGATAAGTTACACCTCCCACGACCCACAAAACGAATTGATCAAATGCATTTTCCAAGAAGTCCAGAATGAAATTCGAAATCGAGTAAGTGCTTCCAGATGTTTATCCGTAATGATGGATGACACCAGTGACTTGAGCAACACGGAGCAGTCGGCTGTTTCAGTGAGACTTATTCATGATGGGAATGTCGAAGAACATTTGCTTGGCCTCACAGATGCATCTGACGATCAATCTGCTGATGGGCTTACAAAGATCATGATAAAAATATTAGGGAGCTACAATGTTACTCCTGAGACAGGAAAGAGAAAGCTGATTGGACAATCATATGATGGTGCGGCGACAATGAGTGGCGAGCTCAATGGTGTGCAAAAGAGAATGCGAGATTACTTTCCACTTGCCTACTACAACCATTGCGTTGCACACAGGATGTCACTTTGTGCGTCGCAGTCATCGATGAAAATCCCAGAAGTGGCTAAATTCTTTGGAATATTAGACAAGCTGATAACGTTTTTCCGAAGCAGTCCCAAGCGAACGCGATACCTTGGATATAATCTTCCAAAGCCTGGTGATACAAGGTGGCTTTCTCGAGACACGGCCATTACTGCAATCGATTCGTGCTACGAGACAATCGGCACAGTCTTATACCAGATGTCTTCGAATGGGAGAGAGAAAGTCGACACCCAAACGACAGCCAGAGGTCTTCTTGCCAACATCCAAAATGTTGACTTTCTATGTTTACTGAAGTTGTACAGGAAGATCTTTGAGCATTGCACGCCAATTATCACCGTTATGCAGAAGCCAACATTGGATGCTGTTCAGCTGAGATCTATGCTCGACGACTTCCAACGTTTTCTTGCTGCACTAAGCTTTGAAGACATTTGGCAAATTACACTCGATGCGGACCCAAGTTCCCCGTAGAACGAGCCAGAGCAGGATGGAGAGGAAGGGAAACGCACAATAATGGATCCGAAGATGCTTGGAAAGAGAAGCTGTCGATTGTGGCATCAAAAGTATGCATCGAGTTTTCAGGGCAGATTTCATGGAGATTCGAGAACCTCAAAAAATTCAAGTGGATGGATCTGATTCACCCCGCCAAGTTTGCAGAGAATGTCAAAAGGCCTCCTAATGAGATAAAAGAGCTCATCAGAGAATTCGGAGATTTGTACCCATTTGCCGTTCATGACATAAATTCGTTCATGACACAATTTGGAAGTTTTATACAATAACCATGAGATCTCGCTGCTTCTTCGTAAATGTGCGAACGAAAGGAACAGAGCCATGAAGCAAAGGAGAGCAAGGCACAGAAGTAATAAAGCAAGCCATCGCGAGGAAAGTAGCTCTGGTGACCAGGTGATGGAAGAGGTGATAGACGTGGAAGAAATTGACGAATTTGAAATTAGAGAAAGTACGGGTCTTGAGGGAGACATTGCACACGGAGAAACATTGAGTATGCAAGACCTGCTCACTGTAATACATAGCACGGACCTTGCTGATGCTCTTCCGCAGGCAATGGTTCTCCTGGAAGTTGCAGCAGTGACCCCACTCACAAGCGTACACTGCGAAAGAGTGTTCAGCCGTATGAAAAGAGTGATTTCAGAATCGAGATCAAGAATGCTGCAAGAAAGAAAGGAACACCTTGTTTTCTTACAAGTTGAGCATGGTACATTGCGATCATTGGCAAAACAACCAACATTTTATCACAATGTTGTTAGCAGGTTCAGAGAGAGCAATCAGCGACGGCTCGAACGATTTTCAAGAAAATAACTGCAATTTTTTTCATAGATGTGCTTGAAAAAATGATCAATTTGCGATACACGTTTGTTGTAAAAATAAAATAAAAACAACAATAATGTTTGAGCTTAGACGAAATGTTTTCTTTTTTTCAAAATATTTCGTATCTTAATAGAAATTTTTGTGGATTTTTCAGAAACGAGCGTAGTTTTGGAAAATAGACCATCATTTAGGAGCAGTGATAACTTTATATCTGTATCCCTCTTGTAAAGGATGGGCGTTTCCGCCCTTTTAAAGGGCGTGGCCCCCGGACCCACGTTGTTCACTCGCTTCGCTCGCGATTAATAGCAATTTATTATTGCTCCCCGCCGCCCCTGGATCAGTAACTGATGTTAACAAGGATGAAATTGACCATGTCGAGCTACATGGGTTTAGTGACGCCAGTAGCATTGCTTTTGGGGCTGCAGTTTATATACGTGTTGTCAAGAAATCTGGCAAAATATCTGTTGATTTGGTGGCTGCAAAAACAAGGCTTGTGCCCTTAAAATCTGACACAATACCACGTTTGGAATTGATGGCAGCACTCGTACTATCGCGGCTAATTAAATCTGTGAAAGAAGCCTTGAAGCCGGTGATAGAAGTTGATAAAATATTTTGTTGGGTAGATTCCCAAATTGTTTTGTGGTGGATTTTCAGTCGCGAAAAGGAATATAAACCTTTCGTTCAAAACCGAGTTTTAGAAATTAGAAAACATGTTCCTCCTTCATGCTGGAACTTTTGTCCAACTGATCTTAATCCTGCGGACCTAGCCTCTAGAGGCTGTAAAATGTCACAGATCTCAGGCTCTGAAATTTGGTGGTTTGGACCCACCTTTTTGGCAAAATCAGAAAACTATTGGCCGGCCGTTTTGAACTTTGAAACAAAAACTAAAATTCCGGAGGACGTTTCGTTTGAACTTAATCGTGAAACTAAATCTAATCCTCGGAAGGATTTTAGTGACGTATTTGTGGGAGTGTCCACAGCATCGAATTATGCGCTTGAAAATGTCATTAAAGCAGAATACTTCAGTGACGAAAATCGACTATTTCGCGTCTCTGCTTACGTTTTTCGTTTCGTGGGAAATTTGAAACGGCGTTTATTAAAGGAAGATATAGAAACGAATGATCTAACAGTGGAAGAAGTGGAAAATGCGCGAATATCATGGCTCCGCGTGATCCAATCTCATTTATCTTCGGAGCGAAACTTTGATAAAAATTTAGTCTATTTGCGCGTCTATGAGGATGAAAATGGTTTGCTACGATGTAGAGGTAGAATTCAAGAAGCTAACTTGTCAACTCAATCTAAATTTCCGATACTGTTACCCCGAAATCATTATATTACGAAGTTACTTGTAATGCAAGCGCATGAAAACGTGAAACATAACGGAACTGCCGAAACTTTGACCGATCTGCGTAGTTCATTTTGGATTATACGTGGCAGACAACTTGTAAGAAATCTTATTTCAAAATGTACCATCTGTAATCGTTTCGAAGGACGTGCTTATAACTCTCCACCGGCCGCTCCTTTACCGAGTTATCGCGTGACTGAAGACTCTGCATTCTCAAATATCGGAGTTGACTTCGCTGGACCCGTTTATATAAAAAACATATACGGTTGTGAAAAGGGAATGAACAAGGCCTATATAGCGTTATTTACATGTACTGTTTCACGAGCGTTGCACCTTGAATTGTGTACTGATTTATCTGCACCAGCATTTTTACGCTGTTTTAAACGCTTCCAAGGGAGACGAGGCGTTCCGAAACTTGTTGTGTCCGATAATGGCAGCACATTTCGCGACAAAACTGTTCAACGACATGCATTAGCAAGAAAAATAAAGTGGAAATTTAATGTTCCCGCGCGAGTTTTTGGGGCGGATTCTTTGAAGTAATGGTGAGACTGGTAAAACGTTGTTTACGGAAAATTGTCGGAAATGCTCGCTTAAACTACGAAGAACTAGAGACAATTTTGATAGAAATCGAAAGTGTTGTCAATTCACGTCCTTTGACGTACGTCAGCGGTGATTTCGCTGGAGAACCATTAACTCTGTCGTCCCTCGTTATAGGGCGAAGACTTATCGATACTCCGAATGTTGAAACGTATGCTGAATATGATTCGTCAAAAACAAAACTGACACACCGCCAATCGCATCTTAAATCGTTATTGAAGCATTTTTGGAAACGTTGGTCAAGCGAGTACTTGCTAACTTTGCGAGAATTTCACAAAAACAAGGGAAAAACCGGAGCGAGAATCGTAGCTGTTGGCGATGTTGTTATTTTGAACGACAAAGTTAAACGACAACAATGGAAACTTGGGAAAATTTTAAAGGTTTATCCTGGAAAAGATAATATTGTTCGCGCAGCTGATGTAAAAACGACAGATTCAGCTGGAAGATCTATTATTTTGAAAAGATCAATTACTCATTTATATCCACTGGAAGTACGAGAGGATTCGGAAAAAGATTACGGTATCGCTGCTGCTGCGGAGCCTGCAGTGTCTGATGTGTTTCATGTACCGATTCGATTTATTGCGGATGAAGAAGCTGAAGAGCTGATAAATTAAACACTTTGGTTAAATATATGATTGACCTCCCTCAATCAGGGGGGAGGATGATTTGAATACGAGGCTAACCTCGAGCTTGACTTACTAACTACATTTATAAACGATAACGTTGTTGAATCTCTTGCATGATTTTGTGCTTTTAGTTTTTAGCTGATGTAACGAGGCGTATTTCTATACTATTGTTTTAATTTGTGTAGTTAATTAGGTTACTTCGCGTATCGTGGTATTAGGTTTAATCTCATTAGGAACGCTTTTATGTGAATTAGCGTTTAGATATTGCGAGGTTTTTTGAATTGAACGTCGTTATGTTAGGACGTATTTTTGGACATGAACGAAGGATTTTGATGTTCATGATTGCGCTTATAAATAAAGACGTATCGGAATGATGCAAATAAATATTATCCTGGTATTTCATAATAGTTTGAATTTCAGTCTGAACCTTTACACATCAAGGATATTTGGGGGTACATGTAGAAAATATATTTAATGCGAGTTTTAGATAAAATTTGTACCAAGAACGGGATATTTCGAATTGAGAATGGAAAGAGAGGCTAAATTTGGATTTTTGATAGGATCTTTGGGGGTACATGTAGGAAATTATAAATAATGCAAGTGTTACGGTACGAAGATCGAACTTCTATCACGTGCTGGTCCACGTGGGTATCAGCGTGAACATCGTTTTATCAACTTTTATGCTTTTTAACTATTGTTCTGTTCTAGTATCTAATTGGCTGTTATCATGTTCTGTTTTGTTATTGGCTAGCTGTATTTTAGAAAGGGTATAAAGTAGCTTGCTTGTTTTAGAGTAGGAGGCTTTTCACTGTGGGCGTTACCGCCTTGCCAAAACAATCGTGGCCGCCGTTTCCCGATGAAAGTCGAAGCGTGTGTCGCTTGAAAGACGTCGCTGTTGTCCTGTTGCCATTCGAAGTGTTTAGTTCAAAGACGCCACAAGTCGCCAATACTAAAGCAAGCAAGCTAAAGGTCGTGAGTGCTTTGTTTTCATTGTTATTCTTAGCTTTTCTACATTCTTTATATTAAACATTTGAGACTGATTGCCTATGGAGTTATTCGTTGACTCACAAACTGTTAGACTTAGAGGCGTAGTCTAATACAAGTTTCAGATAACTCATAGGATCTTAGGGGGTACATATAGAAAATATATTTACTGCGAAATCAACATGGCCTCGTACCTGAGAATAACACACGGTGTTAATTGTCAATTGTGTCTGAAAATTACACTGAGTGGTATTTTCACATTCTGAGGCTGCTGCTTACATGGGGCTAAGTGGGTACGGCCGCAGAATAATTGGACCGCCATTGCAACGCCTACTTTTGTAGGCCTACACTGAATGGCCTACTGGAAGGAAAATTTGCCATAGTTTGGATAAAGTAAATTAACATCTTGTCATCCAATTGGAATGAATTGTTGGGTAAAATGGGAATAACAGTGTTAAATTTTATTCCATATGGTCCAGGACATCAGAATAATTGGACGGCCATTGTAACGCCTAATGAAAGTCCTGCTGAAGGGAAGATTTGCAATAGTTTAGATAAAGTAAATTAACATCTTGTCAGCCAATTGGAATGAATTATTGTGTAAAATGGGAATAACAGTGTTAAATTTTATTCCATATAGTCCAGGACATTTACGCATTGCCTCAGCGACAATTGTCGAAACTGTGAATACCTGAGGACCAGAATAATTGGACGGTCATTGTAACGCCTACTGAAAGGCCTGCTGAAGATTGGCAGTAGTTTTGGATAAAGTAAATTAACATCTTGCCAGCCAATTGGAATGAATTGTTGGGTAAAATGGGAATAACAGTGTTAAATTTTATTCCATATGGTCCAGGACATCAGAATAATTGGACGGCCATTGTAACGCCTAATGAAAGTCCTGCTGAAGGGAAGATTTGCAATAGTTTAGATAAAGTAAATTAACATCTTGTCAGCCAATTGGAATGAATTATTGTGTAAAATGGGAATAACAGTGTTAAATTATATTCCATATGGTCCAGGACATTTACGCATTGCCTCAGCGACAATTGTCGAAACTGTGAATACCTGAGGACCAGAATAATTGGACGGTCATTGTAACGCCTACTGAAAGGCCTGCTGAAGATTGGCAGTAGTTTTGGATAAAGTAAATTAACATCTTGCCAGCCAATTGGAATGAATTGTTGGGTAAAACGGGAATAACAGTGTTAAATTTTATTCCATATGGTCCAGGACATTTACGCATTGCCTCAGCGACAATTGTAGAAACTGTGAATACCTGAGGACCAGAATAATTGGACGGTCATTGTAACGCCTACTGAAAGGCCTGCTGAAGATTGGCAGTGGTTTTGGATAAAGTAAATTAACATCTTGCCAGCCAATTGGAATGAATTGTTGGGTAAAATGGGAATAACAGTGTTAAATTTTATTCCATATGGTCCAGGACATTTACGCATTGCCTCAGTGACAATTGTAGAAACTGTGAATACCTGAGGACCAGAGCTGTAATTAAAAACACATTAACAATACATCATAAAATAAACACAGTTTCTAAAGCTTACATGCAGGGAATAAAATACTGGGCAGCAGTGGAACATTTCAGACCGTTATAGGGACATCTAGTAATAACGACGTCGCTGTTGAAGACCGATGGTCATGATGGAGAAATCGCGTAGCAAGGTTCCCGCAAAAGGAAAGTTAACTGCGGCGAAGAAAAAAGCAGGTGCGTCGCCTTCTTTTTAGTAGTGACTCTGACGGAATCACTGCTATTTTTGAGGATTGTTGTTGCTCAGCAAGCCGTAGGCCCTAGTCTAGGTAGGGCTAGGCTTGAGAATTGTTTTTGCCCAACGTCTTGGTTCCTATTTGTTTGGAACTCAACTAATGAAAATATTTAAATATTTATATTCTATTCATTCCCTTACCCTGTACTAAAGTTAACAAATATGGCGCTCAAATTAAGCAAACATCTTCAACGCAGAAACTATTAAATCAAAGAACATTGAAAATCTGAATCAAAATAAATTATGTCATAAATCAACGACACCGACAGACAACTAAATTGGCTGTCACTTTCAACATTTGCTTCTTATCTGCTCAAAAATTATGCTTTATATGCTAACCTAATCTAAGTTTATAGTACAGGCCCCATTATTGGTATTACATAGTACTTGTGGTTAGTAGTTTAGTGTTTGTTTAAGAGAAAAATGATTCATATAAGAACAAAAAACGAACAAGTCAATAGGACCAGATTGCTAAGAGTTTATTACATTGGAAAAATTGTGTTTATTTGAGGTTTGACATGCAAATTTTATACTAGACATTCTCAGTGTATTATTATAATAATTATACTTTATGATTTTGCTTCCAATGTGAGGTAGAATCTGTTTTTTCTTGCAAATTGATTGATATTACATTGAAAATCCGTTTGAAAATATTTTCTATATAGAGTGTCATATATATATTCATTGTCCAAAGGCATGGCAACCAAAACATGCATAAGTTCAGTGTCTACAGGCCTGGCCATTTGAGGCAAGCCATAGCTCTTGCTCCCCTGCAGCCTCTCCTCAAATCCCGGAGGGGAGCTACAGATTGCTTTCCTTAATTGCTCTAAAAGCAAATTGCTCTCCTTTGTTTATATTCTTATGTATCTAGAAATAGCTTAACCGGGGATTACTAGGAGAGCTGTTTGCTGCTCCCCTTCCTTAAAGCCTTATCGCCAGACCTGTGTCTACACGTACTTGCCCATCAAGTGCAATATGTTTATTCTTGTGTAAGAGCTAATATTTATTTCTTCAACAAAGTACTACCCAGAGTAATGTATAGTTCTAATTTTATCTTAAGAAAATCCTTGCTGGTATTCATTTAATTGGCATTATCTACAATATCCAGGACTTTCTGCACATACCCTGTTCTGATGCCTCTGCTTTCACTTATAGTTACACCTTCAATTAATTAAATTCTAAATAATTGTAAAATAGATATACCTCCCTGTATTTAAATATTTCTTCTATAACACTTGGGATTCAATTTTTTAGAAACTCCTGATGCACACAAAAAGAAAGGAGAATCTGTTGCATCCCTTCTTTCTGATATAGATGCACTCACAAATAAAATGATGTCAAAAAAATTGAAAAATTCTGGTAAAAAATATGCAACAAAAATTTTCCGTGTCGGCTCCACAGATACAAAGACAGGGTCAAAACACGTGCATTCCTCAAAACATGTGCCTTATAAAAGAAGAGAGCAAGCTGCAACCATGGATAGAAATTATTCTGATTCTGGTATAGACAAGGCGAGGAAGGGGGTGTATCGTCACCCATTGAGGGAATTTGTAAGACCAACTCTATTTGGTCAATTTCGATACGCTGATTACGAAAATCGATGCTATACGGAGAAATTCGGTACCAGGAAGCCTCTATTTCACGTTCAAACCTCGTTTTCGTCCAAATTTGAACGTTGAACGAAAGTTTGTAAATGAATCGATTTTTATCAATTTCGATGTGCTGATTTCAAAAAGTTATTTTATAAATGTAAATTCAGTACCAGGAAGCCTCTATTTCATGTTCAAACTTCATTTTCATCAAAATTTGAACGTTGAAAAAAAGTTTGTAAATTTTTTATTCTCATCAATTTCGATATACTGGTTTCGAAGGTTGATATCATACGGCGGAATTCTGAATGCACTGGTCCCTTTTTCTTGCTGAAATCGTTTATTTATCGTATTCAATATTTCTAGAGTAAAATCTGCTGCGCACATAGATTTGCTTTAAAAGCTTGAAAAAGATTATGTCAAAAGGCTATATAATACGGCTAATAAACATTTAAAGTTGTAAACAATCTTTTGGTGGTACAAAGCTTGAAAATGGCTTTGAAAAAAGCAAACATTTTGTAAACTAAAGCTTTTCATCTGACACTCTCCAGACTTTAAAACGTCAGAACATAGATCGAAAACTCTACGCTAGGAAATATATATACCCAGTTGTGGATCGAAATAGGCCAATCAGAAACAGGAGCACATGACTGTATAGGTTGACCAATCAGTGCCGCTTGCCGATTGGGAATGTTACCAATGGAGTCCTAAGGTGAAAACGAACTCCTTTTCTCTACACAGAAGCGGTTTTTTCGTGCTTATGTAGATAGATTCCAAAACTGCTAGGTAGAACGACGTTCGGGCTTTACCAATAATCCGAAACATGTCGCCATTATAGTTTTTGCACAATCTGGGTTTTCCAATAAATGATGCCTGATAGCAGAATCGCAGATTTTAGTTGTAATTTTAGATTTGCAAGACCGAGGTGGCTGTTCTCTTTGGGAATGGGTTTTGTTTCTAATATTAGACGGAACATGCTGTTTTATTCTATCCTCCAATCTTTGGGTAGTGCGTCCCACGTAGCCAGAATCACACTGGCACGTAAATTCATATACAAGGGAACTTTTTTGTGTGGCAGTAAAGAAACAATTTGCTATGGCCTCTTTTATTTGGCTTTCAAAACGTAGGGAACTGTCACCGATCCATGGTAGTTTTAGATAGACCGGGCACTTTTGAGGACCAAATTTTACGTCAGCCGAGAAATTTCTTATCTTCTCCTTAATGTAAACTGAAATAACATCCTCTGGATAGCCGTTCTCCAGAAAGATCTCAGTTAGATTTCTCACTGCGCTACTGAAATTGTCATACAGAAAATCTATTCAGTGGTTATGCTTCATGCTGTCTATCATATCAACATTGTCTTCAATTAAAAGACGAGCAATAGTTGGTTTTCACGCATTCTCCGGCAACGATTATGTGTCCATGATTTCCAAAAAAGAAATGAGGCATTCTGAAAAGCAATGTTAACCCTTTCCTTGCCACAAGCCGCTTTAGAGGCTTCGCCTTGTTTCCCTGTAAACGCCACTGGCCGCTTTAGCAGCTTTGGTGACGTAATTCGGTTACATAACTTTGGCTTTGGTTTTCTCCATAATGTTGTTGCTATAGATACCTTTCATTTATTTAATCCTGTAGACAAAGGATGAAACCACAGGCACACGTGTTCTTTGTCACATGTTTCTATATGAAATTTTTGAAATATCAACCGTTGAACTTTGTTTTGAGTTAGGCCATGTTTGTTGAGCGAAGGAAGCATGGCGACGAACGACTGTAGTGCATTGAGTGATAGTGATTCTGAAAGTAGCGATTCCTCTGCTGCCGATATCGGAGATTTTAGTAGCGAATTTATCGATGAATTCTACGATGTTTTTGGAGATTCGGATGATGAAGAAGAGGAGTTTGAGGGATTTCGTTTCGAAATGCCGGAGGTCAAATGGGCGTTGGGAGGAAATGTGCGAAGACAATCAGCTGATGCTGAAACTGTAGATGAAAGGCCAAAACCTGCAGAAGTAGCAAATCTTTCGTTGGATGCAAAGCCAATCGAATATTTGCAATTATTTTTATCAGATGAACTACTGCAAAGAGTTGTAGACTGGACCATTTTGAACGCAGAAAAAAAATTGGGTGCAACCGAAGGAGAACGCTGGACTATAACCTTGGATGAAGTCAAAGCATATTTAGGTGTTGTACTAATTGCAAACAGTTTGCTAACAACACCCAGAAATGAAAGATACTTCATAGCAGACGAAAATAAATGGATCTTTCATACAAATATTTGCAAAGTCTTTTCAAAGAACAGATTTAGAGAAATCCAAAGATTTATCCATTTTTGCGATCCAAATATTCCCGCAACAAACGACCGTTTGTACAAGGTTAGGCCAGTTATTGACCATTTGCAAGAGAAGTTTCGGGAGATGTATGTTTTGGGAAGAGAAATTTCAGTAGATGAAAGCATGATCCCATTCAAAGGGCACATTGCTTGGAACCAGAGAATGCCGCAAAAACCAGTGAAGGTTGGAATCAAAGTGTTTGTTGTAGCAGACTCGCAAACGGGTTACTGCTGGAATTTCCAAATTTATACTGGAAAGGTAACAGATCAAGAAGATGATGTTGGAGACCTTGGCAAAACTGATCGTGTTGTGATCGATTTGGTTAAAAATTTAACCCACCAAGGACATCATTTATACCTTGACAATTTTTACACTAGTGTGCCCCTTGTTTTATTCCTGGAGAGCCAGGGAATTTATACATGCGGGACAATAAGGTCAAATCGCAGATATTATCCTAGTGATATTCTCTCCAGAAATGCAAAATCGATGGCTAGGGGAGAATTCAATTTTGCATTTTTCAAAGGCCTAACTGCTCTAATGTGGAAAGATTCAAAGCCTGTCTATTTCCTCAGTTCAATTCATGATGCCACACTTGGAAAACCAGCAACAAGAAACCTAAAGAAGAACGGCAAATACGAAAAGATACAAATAGCCTGTCCAATTCTTGTCAGCGATTACAACACAAATATGGCTGGTGTGGACAAAAGTGACCAACAATCTGTTGTGAAAAAGGATAAGAAACAGAAGACTTATTATATGAGAATATTTATATCCTTTTTCATGAAATGTATAGACAATTCTTACATAATTGAAGGGCATGTCAAGCCTCATGTTGTTCAGGGTAAGGCCAAACGAGACCTTCTCTCTTTCAAGGAAGAACTTGCCATACAATTGGTTGGCAATGTCCGTGCAAAGGGGAAAGGAAGAAAAAGAAAGAGGACAGAGGAAGATAATAGGTTACAAAATGTTGGGGCTCATCTGCCAAAAAAAGGCCAAGGCAAAGACCACAGATGTCTTGTCTGCAAGAGAAAAAGGCAGAATTGGATAAAGCAGAACCCAGATGCTGATCCAAAGAACTGCCCATTTAGTTTATCAAAAACAACTTTTTGCTGTGCAGGTTGTGAGCCACAGGACACTGTATACCTCTGCATAACAAAGGAAAATAACTGCTTTATTAACTATCACACCAAAGTTAAATTTTGGCTATAATAAGTGTGACTAATATCCTATTTTAACATTAATTCTCTAATATATTTTTTATACAGATGTATTTCTTTACTGTTTTCTAGTACTGAGATGAAAGTTGCATTTTTGGATTCCTTGGGAATTTTTCTTTCTGTTAATATAGGGGTGTCTATACAACATATCAACTCCTTCTTAGTCAAAAATCAATTTGAAAAAGTTTGCTCGGAATTCTGTTTAAAGCCTCAGAAAATAGGCGTTTGAGGACTTTTTCGCAGGGGAATTTGGCAAGGAAAGGGTCCTGGAGAAGTTTACATGCTTTCTTTACGGTTTTTCAACAACTGTCACCAAGGCCAATGACGCCTGCTCAAAGAGTTTCTGGAAGATTTTTTTTTAACTTAGTTTAATGCCACCGTGTGTTGCCAATCTCATTTGCACAAAGCTACATTAGCTTATGTTGCAAACATTTACATAAATGCAGACCAGTTGGAGTTAAGCATTGGCAGTCCAGTTGATCATGGTTGGGATGCAGCCGGTAACGCATTGTGGAGTAAAGATATATACCTAGATAATAATGCCGAGTTGCTTCTAAATATCAATCAAGATGCTGAAAAAGACAATATTGACCCAATGAATGACAATTGCTTTGAGGATGAGTATAGCAATGACTCTGATGACAACGGATACTAGAATGTTTATTCAAAACAACTTTAAATGTTTATTAGCCTTTTTAAGCTTTTAAAGCAAATCTATGTGTGCAGCAGATTTTACTCTAAAAATATTGAAAACGATAAATGCACGATTTCAGCATGAAAAATGGACCAGTGCATTCAGACTTCCGCCGTATGAGATTAACCTTCGAAATCAGTATATCGAAATTGATGAGAATAAAAAATTTACAAACTTTTTTTCAACGTTCAAATTTTGATGAAAACGAGGTTTGGACGTGAAATAGAGGCTTCCTGGTACCGAATTTCTCCGTATAACATCTATTTTCGTAATCAGCGTATCGAAATTGACCAAATAGAGTTGGTCTTGCAAATTCCCTCGATGGGTGACGATACCCCCCCCCTCCCTCGCCTGGTCTAGTAGGAATTCCTTAATTATATAGACCAAAGTTGCTCCTTATTGTTTGAGCATCAGAGTTTGTTATCAATTACAGGGCCATAAGAAACAGGGGGCTGGAGCCCCCCCTAATAATAATTTTCAAACTGTACTACATTTTCTTTATAGCAGTTTACAAAATAGGAAGCAAAACGATGAGCTGTCCCCTAATATCAAGATCTTGCTAATATGAATTTTGTTCCAACAGCACTGATTTATTCTCCAGCTGAGTAGTTTAAACAGACACATTTCTTATTAAGCCCTGGTTACAGGAAAGAATATTCAACAAGAATACTAAAATTATTTGGTTATTCTTGTTGTATTCAGATGAAAAATTTAACAAAGAATAATCTTGCCACCAAATTTTGCTTGAAAAGTTGTGACAGTAAGCAGAGTGTGACTGTAAACGGAGCTTAAACTAAAAGTTTTTCATGTTTGGGACTAGAGATTTTATGTGACTGTAACCAAAAATGTGACATAAGCAGAGTGACTGTAAGGGGAGTCAACTGTAACTCTTTTTATTAAAGTAAAATATTTTTTATAAGAACCAGTGAATTGAAGTTCAAGCTGGCTTGCCCGTTCTTAACTTTTTTGAAAAACAGAGGGTGGATTGTTCTTAATTTGTTCAATTGGTAGTGCAATTGATAGCTATTGTGGGAGGTTTACAGGACTTGTTTGTCAATAGAGTAAGTAACAAGACATATTTTATTTATTTTTTTTCACTGATAAACTCTTAGATGGCAAACACTCTTCTTTTTAGATGGAAAATTTTTCAAAGTTACATTTTACAGTATCTCAGCCCTAGCTTGTTCCTAATTTTACCAATTTTGAGCTTGGTGTGCTTTTATACATTGTCCTTTTAAAAAGTGTATATTCATTTCTAATCTTGAACTCTTACATGCTCTGACATTATTTATTTTACCTTAGTCATATTTGGCAGCAAAATAGTTGATGTGGACTTGCAGAAAAAGTTATATTCACATGAATATGTATAAGAATATAATCCCTTTAATGACTCTCATTGTTATGCTGCCCCCATTAAAGATTGTTTATCTACTAATACTAATATGCGGATATGCAAATGAGCCCCGAACAAAAGATCCACACCGCACGGCGGTTCAACCCCTTTTTCTCCCCGAAGGGCAGCGCGGATTTTCCCCGGCAAGGTCTCAAATCGAAGCTAGATAATTGATTTGCTATCAAAAAGGTATAATGTTTTTTTTCCTGCCTTGTTTCTCGAGATATTTGGCGTTTTCTGAAGCATCGTCTCGATCACCGTTAGTGCTCTCCGTGGTCTTTGTCCCGTGTTTCTAAAGGTTCTTTCTCTCTCTTTTCTCTTACTCTCTGCAAAAGATTGCCACACCGCACGGCGGTTCAACCCCTTTTTCTCCCCGAAGGGCAGAGCGGATCTTCCCCGGCAAGGTCTCAAATCGAAGCTAGATAATTGATTTGCTATCAAAAAGGTAAAATGTTTTTTTTCCTGCCTTGTTTCTCGAGATATTTGGCGTTTTCTGAAGCATCGTCTCGATCACCGTTAGTGCTCTCCGTGGTCTTTGTCCCGTGTTTCTAAAGGTTCTTTCTCTCTCTTTTCTCTTACTCTCTGCAAAAGATTGCCACACCGCACGGCGGTTCAACCCCTTTATCTCCCCGAAGGGCAGAGCGGATTTTCCCCGGCAAGGTCTCAAATGGAAGCTAGATAATTGATTTGCTATCATAAAGGTATAACGTTTTTTTTCCTGCCTTGTTTCTCGAGATATTTGGCGTTTTCTGAGGCATTGTCTCGATCACCATTAGTGCTCTCCGTGGTCTTTGTCCCGCGTTTCTGAAGGTCCTTTCTCTCTCTTTTCTCTTGCTCTCTACAAAAGATTTTAAAACTTTTTCCTCCAGCAACCCTTCAATTTGAACGGAGGCTTTTCAAATTCGTTTCGCTTTCCACAAAGGATCCATTGGATTTTTCGTAGTTAGAGGAGAGGATAGCTAATAATAAATCTACGTGCACTGCTGCTTGGCATTCCTTTTCGAACTCGAAGCGATCCTCGACGGTCGTGGTCTGTGCTACAGCTTGAGGCTTCAGTCATTAGTAGCTGCTCTCGATCTCAGGTGAGTCTCCTTGGCTTTTTTTATCAACTGGTTTTTTATTGATCGACGATTGAACCCCGTTTCTTATTTCGTTTGCAAGAGCCATGTAATTCGTGCTTTTGACAATCTTCCTTTTCGTTTTAGTAGCTACGAACGTACGGTACACACGCTGCTGCCCGTTTTTTTGGTTCTGCGATGGCTGCTGGCTGTTCCCCTTCTTCCCTGGCATCAGAATCGATGGCAACCGAATACAGGTAAGCGTTGTTTTTCTTACGTGTTTTCGATATTCCTTATTTCAAATGGTTTCGTGCTCATTTCGAGGAAATTTCACTAAAACCGGCCGCTAGACCCCCACCGCGAACGAAAAATTTTTACTTCTTCTCGTGGTTTTGTGCTTTATTGCAATCAACTGCTGTTTATTCTTAATGCAAGGAAATTTGATTTGCATAGGAAACCCGTTGTAATGCGAATTATGTAATGCCAGCCCCCAACTTTTTATGCCTAACGAGAATCCTTTGCAGCAACTTTTCCTAACCGCCTTCCTTCCTTTTTTGTAGATGAACGATCGGATTCGCTGACTTTTTGGTACAACAAGTGAGTAATTTTTCGATTAAAAGATTTTCCCACCGAGACAAATAGGATTTGCCTGCCTCTCAAGTTAGAATTATTTATAGCTTTGACAGCATTTTCGCAATTGTAAGTGAATCATTCTAGAAATCATTTCAAATGACTTTATGCTTATTTGGGCGAAATCACACTAAAAACCGGTTGCTAAAAGGAGTCGCTAGACCCGCCACGAACGTGTTTCTCTTAAATTTTTACCTCTTCGTAGTTTTGTCCTTAAAGGAAAATGGATTTGCTATATTGCTCGCTTAACAAGAACAATTTCAAATGATTTTATGCTTAATTTGATGAAATTATACTAAAAACCAGTCGCTAAAGGGGTGGCTAAGCTCTCGGGGCGAACGTTTTTTCTGAAATTTTACAAAGCATTATGACCATCGATTTCCTTAGAACGTGCTTTCATTAACCATGGAATAACATCTTCATTATTTTTTTGTTCTTCATCTAGATCAAAGATCGTTTCAAGCAATAATTATGACGCAGACGTGATCCTCAACCCCTTCGAAACGAAATTTATGGCATTTATGCTGGCGTAAAATCGAACAAAGAAACAAGAAAAAACCATGACTGTGGAGAAAATTACTAAATCTGTGAAGATTAGCAGTTGTCCATGAATTGTATTTTGTTAATTTGTTGTTTGAGTAAGAATCCTTTCTGATGCACGAAACTTTTGCTGTTTTCTATCTCTCAATTTCTTAAGTGCTTTGTTGCTGTAGTGTTTTAAAAGCTAATTGTGACGAAGATATGTTACCAGGCCCTCAAATGAAATAACTGTGTAATTATTTTAATTCTTTGGAGTTTAGATCAGAAATCGTTAACATTTTTTATGAATCAACATACTTTTTTAGGAATTTTTATTCTTAAGAAATTTTCAGATGATGTTTGTCTAAACGAGCACCATGGACCAATAACGGCTAACAGGAATATTGTGTTGGAAAATTTTAATATTTGATTCAGAATAAACAGGGAGCTTTGAGGGTGGCCCGCAATTATGTCTTAAAACAGCATCACAAGTGAACAAAGATTGAACGAAGTGCTTTAAAATGAACATTACAGCTCTAAGAATGACCTTAGAAAATATTTAAAAAAAGCCCCTTTAAGTCGACAAGGGCTAAGAGTGTACGACTAGAAAATTTTAAAATTTGTTGGAGAACTTTAAAATTTGATTCTGACTAAATAGGAGAACTTTTAGGAATAACCCATGAAATTATGTCAACGAGGATTAATAATTGGTGGGGGCAGGCAGAAGCATGTTGTTGTCAAGCTTTAAAGTAGAATTCAGAATAATAAGCAGAGCTTTTAGATAAGCCTGCAAAGTATTTCAACGATTCATCGAGAGATAAAAAAAGATGGACACTTAAAAACATTGCAATTAGAATAAACAGGAGAAATGAAGAGGGTAACACGTGAAAATATTTAAACGAGGACCACGAATAGACCGGGGCTTGCAAAATGTTTTTAAACATATTTCAACCCTGCCTCTACATGACAAATGTAATGTATCAAATTGAAAGTATGCACATTTCGATTAACAGAAGACTAGCTCCCCTACGAAGCCCGCTACGCGGGCTTGCCAGTGGCCCTACGGTTGAATATTAAGATTAGCCTTGGAAAGACAAGAGTGGCCCTACAGTTGAATATTGAGATTAGCCTTGGAAAGACAAGAGTGCCATAAACCTCGATTCCAAAATGAGAAGAGGTCACGTGATAAAAAAATTGCTTGCACTCCTGTTCGAATTAAATTCACACTTTTGTGACTATCGCTAGGAAGGGGGGAGCCTCAACCCCATCTTTCTTTTAAGGCTCCCCCCTTATATATATATATATTACCTAAAATTTAAATAGTGGTTTGTCTTTTCTTCGATTTCTGAGAGTCTGAAGTTCAACACTCAACAAATGTTCTACTGTTAAAATCATTTTACTACCCCTTCAAAACATCAAATTTGCTTTAAAGGAAGTGTCAAAAATGAAGGTTAAAGCTTCTTTTAAATCACTTATATTAAATTCCATTACAAAGTGATGAGTTTGACAATTAGACTTTTTTCAATAATTTCCTATTTCTGTCAACAAGTTTGTTTCCAATATGTGATTCTTTGTCGGTTGTAGATCGCTGTCCTATAATGACACTACCTAGCAAATGTGCTAAATGTGGAATGCATGGACAATGGAGGAAGCTTCCTAGCAACCAGAAGTGTATATTGGTCAATTGCCGCGGTAGGCCTATCTTTTTCTTGTAGAAGTGGTTCATTACAGACATCAAATAATTTATAGTGGTATAAATTGTATAGAGCTTTTAGAATAAAATAACTAGGGGGGAGTTTTTTTGGACCAAAGAAAGGTGTCAGTTACTGAAGGTTACACTCTTTTTTGAATCGCATGTACAAGAAGCAGTCGAAACCAAGTAAGCAATATGGCATGATTACTTGGCAAGAAACATGATTTCTTTGTTTAATTAAAGCCTTTATTTATTTAGACCCTTGATCTTTTTTAGCACGATTTGATCTGAATAAATTTCAGATCGAATGCTTGAATTGCAGTTTTTGCTCTGATCTATTTGATGATGTGTGCCAACTAATTAGATCTCGATACTGGCCAGGCCAGACTCCGGCAATAGGTATGATGCATGTAGCGAAGTATTAAAATTCAGAAGGTATCAGTTCCGAATCATCTCTTCTTTTTTCTATTCTATATAACAATTATTTCATAAAGCACCCAGTATTGTCAATTCCTACAAGTGCCCGATAAAATTCAGCTAAATGAATGTTGAACTAAGCTAAATGAATGTTCTAATTTATGATTTACATCTAATTCAAACTGGTCAAGATTAAAGTTTACGCAATCATGAGAAAGATTGATTACATGCATTTTTAAGTTATTTGATTTTACTTAATTTACACATGTCTTAAAAGAATTAATTGTAGGATTCTTGCTCATCTTCCTCATTTGATTATTGACTTTCAAATCTCTTTTGTATACATGCAAGTGTCATCTTCTATAGGTTTTATATGGAGGGCTGTGGACGGAAGGTAGTGGATATACGATTGGCGAAGAAGACGAACAAATATTTAGTTATTTGTCAAGAACAGGGTCAACAATAAAGCACATGCTTCCAGAACGTAAGAAATTTGCATTTTCAGATTATTTTAGATATCTTTTCTCATCATTTAACTTTGAGCATAAAAGACCTTATTCCTTGCTTATTTCTCTAAATATACTTTTGTATACTCTTGTCTCATTCTGTCTAAATTACTGACTTTAAGTTATCTTTCTTTTTTATTTGCTTGATTCCCTTTGTTATCTTTTCAATTGCCAATGTAGACTTTACTTGTTTTTTCCTCTGTTGCTTTTAGCCGTTGATCAAAGGAAAGTTTTATGTTTTGTAGACAGGGATGATGCCATAATTGAATTTGCCATGTATTGGAACAAAAGAAAAGTCGATAAGATGGCAGAATTATTGCACAGGCGATTCAAGCGGGTAGGTTCAAACAGCATATTGGATTATTTGTGTATAAAACCATTATTAAACCAACAGTTTGGTCAAACTTTGTTTTTATATGAAGTCTTCAAAATTAAAACAGAACAGTTAGAACGAACCTTACCCCTCTGGCTACCAATCAGTTGGATAGAAGGAGGGTCACTGATATGTCTTGGATAACGTTTTCTTGGTTGATGATGTAGTGCTCGTTTCTAGTGTATTTGATTATGCTTTTTAGTATCATTCCGGTAAACACATTATATAGCAGTTTATTGTTTTTGTTTTTATTAACAATTTCTTTAAAATCTGGACTACAAAAATACAGTAGCTATAGTAAAAGCTGTTTTAGGACAACTAAGAATTACAATATACAAATAGTAAATCGTTATAATTGGTTGTTGATAAAGTAGATGCATTAAACATTGCAATAAGACATTTTCAGTATAAAAAACATTTAAATCAAATGAAGTCTATGTTTGGAATAAATGTTTGACATAGGCAACAGTCGCAGGTTTCTCCAGACCAGGATATGATTTTGTCTTTAAACTTAAGAAGATATGTAAAATCAGTATGACGTTGTTTGCAACAGGTTTGTCAGAAGGAACGCAAAGCAATTGACGATATAAATTTAAAATCATCTGAAGTTGACCAAAGTCGCGCTCCTTTGTGGAAGAATGAAGCTGTTGCTCTGGCACAAGGTAAGTCGTTGTGTCAACGTTTTATGAAGCATTTGTTGTTGCAAATTAGGAAGAAACGCAAAACATTTTTTTTAGCTGCAAGTCGCCCTTTATTCTATCTCCAGATGAAGTGAACGTTTTTGATTGAGCTAGTTTTTTCTTTGTTCTTTAAACAGTTTCACAAAATGCTCTTGTTGATGTCAAAATTTCGCAAATCGAGGAGCTGATCCTGCTGGCTATCCAGCTGAATTGCCAAAACAAGCTTACACCACCTCAGGGACAGGTGGTGCCGCTTTCAATGATTGAAAGGCTTCGGGTAAACAATTTGAAATTGCGTATTTTGGCCAAGCCGCTCAATAAGCTGTTAAATAAATATGAAATGTTGGATGCAAAGTTCTTCAGTGAATCGCACCAAGTGTCGGAGAATGAAATCAGGGATTGCGTTTGCCGTCTTATCCCAGTATATCAGCAGAAGCTTCAAGGTTTAGTGTACTCTAATCTCCACATCTCCCAGAACATCAATTGACTAGCAGGTATCTAGCAGGTTAGCAACAAAAATGGCTTACTCGTCGATGCTCTTGACAAACTGAGCGAACAAGTTAATCAACATCTTCAACATCATCAAAATACTTCAAAAGTTTTCTTTTCAAAGAAGAGTTTTTCCAAACTGATTAAAAAACATAAGTATCATGTACAATTGCTAGGGTCTTTTTATAAAAAAATAATGAATCAAAAGCATTTGAGGTTCCCTGATGCCTTACATACATATTTACATTCCTCTACCACGTTATAAAATATTTCAATAGACTCAAATAAAACAAAAGTAGAAAAATGATGAAATACTTAAAACAATAAATAATTAATGTGATTCACATGTTTGCATTGTAGTGATTCACATTTGTTCATTAAAAGAGATGTGATGTCTCGGAATATTCATTCGATGTAAATTAATGGGTAAATGCTTCTTTAATGTCAATAGACGCATTTTTAAAAACTAATTTAAGTTATTCTCTTATTTTTTGAATTACAGTGTGATACATTTCTTCAAGCGCAGCCAGAATCGGGTGAGAATACAGTGGATGGATTCCATACATTGAATCTGCAGAACAAACAGCTCACGGAAAAACTGTTAGTAAGGGACGAAGAAATAGAGGCACTCGCCTTGAAGCTTGAGGAAACTTCAAGGGCAAAGGAAAAGAGGAAATACAGGGAGCATCAGTTGGCTTCCGAAAATGAGGAGCTCAAATAAAAGTGTCAAGGAAAGAGAGGCAAATGGAAGCTCTCGAACACCGAATGGCCATGGTAAAGGAGCAAAATTCTGCCATGCAGCTTAGAGATGCAGAATGGACATATACGAAAATAAAGTAGTATGTAGGCATGCGATCAACCATAATAGTTGACGCTTTCTTGATTTCTCTCACAGAAGTGACCCTTTATTACAAGAGACACCCGTCTCTGTTTTAGACAGCAACAACTTTCTCAATGCTTTGGTAGCTACTGAAAAGTATGAAAAGGAGGTATTTTCAGAAACTACTTTGGCTAGCCTTTCAGATGGGACACCAGTGACACTCAAGAGGTACCATATTTGGGAAGGGAAAGATGCTGATGTTAAGAGTCTCCAGTTTGTCAGCCATGAGGCTCGTTTGCTGAAATATCTTGGAAAACATCCCAATATTACATTTCCATATGGCATCATACAAATTAGAGGGGCTTTCCACATTGCACTGAAATACGAAGGGAATTTATCACTCAGACAGTTTCTTCAAAATGATGTATTCGGTAGTGAGGCAGTAGTGCAATCGGTCGTTGAAGGAATTTGTGTGGCCATTGTTTTTCTTCACGAGAAAGACGTTCTCCATAACCACATAAGATGCGGGAACATTCTGCTCCCACAGTTCAGTGATGGGTGTAGACCCGTTCTTATTGGGTTCGCCTTTGCATGCAGACACTCAGTGAGAAAGCTGCTATCGAAAGAGGCGTTGGAGAAATTCAAAGAAATTGACCATTTCACTCCAAAGGTCATTGCAAGAAAAAGCCGACCTTCATTTCAAAGTGATGTGTTTTCTTTTGGCGTCATTATGCGCAGAATATTAGCGAGAAGACTGCCAGTAGCAGACTATGTCCTATATAAATTAAAGAAAATTATGGAGAGGTGCACAGACTATGATCCTGAGATTCGATCGATGCCAAATGTATTACGAGTCGATTTTAACTCTGCTTTTTATGATATGTACGCACAGTAAGGCAGGAATAAATTAAATTGACTTTAGTAGCCAATGTCCAAGTATTGATAACTCACTTTGCTTCACAGTTACTCTACAAGTAAAATTTCCCAATCCTTTAAAAGGTTGGCCTTTGCTGATCTTATCATGCACTTTCCGTCACTGCTAAACCCCTCAGTGCCATTAATTGTTGTAAACATACCATTATAGCAAACATCAACTTCATTCTTTGTTTCTTCACCAAATTCACAATGTCAGAACTTATTCCCCCAACTATCGCTTATCCCTTCTGTTATCGGCTGCCAAAATATCCAGGCTTTGCGTCCACTAAATTTCTTCCATTCTGACCCATTTTTTCCTTTTGAAGTAAATAACGGATATTTATATGTAGCAATATAATATAAAATATACAAACATTCATATAAAATGAAATCTAATTGAGCAACATGTGATGTTAACTATGAATAATTTTTTGGCATTAAATGTACAGACCAAGTCAACTAGTCAGTATGCTGGGTTGTCAAAGAATGCCTAGGTTCCCAATGAGTACCGCAATGAGTACCAGTTTGATCTGCGCACTTTGGTAGGAATAACCAACAAAACTGGTTCTGGGCTGTACGAGACCGATCTTAACCTTGTACGAGTTATGTTTTGCGGGTTTAAAACCTCTCTATTTACAATACAATTCCAATATCCATCATCTTATCATACAAGGCCATAGATCGTATTCAATTATTGTTGCAAATCATATCCCGTCAAAGTTGTACACATGTTTACTTACCCGTTAAAACTTTTCGTTCTTTGCTTTGGACAAAGTAACCCTTTGCAAAAACTTTCCAATCTTTCTCTTTGTACCTACAATATAATGAAAACAATATTTTTAAAAATTGTTCAAATAGTACTGAAATGAACTCATATTTTGTACTGCTCGTCTGACAGTCAAAATCTCTGAAATGCCAGACAACATCCAAAGTAAAGGGATGAAGTCGATCCCCAGATGCGGTTCAAAACAACATTTTAGTGAAGGATTGATGCTTGTGATTAGTAACTTGCTTTGAATAACAATCATCTACCATCCTTCACAGGGTTTTGGCATCCAAAGACATTCAGACAATATCATAATTTTACTATCTAAAAAGGCGTCTTTTTATATAACAAAATAGAAAGGAATTGGAAAAAGTGCCTCAGCCTCCCAAGTTGTCATTGACTATGATAATAATAAAAACGATAATATAATCGGATCCTGATGAGAATAAATTCCAAACCATATGTACTAAATAAATACACAAGAAGTTGGAAAACTGCAATTTCAAGAATCAAAGCTATGAAATAAGTAGCTAAAACACTGTTTTAAAGATAGAACCAGTACAAGAAATGACAAGATTCTAGTAGGTAAAACAGATGACTTGAAACTGGAAAAGTATGCTGAAATAAGGATGAATGTGAGAAACAGGCTAATCTTCTATTAATTAGGATCAATACCAAATTAAATTGCAATAAACAGGACACAAAATACAAATCTGATTGAATTGTTACTGTACTGAACAATTGATGATTTGCAAGATTTTTACGTTGATCATATATAGCAGCTTCGTTGGTATAATCTAATGTCCATCTAACTGGTGGCTTATACATTCCATTAATTTTTTTTTCATCAGCCACGGCACGATCTACCGTAATACATGATTCTTAGAAGGCACAAAATTAGAAACCATCATTACATTAGAGATTTATTGGCACAACAAACACTTAATGGGCATATCATTCACATGGATAAAACAACGTCAATATAGCTTTCGATACCATTGCATTTCACAGAGCCATCGACTAACATTTTCAACAGATTCAGAATCGGATGGCACAAGAAAGGATCAAGTTGATTTACGAATCACGTCGACATCTGTTCCTCTTTCCTCTCCGCCAGCTCCGTCAGCTACATCTGTGTCTATAACAATAAAAGGTAGCAAAATTAAGAATGAAGCAACAGTATTGCAACAGCTGCCAACATCAATTCAGTACACACAAGCATCAACAAACACTTTCAACAGATTAAGAACGGATGGCACAAAAAAAGGATCAAGTTGACTTACAAATCACATCGACAGCTGTTCCCTTTCCTCTCCGCCAGCTCCGTCAGCTACATCTGTGTCTATAACAATAAAAGGTAGCAAAATTAAGAATGAAGCAACGGTATTGCAACAGCTGCCAACATCAATTCAGTATACACAAGCATCAACAAACATTTTCAACAGATTCAGAATCGGATGGCACAAGAAAGGATCAAGTTGACTTACGAATCACGTCGACATCTGTTCCTCTTTTCTCTCCGCCAGCTCCGACAGCTACATCTGTGTCTATAACAATAAAAGGTATTAAAATTAAGAATGAAGCAACAGTATTGCAACAGCTGCCAACATCAATTCAGTACACACAAGCATCAACAAACACTTTCAACAGATTAAGAATCGGATGGCACAAAAAAAGGATCAAGTTGACTTACGAATCACGTCGACAGTACTTTGAGATGGTCACAAGAGGATCATCTTTCTGAGGCCCTAGAATCAACCCTCTTTGATTTTCGTCTAATAGACTCCTCTTTTAGACTAGGAATATTTCTTTCATCGCAATTTCGTATAAGTATATCCTGTAAAAATAAAATAAAACAGCTTTGTATTTTGTATTAAATCCACATGTAAGTTACTTTGAAGACTCACACTTTCATTCTTTATCTGGACTTCCATGGCTTTAATCTTTTCCTCTAAGGCTTTTTGTTTAGCTCTGCTAAGCATAACTGCTTGCATAAGTTTTTTCCTTGCCACTGCATGCAATGGTGCATTCATGCTTAAAGGTTTATTTGCTGTATACTGCTGCCTTTTTTGCTTTTAGTTCAAAAGAGATTTAACTTTCAAGCATGATTTGCAAATATCCAATTTTGAAAAAAATTCACAAGATGTTGACCTAAATCATATATAACTGGAGTGTGACATTCATTAGGTATACTTGAATTAGTCGAAACATGAAGGTGAAACTCCTTGGTCCATTCGGGCTGTTCTCCAGTGGGAAGAGACCCAAAGGAAATGAGAGACTTTTCAGTTACACCTCTGCAAACATTCAACTCGTCTATTCCCTTTATCAACCACTGTATTCGCTTTTTCATCAGATATTTGCCGTTGTTGTCATAAAGAAAATGAGAAGCTGGGAGCTCAACTCCAAACCAGCGTGTTTTTACACAAAGGTTTTCATCAACAATAATTTTTGATGTAAGTTCCAGGTTATCAGATAGTTTTCCAATGAAAAGCTTTGACATGCTTCAAATCTTTCTGAATATAATCAAGAGTCTAAAAGCATATTTTTTCAGGTAAACTGACATCTTGTTGATAATTCAAAGTTCTCCATGGCTTTGGTATCTCTATAGATTTCTTTGGCAGATTTTCTGTTGGCAAGCTTCCTTTAAGAATATGGCCCTATCTTCAAAGGCGGCAAGGGTTTGTCAGGAAGTAGTTTAATAAGTAGAGTGCGAACAGCAAAATCTGAAATCTGACAAATTGTAACGTTTCGACTAATTGGTCAAAGGTTCCATCGTAGAGCTCTGGAGTATCACAATCTCATGAAAATCTATGATAACCAGCGGGTGACTCGACGGACATGCCAGAATTATGTTAACACGAATAAAAACCCAGGGTGCTATTTGAAATCATGTCACAATTTAAAAAGGTACAATTTCTTAATGGCAACCTGATAACGTGTTAGATAACAATACAACATCTCAGAAAACTGCCTAATGCGAACAAGAAGTCTGATAAACTTTGGCAATTTTGAAAAAGTTTTCTTAATTGGTGTGAGAATATCGGGTTTGACAAACATTATCATATTTGCAGTGCGAATAGGGCCTATACCATTTTCCACTTTAATTCATTAATTTGCACACTTTTCTTGTTTTTACATCATAGCCAATTTCTGCAGTGGCAACGACCGATAAAGAAACAGCATTTGAAAATATTTGATTAGTTTGTGTCTCCCTCAAGAAAACCAGTCTCAACCAAGCTTTTGCCAAAAGTTCCAAATAACATTACGTAAATTTCAATAGCAATTCTTTGAAAAAGTCCTTTTGTGAGAACTGGCCTTCAAGATCTCTAAAATTCAAGGGTCTGCTTTTCTGAAAAAAACATAGAGAATATAACTTAAAACCAATCTATATGCTTTTCTCTATATTGAATTAAAACCTTGCTCACACACTCTTTTTCTAATATGCAGCGGAAAAGGTAATTAATGAGTCCTTAAATAAATACATTTTTAAACAGCATGCAGCAACTGCAGTAAGTGTATGCATACATAAAGCAAATAAAAACACCTTTGAAACATCCAATTTTCATGCAGCAACTCATTGCTTTTCAGAACTGAAGCACAAAACTATGTGGATGGCCCAAACACCATATATTTTGCTGAACTCTAAAATTTTGGACTGTCAGTACGGCCCTGACCGTCACTTTGCAGAAAAAGTAAAAGAGCATAACAAACAGATAACACCAGGTCCCACTTTTAGTGAGTGGGGCCTGGTGTTACCAAATTTGGTATAGAATCGGGTTACAAGTTTCATGAATTGTAAAGATTTTGGTAATGAATTTTGACGCCTTGGTCCAGCTTTGCTGTTAAACATTGTGTTAAATAATAGCAATTTTCCTTTTACTTTGATCTCTCACCAGTGGCAGCTCATGTATTGGGACTAGTGTTGCTCTGCCCTACTAAAGATTTTCAAGAACAAGTTTATATTCATATACATTATTAAAAATAAGAAATGTTCATTGAAACTCTAGCATTGTTCACTAGTTTGTGGTGACCTGTTGTTTCAGGTCATGAAAACAAGATGGAAGTTGCCAAGTGTTTTATAAACTTCAAGAGCTAAAATAATTGGCATTGGTATTGCTAGCTTTATTGCCAGCTTTGACCAACTTTCCAGTGTTTTTAATGTTGAATGCCACTGATGATCTACACTCATTTTCCAAATGTTCTGAATTAAAATTAAATCAGAATATCAATTCACCCAGAGGTAATTGAAGAAGATTTAAATTGAGCCGTTTCCCTGCAGAATAGACATTAAAACTGTTCAAATGAAATTGATTTTTAAGCAAACTGAGCATGGCTTTGAGCGAAAAAGTACTAAAGTGCAAGACACAAAAAAGTTTGACGGCGAGGCACTGATTATACTGCGATAAATACTTCTGTTCACGAAATTCAAGGTAGGCTAGCTAGGTAATATTAAGAATTTTCAACTAAAATATAAACAATTTAAATACCTAAATTTGGTGTTCTGCTAAATGTTACGGTGATACGTGTAACATGAAATTCCCTTTATCTTTCCCAAAAAGCAACAGAAATGATGATATTTAGCTTAACCATACATCTTTTGATGTGCAAGGCTACGGGGGACCAATCATAAAAGAACTTCTGACAAATATTATAAACTTACATTTTCCCAGCAAATATGTTTCCAAAAGGTGCGTACCAGAGCTACTCTGTACCCTTAAGTTTAACGCAACAATATCTTACTCATATCTCCATCTAGAGCACGCCCTGGATACAAAAGTATGTCTTAGATTTTTTAAATTCCCTTTCCTTTTGAATATGTACTATATAAAAATTTTGCAGATAACGTTCCTGCCCTCCCATAGGTTATTAGTCTGTATTTTACAAAACATCGATCGAGACGAAAGTAAAGCACAAGTGAAATGTCCTTTGCAATTATTCAACAGCTTCATAAAGACATTCCTTATGAATGAAGGAAGGCATCCAAAGCGGTGCAAAAGGAACTGAGAAAGGAAATCCTTGACACAGATGTTGTTGTACGATGCATAGCCATTAATCTGCCCATCCAATAAGAGCACTCAGGGCATGTCGTTGGACAGGTAAAACTGATCGCAAATGTAAAAATATTTAACAGGGTTTTTCAGGTTATTCTGTCGGGTAGAAGGCTGTCTCTTTGTGTGGAAACTACCTATATAATTACCATTAGGGGGAGAGAAATCTGTTAAGTATCATTTGATCATTAATATGTTTTTTATGTTATCTTTCTTAATTTATTGTTTTTTATGTTTCATAAATTATTGTTATCTTTCTCTACCTACCTGTGAATCTTGAATGCAAAACAACTTCATCATCAATTTAAATCTTATGAACCTTTATACCTATTTGTTATATAAAAAACGTGCATCAAACCCAAATTGATTTCAGGAAGCTGGCATTTGTCAACCGATAGACTAAATGGTCCTGAAAGAAATAGATATGCATGTTAGTGAGGGAGTCTATGATGCAATAGAGATGCAGCGACATATGAAAAAGGTTGTGGCTTCGGGATACCCAGAACAGAGCACTCAACTTGAAAATTGCAGGTTTCATCCACAACTGCAAGATATCCGACAGCTTTATTAAAAAAATGACCTTCAGTACAAGTTGGAGGAATGGAAAAAAACGTTTTCCAGAAGACAAAATTTACTGCAAGCTACAACTCTAAGACGTTCAAAATGAGACTAAAATAGAAATTAAAGCTGGCATCGAAGTCGTCAAGGCCTGGATTAAAAAATGGCATCCATGGTTCTTCATGACAGATTTTGAAGAAAAAGAAATCAACGCATTAGAAGATTCTTTTGAGGGTGCAGAAGTATACTTGTGCGACTTCCATCAGGAGCAAGCATGGACATGATGGGTGAGTGCTACCAAAAACAAAGTGAACGAATATAAAATTGAAGTACTGGCACAATTATGTAGGCTAGCTAAGGCAGAATCCGTGGTACAGTACCATAGGATGTTGCACGAACTGAGAGAATCATCCATTTGGAAAGACAGCCCAGCGCTGCAACAATGGTTTAGCAACCAGTGGCTTCCTGAGTACAAGGTGAGTGGCTTCCAAATGGCATTATCCATGGGCAACCAGTGGCATGCCGTGGAATCCACGGGTTTAACTTATTGTTGAATGACAAAATTACAACGTAGCTCTACTCTAATTTGCATCTTGATCGAAATTGCAAGCTTTGTCAGAAATGCAGAGCTGTCTTCTTCTCTATACTTCTTGGAACTAAAATGACCAAAAGTCCATTTATATCCACAGAGATGGGTTTGGGCCTTTAGGAACAATTCGTTTTAAGTCCTAATCAAAACAAACAATGGAATTGAACGTCAGAATGAGATGCTGAAGTACTCCTATCTGAGGTGTAAATGAAAGTGCTCAGTGACGCAATTGGCAACTATGCTCTTTCAGAATTTTTTCCCGGATTCCTATATAAAGTAAGTGAAAATATGAACTTTGCATCTTTTTAAAGCAATTCTCTTCGAGCCTATTTATCCAAATGCTAAGACGCTGGTGTGAAACTTAGGAAAAAACTTTGTGTCAACCTTAGCAAACTGTAAATTGATTATTTGGCCCAAACTGAGATATGGTTTGGCATTAGCATATCATTTGAAGATTAGATGACATAAGACCTCAAGGCAAATTTTTTAGCAATATTTACCATTATTTGTTTACCAAATGAACAAGATTCCTCTTTTGGTTCTTTGCAAGAAGCCATCCCCAAAATTATTTTGTACCATGACTTCATAGTTCTCAAACGATGCTATAGTTTAATCATCTTTTCCACAAATATGCCATCTTGAATAGAAAATCGTCTAGCGGGTATCACAAATACAAGGCTGAAGTTCCTGAATTTTTAAAGGACCAACCAAGATTTCTGATTTTAAATTGCATGTGTCGGGAATGATAAAGTTCTCCACGACAATAACTCATAGTTTATAACAATAAAGAATGCTTCTGACTGTTGTGTTGCTTTTATTCTCGAATCTACGCTCTTAACTCTCGAGTCTGTGCTCCAATGTCCAATTACATTCTACCTGCATTTATACTACTTTTACCGAACATTCTAGACACATACTTCCTTATTTCGCAGCATTTACGTCACTTACAGTCAGCAATGAGTAAGGTTCTAATATAATAGTCTCTATTGTGATCTTAATCTACTACGCGGTTCTAGATTTTACTATAAGGTTCTGTTTAATAAGCATGAGGTAAGCATAACGAATACGAGGCTACGCTGGAACATTCCAGTAAAATTTGCCTAAGTGTCGGCAGAATACATATAAGTTGCTAAGCAAGAGGATATTCATGAAAACTATGGGTCTACATTTAAATCAAAACAAAGGTAATAAGAGATCCATTGTTGCTTGACGTATTTACTGTTCTAGAATGTTCGTGAAGTATCAAATTTCTCCACACATACAAAGCATTCAAGCAGCCAACGTCATCAAGCGGGAGCATATTGCTTTAAAGCCAGATAGGAGCATAGAAGTTCAAAGTGTGCAAGCTCTGCTCCGGTTTAGAACATATCAAGTGTCGTTTGGTAATGAAAACACAATGCCCTCTTGTCAGTGTGAGAGCTGGCAACTGAATCTCCTGCCATGCAAGCACATTTTTGCTGTCACGCTACGTTTTCCAGGCTATTCTTGGTACAGTCTTCCAGCAGGGTATAGAGAATCGCCATTTTGTCGCCGTGATGACCTTCATGTTGTTCCTAAAGTCACTTCTCATCCAATGTCACTGAAGAAGCCTAATGACGATCCATTCATGTCTGCCTTGGTTCGAGATGAAGAGACTTCAAGCTTTGAAGAGGAAATGCAAACATCAGTCATTGAAGAAGCGTCTACAAGTGGAAATGCAGGAAATTTACCAAAGAGCAGATCAGCAAGACTAAATGTTGCAAGCGAATGCGGAGATTATCTAAGTCAAATACAAAATCTGACATTTCTGATAACTGCGAAACATCTCTGAAGAATCTTTTTATAAAATTACATGACATTTTGAAAGGCCTTAAAAATACCGCAGACTGGATTCATTCTTGAAAACACCAGCCAGAAAATTAGGTGCAAAAGAACTGCAAACGAAGAGCCACTGGGAAAAGATGAAACTCTACTTGGTACAATTGAAGTGACTACTAGCAACGTGAGCCTTCTGCCGAAGAAGCAAACCAGCAAGCTTGTTAAGAGACGGTATGGGCAGGCTTATGAAACTCAAGTGGCTCACAAAAAGGTCAATTTGAATATTGATACTGGCTTGCCAGGTAATTAAGCATTATTTGTAGATGTGTTCTTTTCCCCCTTTTATCTAACAACGTTTGGCTAAATTTTGTTATTGACATATTCTCAACTCAAACCATTTTCATGAAACATTTCATCGTAAGATCTTATTTTTAACTTACTTACATACTGAACCAAACCAAAGTATTACCCTTTCTTGAATGGTATAGATTTGTCCCTTTTCTTTCCTCATTGTGCATCTCCACAAATCAATATCACAATGTGTATCACAGTGTATTGCTATTGTTTCCAGACTTAAGAAGCAAGGCTGTAATCAAGAAATTGATGAGGATTAAAAAAAGTACCAGGTAGAGGATGTGACATATCATGTGATAAAAGTCATAAATGTATTCGCATATTTCTTATATATACAAACAATAAAAACAAAAAATATCCATACCATCTATCTTATCTAAAACTCGCATTAAATATACTTTTCTACATGTACCCCCTAAGATCCTATTAAAAATCCAAATTCAGCCTCTCTTTTCATTCTCAATTCGAAATACCCCATTCTGGATAGAAGTTTTATCTAAAACTCGCATTATTTTTTATCTTTTCAAATCTACATGCATTTCTAAGTTGGCATGTGTAGTTCAGATGCCCTATTGTCAATGTTTTGATGTAATTATAAACAGAAATAACGTTTTTTAATATTTGTAAAGTTTAATATTTCGAAAGAAAAATGTAGTCGACATGTTTATGAAATGATGTCCATTATTTTCCAACTTAAAAGTTCTTTTACAACTTTATAAGTTGCTGTAGTCATCTGAATTTTGGTTTGCGAAAATATTTTCAGTAGTTCTACCATTTCTGCTTCAAGCTGCTCAATAATTTTGTACCCAAAATGGTTTTATTATTTATGATGGGTTAGTATGCTATCGTTACGGTTATTAAATCTGAATTTTGCGGCAAATAATTAATTAGACAAAACTGATACACTCAATTTTTTAGGTGTACATTTGAAAGATAAAACTTTGGAGAATCGTTAAGAGATCACAACTTGCCCTTGCTACAGTACGCTGGCTATTCTCATGAAATTACAAAAAATGTTCCTTTTAATCTATGGAAGCAGCTGGCAGAACCACTCGTTTTTCAATTATTGACAGTGGAGACCTTATCTATGCTCCTCTTACTCTGCTGCACAGTTTAAACACTTACAAAAGATACAATTTGCTACTGCATCTTTTGCAACAAGTGAGTATGTAACGGATGTTACCAAGCATTTGATATTTGAATGGCTATTTATCAAAGAAGAAGGAAGATAAGCCTCCTAAAGTCAATATTCAAAGCGATAAATTACGACCCTTAGCACTAAAAGAGCAGCAGCTCACCAAAGAGCAATCACTTGTGATGCCAAAGGAAACCTGAAGTCTTCAAGAGCTGTCTTTTTAAAAAAATATTTCAGGAGTTGTTTCATGAAGTCTGGACAATCTCTCTTTAGTTAAAAACATATAATTCAATAAATAGCAGGAGATTAGCCTGTGCTCCAGACCCTCAACCTGGGTTAAGGGTATGTGAACTGCCTGTAAATATTGCGTCCAGACATTTTCCCTGGTTTTTCAGAAAAGCTTAATTATGCATTGCATATTTATGAATTATTTTGTTTATTCGATTATTGAAACCCTGTCAGAGAAGAGCCTGATTAAGTGACTTGTCTTCGACATTATCTTCTCGATTGTTCTGGTTGAAGTAGTGATATTAGGAATGAACAACGCGAATGGCCTATTCTGAAAGAAGAGAAGTATTGAGCGATAGCAGTGTGGATTGTTTGCCTGCCAGCAGTAGCTCAAGCAGTACTCACCTTACTACGGCGATCAACCCCGAATGGATCTGCATTCTTTGCTTCAAGGAATTAACTGCCAATGGCAATAGAAACTTAGTTGAGGGTAAGGGTACATTCAATGCTATTGCAAAAATCAATTTACTGCCTTTTATTGTAAACAGAGTTGTAGCTTCTCCCTATATCTGCAAGAAGTGCCTTGGAAACTTAAAGAAAAGGAATGCTTGCCGTGCAAAACTTGTTGCTCTCGATGAGGAATTTGAGCAGGATTATAGAAAAGTCTGTTTCAAAAACCAAATTCCAGTGAAATCAAAGTCGTCTTCAGTTATCATCAAAAAGAACTATGTCAGCTCTGTTGATGTAGATATTGATGAAAATGAATTTCAAGGGGATCAACATCGAAAACCTGGCTGTGTCAGTGTGAGTATGCAAACAACAACTGTCACATCCCATACCAACTTAACAGCTAATGTTAGCGAAACATTTCAGACAAAAGCTTTCATCAAGATAGTATGGGAAAGTGGAACAAGAGAGCGGATGCTACCTGAAATGTTCGTTACTTTGGGGAAAATGCTTCTTCGTGGAACCTTGAAACAGATAGCTGTTGCTGCATTGAAATGTAGCAAGCTGAGACCTTTTTTAATCAAAGAAATGTACAGAGCTATTTATAATGAATGTCCCACACTCTGTGCCAAAAAAGATTTATCAATCTTGGCAAAAGTAAAAAAGAGGTTTTATTGAATTTTAGTTTCCAGAACCTCAACAATGAACTGGAATTAAAGTCACCACTTTTACATGGAGTTTTAAAAACTGCCTTTATCAGCAGAAGGTCAAGGAAGAAAAATGATTTATGGGTGCCTCCATTGTGCATGGCTACTGCTATCTGCAGAACCGTTCAAGTCACGCAACTGCATTACAATTGCTGATATCAATCATATTCCAACATTGCAGCTTAACAGTAAGCATAACTTGTATAATTATTCTTATCTTAATTGAAGATTAAAATCTGTTTTAGCAGTTGCCAATTTTTTTATCATAAAAATAAACCTTAAAAAAAATTGATAATGATGTCATAAATTTTGTTGATCTTTGTTTCAATTTTTAAGATTAATTTTATCAAAAACTGATGGTTATTGAACATCCAGTTCAGTCAAAATTCCATAAAATTACCTTTCTAAGGAATACAAAAGATTCTAATATATGAAATTTCTAAGAGCTATATGTTATTTTGTGATTGGTAACAACGAATTATATAAACATTTCCCACTCCATCTCCCCCTTCCAACTTAATGATTATATATAGACATATATAGCATTCATTTGGCAATCAGCAAGCATTCCTTTTTCTAAGTTTTTAATTTGCAAAATAAAGTTTGTCGTTTTTCAAATATTTTCAGGCTGCTATGGTAAGATTGAGGGTTGTGAGACTGACAGTTTCTCATACATACATTTATAAGAGACTGAATGAATTTGGTAAAGAGCTGGATGAGGATTTTCTGACCTCTGCTTCAGCTGAGGGGCAACAAATACAATGCAAGCCTGTATTTGTTTCATCCCCTAAAAAGAAAGCTTCTATGTCTAGCCTTGCAAAGAGTAGTAGTCTAAATGGAAAGGAAATAATTTTTGATAATGTTGATTATGCACAAAAGGTTCATCAGATGAGTGAAACACACCAGAATATGCTTCATCATTGGGTAATCTATATGTCTACAGAAAATAAATTGCCTGGGCACCATTTTCCTGCTTGCAATTTATCTTCCTAGCAAGCAAGGTCACATAAAGCAACGTTTGGATTATATGTATTTAGTTGCAAGGCTGATAACACGTCATATTTCTTGTCTACATTTTTCAGAACTGTTGTGAAAGAACACATGCCACATAAATTTTTTCATTCTACTGGCTTAGCAACCAAAAGAAGTAAGTTGCAATTTTTCCCATAACCTCTAAAATAGTGTCTACTTAGAAGTGTGCTTCTTCAGCTAGTGGGCTATGCTGTTAACATAATTGAACAACTTTACATATATTGAGCAAGTGTATCTTATAAATGTATGCTTCTACTGCCTTCGTATGTTGCTATACTTGAAAGAGGATGGAAGAGGAAGTACAAAATATGCATTGGAAGCATTTTATTTCATAAGCCAGGCAAACTGCTTCCTGTCAGAACGTGCGGCATTTAGGCTGGTGTGGAATCGTTTTTCAAAAATCAAGCATGGCTGGGGAGGAAATATTGCACTAGATCTTGCATTGGAACATCTCTACAGACTGCTTTAGAATGCTTTACGCATGCTAGGCCTCAATGCCACCAATCAAAAGTCTGTAGACAGGTACTGTAAAGCTCTGATGACAAGCAAATCAATGAAAGATCTATGGGATAAAAGCTCGAGTTTCATTAAGCAATCTGGTAAGCAAACAATGTCTTGTGCAGATGGAGACTTGAGAAAAACTGTCAAAGAATTAATTGAGTGCCATGCTTTGAGGAAAATTCCAAAACGAAGGTTTCAGTATTTCAAGAGAGTAAAAAGTAGCCTAATTGCAAATTTGGATATGACATCACTCTTTGCAACACAAGATTTAGATTATCAAAGATTTAGAAACACAAGAAGCTTATCAAAGAACGTAAAGCAGCTTGCTAAAATCTGAACTGTTCCTGATCCTGTGGATGAACTGTAGTAAAGATCTTTGCCACTGAAAAAACTCTTCAGTGCCGCTTTTTGTTCGGGTAACAAATCTTCTACTCCTAAGAGCGCTGCAGTTACATGAACGTATTCATCGAAATGTCCCAATTTCTTTTCGAAAGAAAGCTTTGTCGATACCGCCATTTTGACATGCAGTTTGGATAATGTATGCATGGCAATCCAACTCAATGCATGGACACAAATTTAACAGGCAGTTCACAGACCCTCTCCCTTCAGGTTAAGGGTCTGGAGCACAGGCTACAGGAGATATGTGGATATATTATTTAGATATGTCAATAACCATTATATCGTTATCAGTTTAGGATCCTTTAAAAACCAAATTTGAATGTAGGAATTGTTGCTGTCTAGGAATAAAAAAGAAATAGACACAGCAAGTAAAAAAGAACGTCTCTCGAAAATAGAAAAATTTAAATCAACAAGCCAATAATAACAGCAAATGGATAAATAAAACTATTGCTATGGAAGCTAATAATATGAAGTTATTGGCTGCCCTGCTCTTTTAAGCGATGAGTGACTGTGTCAAGAAAATTTTTGCAGACAATAAATCTGTGATCTTTGCCCTTTTTGGCGCTTTGGAGTGAAATCACTTCACCATTGGAGTTTTTTTTTTCTGTTGAATTTTTTTATCACGTCTCCACCCGCCAGGTCTGCAAACCTTTTCTTTTTACCAGCCATTTACCTGGGGTACTTTGACTACCAGCTGCATTTTTTATATCTAAAAGTTCTCCTGCATACAAAAATAGCCAAAATTTCCTACTTGACTTAATGAGGTTGGGATGCTAATCCGTCTTCTCGCCACTCAGATCTAACAAGTTTATCGTATCTTCTGTAAAGAAACAAGAATACTTTGTCTTTAGCTCTTCCTTTTCTTTATCTCACAAGGACACCAAAAAATTCACCTCTGAAGCCTTCATTTTGTCGCCAACATTCAATGCTGCTATATCAGAAGTAACAATTTTTAAAAGGCTTGCAGAGATCTCTAACAACTGAAGTTTTGTTTGAGTCACTGTCATTGCCAAGGATGACAAACTTTATTTTTGAAAATTTCATTGATTTGGATTTGCCCATAGTCTGTTGGATTCTTAATCTTGTCATCTTTCTTTAGCCACTGAATGTCATGTGAGATCCCTTCAATTGTGAAGTCTCCTTCCAAGTAGGGCACTTTGGCTGTAGAACAACCCACTGCATCAGCTGTAAGCAAACTAATCAGTAGTGAGATGAAATAAAGAATCTAGAAATTTACAAAAAATTACCTTTTAGGTGAAAAGATCGCCACCGTGACTCATATTTGTGTTTGTGTTAAACCATATTGTTACAAGCTACTTTTTTTGATCGAACTCGCCAATGCTTGAGGTATTGCATAGTATAATCAAAAGTTTAGCAACATGACTTTTGTTTAGGGACAGTTCTAATTTTGACAACATGTGTTATGGTCATATAGATCATTTCAAAAACCAGTCAAAATTGTTCATATTGATAGTTTGTTTTTTTCCTGAGATTTTACTGTCTTAAATTTCAAATTGACTGTACATTGGACACTTTTTGATAGGGTCATTGTTTTTGCTACTACTCTATTTTCATGTTTTATTTTCAAATTTCATCATGGTTGGAGACAGTCTGCGTACAGGTAAGAAGTTTTTGGTGTTTTTGTCTCAATTGTTGCTGTTATTTTCCTTTTGTCCCACTTGCAATCTGAAAATCCCGAAGTTACATATCGTCAAGTGGGAACATTGCTTGAAATCAAGACCAAGTGCCATAATGGAAAATGCCAGAAGAAAGAAAACGTTTGGCGCAGCCAGCCTGACTGCCTGGAACACGAATCCCAGCCTGTAATCTTCTCCTATCATTTGCGATTCTCTCAGTTGGATCATCTGCAAGCAAGGTGCTTCGCATTTTCAAGCATATAGGCTTGGCAGCAATATCCCTTCGGACATATTTTAAAAACCAAGAAGTAAGTGATATCAAGTAATTTTTTGTGTTCAAAACATTTAAAGTAGCAAAAATAAGAATTTTCAATTTCTTGCCTTGCAATTTATCCAAATTAATGCAAATAGATATTAAAAGAATAGTAATGAAAATTGTCTTAAAACGTTTGTTTCATTTGAAATGTAAATATAGACCCCTTGCCTCATGACGTCACGACAGAAAGTAAACACTATGTGCGCGCATACTCCTAGTCAAAATGTTTGTGTATTATGTTATGCCGGTATCAATTTGAACGATTAGAAGGAAAGAACCACGTTATAAGGCACATGGAGAGTTTCTAATTTTACAACTGCATGCGTGTCTTTTTATTCATTATCACCTGTTGACGCTGGATGTAGGTTTTCAGAAAACAAACACGTTAAAGAATTCTCAGTACAGCTGGTTACAGGTCGCCACACGCGTGCACACATGGCCTAGCTCCAATATAAACGTGAACTTGTCTCTGTATACTGGTCAAATCTAAAATGGCTTTCGAGGAAAAGCTTTCAGACTTCGTTCTTGGACTTGAAGCTTGCGATAGAAAGCATTATGCTGCGAAACTGACGTTAGCCGACGGCACAGTGCTTCCTGACCCGTTTCTGCTGGAACAGCGATGGACTGATGATATATCGAACTTGCCGAACTTGTCGTGGAGAGACGTAACACAATACTTGATCGATTCTCCCAGTGAGTTTACCAATAAAGCTATGAAGGCATACAAGTCCCTTGAAGCCTACAATTACAGGACTAGCTACCACCACGCAATACACAAGAAGAGTGAATTCTGCTACATCAAGTCAGTGGTATGTTACCTTTTCAAGTTATTCATTTCATAGCATTTTATCTTGAAATAACCCCTTACCACTGAAAAGATAACTAGATTCAATCAGCTGTGCATTATCAGGGTGGTATTAAATCATTTCTACAATAAAAAATGAACATTGCATTGATGCTAGAAATCTTTTTGGGATTGTCTATTTAATTATCAGTAATCATGGATAATTTTTCCTTTAAGGTTCTACCCAGTCAGCGCCAAGGCCAGAAAACATCCCATTATAAAGTCTGGGTGTGCGTCAACAAAAAACATGGTTGGGTGTTAACAGGGAACTGTACATGTATGGCAGGACTTGGTTCTTCATGTAGCCGCTTTGCTGTTTAAACTTGAAGCCGCTGTATACTTCCAGTTGAATGAAAAAAGGGCCTGCACAAGTGAACTGTGTGCATGGAAAGCATCGAGAAAGAGTGTACAGCCTGCACCATTGTCAGCAATCGATTTTGGAAGACCTAAGAAGCAAACTTTGCCAGCAATCAGCACAAGAGATATACTGGTAAAAAATTATTCATGCAGCGATCCAACAACTGGTAGCAATCCGATTTCAAATGAACAATTAAGTGCACTCTTTAAAATAAGCCCAAACTCAGCTATATTTACCAGTTTGGATGTGTCAGCTTTATTGACAATGACATGGCTGAGGCTGCTAAAAATGTTCACCATTCATCAGGAAGTGATACAGATAGTGTAGATGAAACTGAAGATTCTTGTATTCCAGAACCTTTAACCAGTCTATTCCTTCCATCCAGTATAAATATGTCTGATGAAGAGCTTTATGAATTTGGGAAATCCAGATACTACCTGTTTGTTAACAGCTATCACCAAAAAGTTTATGATAACTTGCAAGAAGTAACAAAAAAACAGTCATTATCTAATGCATGGATGGTACATAGAGCTGGAAGAGTTACAGCTTCTGTGTGTTTTCAAGTTTTAAGAATGAAAAACAACCCATCACTTGTAAACTCTATCATGCAGTACACTACCTTTAAATCCAGATTTACAGAATATGGTAAAGAAACTGAGCAATTTGCAAAACAAAAATTTCATGAAATGGAAGGGAACAATCATAAAGACTTTAAGCTTAACAGGGTAGGATTACAAGTGCCTTAAAATGTAGAATCATTTTGATCTATTTTCCCCTTTTGATCTATTCAGGCATATCTTAGCAGCTCTACATTTCAACGAAAACTTGAAAAGGGAAGTGAAAATTAACACAGATGAGAAAACAAAGGTATTGGTGACTTACCCAAAGTTCAAGAATGGCGAAGCAATAGTGAGAGAGGCCAGAGTAGAGCAAACTTTTGGTAAGGTGATGATTTGTCCCAATCAACAAGTTTCTTGTTAAAAAAACTAGTCCTTCAAAGGGTTGGTATTAGTAGTGTTTAACTGGTCTTACTAGCCTTCCTGTGATAAAATGGAAACTTATTTGGAGAAGCTTATATATGATAGTTCTTCATGATTAATTTGTTCATATTTTCATAGTTTACTTTTTGTTGTTTTTTAGAGGATATAAACCAACTTTATACAACATTAGAGAAGGCACTGCATAATTGCAACCTTGAGGCAAGTAAAATAGCATTGAAAGAAATGACCCCACCCCCTTTGAGTGACTCTATGAAGAAGCAGGACAGAGAAACGGCTGTAAAAAAACATCATGCCCGAAAGACAATGGTCAACAAAGAAGTCCCATCAACAAATAAACAAAGTAAGTATATTTACGTTGTTTGGATAATATTGCCTTTTATCTGTTTCTAATCAAATAAGTAAGTCAGTAATTTAGTCAATCAGTAGATAAGCAGGCAGGTCAGTTCAGTGAGTCAGTCTGTTTGGTCTGCCAGTAACATTGGAAAGCTTTTAAAGGAAATAACTTTTTTCAACAGCACTTGAGAATAAGAAGGACAACAGCAAGAGAAAAAAGAGCTGCTCCAAGATGCAGTAAATGCGGGAATCTTAGAAGAGGCCATTCACAAACAGATTGCATGAAATAACATTTGAAGTTCTTCTGGATAACGCTAGGGTATAATGAATAACACTCTTTTTTTATAAGAACATTTTTTTGAAAACAACCTCCTTAACTGGTCAAAAATAAAGAACAAATTAAGAACAAGCTGAGATTGGAAAGATTAATTAAGGAGGAACAAGGTGTGACCTCGGACCATCGAGAACATGATGAGAGAATCAGATGTAGTGATTGTTTCAAAAGACACTGATTTTCTCGTCCTCTTGATCTGGGCGTCCACAAATATGCAAATAAAACATAGATGGTTCTACCAATTCGATCATGAGAAATTTTTAGAAGCTAGAAATATTTGTAGAAGCCTGGGCCAAAATATTTGCTCTGCCCCCCTAGCGATCCATACCATTACAGGTTGTGATACTACATCCTATTTTGACAGGGCTGGAAAACCAGGATCTTAAAGAAACTTATAAACGATGAATCAAAATGTCAGCTGATTGAGTCATTGGGAGATTACTCGAAATTAGGCCAGAATGCCCTCAATGACAAACCGAAGTTTCCACCATCACTCTCAAAGAAAGTAAAAAGAGCTACAAGGAACAAAATAATGATGCCGATGCAGAAGCAAGTGAAGTAGTGCCGACCAGCAAAAGAAAGACAAGAAAACAGAATCAAGACAGACAAGACAGACCTGCTGTTAATCACAATTGTCCATACAAGAGATATATTGAAATGAATAGAGGAAATTCATCACAGCAGATAATAGAATCAGAAATATCCACTAACGAAAAGATGATGAAAGAGAATGGGAGGTTTCTGATTTTCTTTCAAGTGATGATTCTGTGGATGAATGGTCGCTGTAAACTATGAATTCTTTATACATTTTAAGCTGTAGTAATTAGTAGAATTAGAACAAATAAGTTTTAAACCAGTAAATACGAAGTGCTTTAATAAAATTACCCCATAAACAAGCTAAAGCATGTTAAAAAGGGTTCTAGTAGCTCGTGAATTGGGCTTTTATAAAAATTGCTCCTGCGGATTTGCTCCTATTACAATGCTAAACAAGATTGCTCAAGCAATTTTTCAAAATAGAGAAGTAAAAATTTTGATGAGCGGAAATTATGATGTCATCGATCACATGATTTCTATTGTGTTTGCCCCAGCTGGTCAGTCGTCACGTTTTTTTAACTACAAGAAAACTCACAGCATTGTGCTTTTGAGAGTTTGTGATGCTAATTATGATGCACTCTCGTTGATATTGGTCGCCAAAGTGATGGCAGTGTATATTCAAATAGCAAGCTAGGCTATGCCATCGAGAATAACTTTTGAACATACCAGCTGATGCAAAAATCACTAATTCGGAAAAGGTTTTGCCAAGGTTTTGTCTGAGATCTGGGGAATGGAGACAAGACACCAATAATATGAATGGAATGATTTCAATTAGAGACATCGGAGCTTCAAAAAATTATGGTGAGGATGCCAAATGGGTCCGAGATCAATTCAAACACTTTTTTAGTAACAAAGGAGCTGTCAAATGGCAACAGGACATTGTACGAAAAGCAAAATGAACAATTTCAAATAACATCATTATATTAACAGAAAACGAACTAATGATTAATAAAATTTGCTTGCATAAACCAGATGGCTAATTACATTAAACAAGGAATTCTTCATACATTATGCAAGGAATATTTAGTTATGTTATGACATATAAAATTATGACATACAAATAAGCAGATATATTACAAATTAGCAAAATGTATTGATATATCAATTCTCCAAAGATTCACAATTGATAACATAATAGGTTCAGCTGTGCTTGAATATAGGGCTAATTCAAAGCTCGATTCTAAAACAGGGATTGATTAGAGAGGGAAAAACCAGATCTTTTTAGAAGGTTCTTTTTTGCAGCAACCATTTCAAATCATTTGGCTGCTTTTTCTTCAAATCTGTCAGCATAAAGGGGGGGGGGAGACTTAACTAGATGCAAAAGATGAAAATGTCATCAAAGGGGCCTTATTCTAAAGGGCAATCTTTCATAAGAAATCTCAGCTGGAAAAGTTGGAGCCAGACCTTAATTATTATGGAAAGAGGTGCAATACATGATTGAATTGGACCGGAAATTGAGGGACAATTGTCCTATCCCTAGAAATTGTGTTAAAAATGCCTTGTTTTGGCTGTGACAAGTTTATTGATATTTGCAGTGTCTAATGAGGGGCTTTTGTATCAAAATTTGCAACTGATAAAGTATTATTCATCATTAAATTCAATGTCATACAATAACTGCTGAATTTTTAATTTTGCTAATCTCAGTTTTCTTTTATCAAAATCCTGAAGAACAGTTATCAAGCTCAAACAGAATGAAGTTGCTTCATCATTTTCGTCAAATCTTGATTTATCCATGTCTTTCAATTCTTGCAAAAAAGGATCTTTCATAGAGGCATCTGTTTCGGCTTTTCTTTTAACACGCTCGGGAGGCAGATCCTCCAGAGATGGAGTGTTGAACGAATCTTTTGATGTGCCTTCCGTGTTATTTGGTGCTAACTAGACATTGCCACGAGTTGGCAGATTTGATGTCTTTTTGTGCAAAAATTGCATTGCTGAAAAGTACTTGCACTCCAGGAGAGATGCTGCAGCAGCTCCATATCTTGTTAAGGCTCTTCTTTTATCCAGACACTTTTTCAAAGAATCCTTCAAATTTTTAAGAACTTTTTGTAGGTATGGGACTGCAGAAGAAATTATATTGTTAACAAAGAAAAAAAAACATTCCTACCTATTAACAACTATTAACAGCCCAATTATTAAGAACTGTATTGATATTTTGCATAGAAACGTAGCGGCAAAGTTTCAAAAGCAACAGTTTTGTTAAATTCCCTGTTCCAAATTACCATCCATTTTCAAAGTCGTTCTTGAATAACCTCCCTTAGTAAATTCCGTCTATAGTCTCGTAAGAAAAGTTACAAACTGCCAGATCTACTGCCAGATTAGATCATTCAAAAAATTTCTACAACGCAATACAGGAACACTTACCTTCTTGATTGAACATGTTTGACAAAATGTTCAATGCATTCATTTTCATGCTCCTGTTTCTATAGTTGCTGTCACTAGTGTTCCAAAGGCACTTGAACTCCCTTAGTGTTTGCTAAAACATTTCCTTGTCGAAGGGTTCAGGGCTGTCCTCAGTAAACGACAATTGGTCCCCATCTATTCCAACCTGGGGCTGCAATTTTAAATTGCTGGAAACAAATAGTAACCTGCCGTTTGAAGAAACATTTTCTTCGAGTTGTCCATGCATTGGGTGCACCTCATCTGAAGCCATTTTGACCCACGATGTCTAAAAGCTTACTGTAATTCTATTGGCTAAAAATTTGACGATCGTCAAGATTATATTTTTGTCGCGATGATGCGCTTTTAAAAACCGCGCATGTGTAGTTGCACAAGTTTCTGATGATCGTCTTAAAATTGTCTAGTGGAGATCCGCCTTGAGGAGGGCCAATGAAAAGAAAATAACTTTATTTGCCACACCCAAACCACGCTTCTATTTGGTTTCTGGGCTGGTTTTCATAGCTTACTGAAATTGTCACTTAGCCCTTTAATTGGCAAATATAGATTTACTTTCCCGTAATCGAAAATTACATTAAGAATAGACATAAGCTCGAAAAGACAGAAAACAGAACAATTGTACAAGTGATTTTCATAAAAAATTTATGCAAGTTTATTGTTGATTGTATGTCCGTTAATAAATAATGTAAAATGTAAACAATGGAATGGTTGTGGCCTATTGAAAACAGACAAAAATCCGGTAGAAAACCACACACTTCCCTGCTTTAAAGTAGCCAGAATATTAGAAATTTGCATATTCTAACTTAACCCGAAAATCCGAAATGAAAGTAAACATCTCTTGTATCTTTTAACTTGTTGTTTCGTTTCAACTGTAAACCCAACAGAAACGATCTGTTTGGGGCCGCCATTATGGAAGTTTATAAAATAGAACCAGTGCAAATCCAATTTGCGAAAAATTCCGAAATGAGGCCCAAAAAGTCCCAAAATGCAATGAACACTTCAAAAAATTTGATAGCTTTTTAAAGATGTAAAAGTTGAACTATTTTCAAAATCTCATGGAAACAACATGCTCATGCCCCTAAAGATTATAAAAATCTTTTGTTTTCAATGAAGAAATCCTTATCTTAGTACTGTTGCAAAACAATGGTAATCCTATATAGTTCTGTCCTTCCTACGGCACTGCACATACACTGTACTGCTGAAGCCTACCCCCTTGCCTCTTGGTCATTGCCGCGTCCTTGTATCTCGCAAGGAGGACATTTGGTATCGTAAAATAAGCATCGTTCCTGCTTTTCCTGTCCTATTTTTTTATCATTGTAGAATATATATTGTTAACTGATACAGGTTAAATGATTAATTAGTATTAATAGATTTCAGGGATATCTCTAAATCCGAAGAACACAGACATGAAATGATAAAACAAAATGAAGATGCAAATTTGTAAACAATCTAAATGTAAAGTGCATATATATAGTTACTAATTAAAGTCTTTTACTTCCAATGAAATTCAGAATCATCTATGTCTTCTCTCATATTTAATTCACAAAAAACTCTTGGAGACAGGCACTTTGCAGCTTCGCTCTGCAAATTCGAATGGATCTTTCTTGGTTGGTATCCCCCTTTTCAAATTCAGAGAGGGATGTTTTGTATCCGTCAAGGAAGGATGCCAGGTCCTTTAATTTCTTTTTGATGTTACATTGAGCCATATCGTATGCTGTTTCAACGGATAAATTTTGGGCAAATGAAGCCTCAAACTGTATGTAACCATCATATTGTTCTAAATTTGTTCTTGAATTAATTGTGTGATCTTAATTTGTTCTTAACTGTTGACAAAATTTTTAAGGCTCTTATTCTAACAAAATTGTTCTTATAAAAAAGAGCGTAAAAGAAATAGACTGCCTAATAATTTCAATGGCACTGTAACATTTGATGGTATTGTAACTAATATTTTTCACAGATTTCATAATCAACATGAAAAAACTTTGGAGAATGGGGTATTTTAAATACAACTTGATTGTTTCACAGAACCAAAAAAACAGGTACGGATGTGCCCCTGGCATGTATTATACCTCCATTCCTGCATGAAGATGAGGTAGAATCACACTTCAACTTACAGGTAAGTCTCATCTAATTTTTAAATTCTACCTCATCTTCATTACATCACATCATTTTTTCAAACATAATAGTATTTATCAACCAAAGCAAATTTAAGCATTCAGTATAAACTGTCCAAAATTAATGTCATCATACTTATCAACAGTTTTGTTATAATACTTCTCAAACGTTGTCTCATGAGTCCAGCCTGCTGCCTTCATCATAACTTTTTTTGGCATACGATTACATTTCGAATACGATGTTGCTGCAGATCTAATGCTATGAGCACCAATAACATTGATGTCCACTCCTGCATTAGACAAAACTTCCTTACACCAATGGCTGACTGTACTTCTACTTACAGACCAAAAAAGGTTTAACGGTGCTGATAAGGAGTTTTCAGCACGTATTTCGCTGAAAACGTGAGTCTTTGTCTTTGCAAGGTAGCAGGTTATATTATTTATTATGCAATGAGTTCATGATGTAATGAGTAGGATGGTCAATTATAAAAGAAATTTTGAAGAAACAGATTTTATTTCAGGCATGGATAAAGTGTCTTGGAAAATACATCTAAACTTGGATTTGCCTGCAATTAAATATGGCCGAGCAATGGAAGCAGAATCCTTGGCAGCATTCTTTAACACAAAAATATTGAGAGCACAAAAATGCAAAAATATTGGATTGTGGTCTTTTCCTATGCAAAGATGTTCCCTGTGTTGGAGCTAGTCCGGATAGAATAATTGTATGTGACTGTTGTGGAGAGTCATGCCTTGAAGTAAAGTGCCCCTTTTCAATCTCCCATACTAGCCAAACTTATCCCAAATTACGCTTGCCATATTTGATGCTGACTGAGAACTCCACAGTCATGTGAACAGGAAGCACAAGTACTTTACCCAGCGCCAAGTACAAATGGCTGCTACAGAAATGACAAGAACCTACTTTCTTGTGTGGACTTCACATGGAACTTTTACAGAAAAACTATATTTTAATAGTGGTTTTTGGAGTTACTAGTGCTTACTGAAAGACGAGTTTATTTGTAATCTAGTTAAAATTCAAATCAAAATAAGTATTCAGTTGCTAATTATACTTAAAAAACACAAAATTAAGTCTTCCCAATGTTAATCATGTTGATTAAGCTTTAACTAGAGGTGGCTGAATATTACAAATTGCAGCACATGTTCTCATTAAATCATCAGCAAATAGAAGTACTCAAAGTGGTAAAGTGTTCATTAACATCCTGACAGTTTTTCTTTGGTTGATTGCTCTTTCAACATGGATCCTTAAGATCTCTTTTGTTTTTTTGCATTCCCTTTCTGTCATCTGAGACTTGACCCTTGCTCCAGGTGGACATACAAGTACAGTAGAAATGAAGCAGATCATCTCTTATTTGAAAACCTTGATCTGCCATAATCTCATTGCCATACTCTAGGAAATTATAAAGTCCACTGTCTCTACATATGTGTTGGTCAGTAGCCCTTCCCCCATAACCATTAGAGAGAAAGGGAATAAATCCAGATGGAGTAATTCAAATCAAATATTTTATTGTATTATGTTTCTTATAATCTGACCAAACTCAAACTCAAAATATTTTTTTCAACATAAAATTGATTAATTACAATATACCGGTTAACATAATTATACTAAATATAAAATATCCAAGTTAATATGGCTAAATAACAATGAATGGTCAATCGCAATATTTTATAGAGAGCAATGAGAATTAAACAATTTTAGGCTGATGGACACATGGAAAGAACTTTGGGCAAGCTATCGAGCCATGTATCCAAATTGACGTGTTTATAATGACGATTTTAAGTTTGAATAATAACAGTAAGATATAACAAGAATAAAATAAAGTAGAACGAAATAAAAATAAGACTATGTGTAATCTTGTAATAACAGCTAAATGCAATTATAAAAAAATCATAAAGTAATCAAGCCTACAGATGTCAAATTTTGTTTGTAAGAAAATATTTCATCTGTTTCACAAAGTGGTGTTTATTATCCATCTTTTTTAACTCTATAGGTAGGGAGTTCCAAAATTTAATACAATCGAAAGTGAGAAAGTTTTTTTTAAAGTTTGTAGAGATGGATGGAAGAAAAAAAACCTTCAGAAGAAGATTGCTGTGTATCATAATTGTGTACATTTTTTGTTTTTACAAACTCGCCTTCAAGAGAAGTTTTGTCAGAGCTAATTTGATATATCATTTTTGCTGTCTCAAGCAGGTAAAGTTTATCAAAGTTAAATATTTTAAGGCGTTGCTGCCTCGTCATCAAGTGATTTTGGTCTTTCAATATAAATCTCAATGCAATCAATGATGCATCTTGCCTTGCTGTGAGCTCCATTAAAAGCCCGCATTACTTCACTTGGAAGCCATGAAATTAATGCACCTCCTAATACAGTGCTCAAAATCGAATCAATGTGCAAAATATTCTTGAGCAGCTTGAGGAAGAGATCTTAAATCTATCTGCCAAATCATTAAGTAGTGAGCCAAGCCTTAGGCGCATAAATACAAGCAAAAATTGGTCTTTCTTTGTCAGTTTATGTGTTTTTGTTCTTTTCTGTCCATGTGTTTTTGCTTTGTGTGAAAATATGGTTTTTGATCCTCTCCAAAGAACCAAATTTCGCACATATGGTTTCAAAACTGAAAACAGTGCATGAAACACCTTAACAGTCTGAATGCCAGTAAAAAAATTCATCTTGGAATCTGCTGACATTCCCAATGACTTGGCCTGCCTTTTCTCCATTCCTTGACCGAGGGTGTTCCTAAGTCATTAGGGTGCCAACCCTCCTCATTGCAAGAACTGTCTAGGACATTAAAGATCTCATGGTCTGATCTTGACCTATTGTGATCATCATCATCATCACAAGCAGTTGAAGAACTTGGTTGAGGCTCCGCAGCTCTTCTCACTAAGGTTCTTCTTGGTCTTTTTGCTGGTTTGTCATAACCCAAATCTAAAGAAGGGTTAGGGTTAGCCAGAGTTGGTCGCCCCTCAACGAAATGTCGTGAACAAACCATGTTGCTCTGGCCAGGAGTCCACTCTTCATTCCCTTTTCTTGTTCGATGCATTAGTCTTGTCCACCACTTTCTCTTCTCCCAATTTAGCTTGATGCTCGTAAAAACATGCAGTGTAAATGGGCGAGCACAAAGACAACTTTAGTGTGGTTTTCCTGAGTGTTCATCGCAGCTACTTTTCTCCAAATTTTTAAGTTTGTATCGACTGTTCCTACAACCAAAAACTGCACAATTGTATAAAACTCATGAATGACTCCTGTGATTCTTCCATTGGCGTTGAACTTTCTGTTGTATGGAACTGCAGCCTCATATCTTGCTGCTTTCTATGAATAAAATTTGATGGTTGACCATCCATCAATTGGCAAATCTTTATCCATTTTTGGTGTTGAATCAGAAACAGCAGATCCTGAAGAACTTTCAATACTTTCCAGTGAATTATTATTTGGTGTTGCATTGTTTCAGTATCTGTTCTGGTTGAAGTTAATTCATCTATGAATCTACAGTCCTTCATTGCTCTCTTCTTTGTTAAAGTTTAGTAGGACTGCTATTCGTTACTCTCTTGTTCAGGATTGAAAAATGCAGCATGGATCCATGAAGGTATGGTTGTAGCGAAAGTTTTTGAAAATTTGGAAAATGTCTTATCTAAAAGATCAACTAGCAAGTGAGTGCTGACACCATCTGGGTTCATTGCTGAATTATTTGTTAGTGCAAGAATTCCGGGAACAGATCTGAAGCGCTTTATCAAAATTGTAGCTATGTGCCTGGCAACAGATGTTATTTCATTTTTTGGACGCTGCTTTGTGTGGATGTTTGTGAAATCATTTACAATCAGCACTATCAAATCTCTTTCCTGAATAGAGTCATTGATAAATTCAACAATTGAATTGAATGCTGGTGGCTTTCTGCTGACTAACACAAAGCTCACGTTGCTATGTTTTTTTAAATTGCTATGCCACTCTTGTTAAGAACTGCTAAACCTGTTTTACTCAATCCAGTTCCTACAACCTGATAGTGCCTTTTGAAACCAGCTTGACCTTTCTGATTGCCCGTGCATCAGCATATTAATAATGGCAACACATTTTTTCTCATTGAGACTTTTTCGTTTTGTGACTGGCTAACTGTTGACATCAGACATCAGAGTTTGAAAAAGGTTATTTGCCCCAGTAGCTTCGCAAATACTCTTCATCGATTCTGGATCAAAGGGAGGCATACTTTCTGACCCAAATTTGGAAGATATTAAACTGCAGCATTTGGCTACTTCTTCTTGTAAATCAAATCTGTTATTGATAGTGGAGATGAATTTTGGAAGAATACTGGTCGGAATGTATGTAAAGTTATCGGCCATTTTTAATGAACCAATTCTGCCTATATATTGGAAATAAACAGAGCTTGTTGTTACATACTCAACTATATGTTTCGATCAATTTCCTGTTCCTCAAACAGAAATTTCTTCTTTTCTTCACTGAATTCAGGCCTGTCTGGTGAACTTTAATTTTGTGAGCTCATTCCTTGGCTGTACATGTCTTCACTTTTGCTTAAAACCCCATAATCAGTTTGTAATCGCTTAAAACTCCTGTAATATACTACATATACTGAATAGAAGGGGAATCTGAGGAAATGTTTGATAGGCAGATGGGTTGGATTAAGGGAGGGGGGGGTGGATAGAGTTAAGAGACATTGGTTGTTAAGAGACAGTTGTATTCTTAACCAAATAGTGATAATTTCTTGAAAAAATATATTTTTTGTTGAAAACATGCTTATTCTGATCTAGGTAAGCATGTAAACTATGAAATTAATTTGTTCTTTTTTTATTTTTTAATTTGAAACTAATAGATTTTCAATTTGTTGCATATTTGCAACCTTGGCATGTAATGGTATAATAACATACAATTTTTTCAATGCACTAAAAACCTGTCCATAAGCTATTTTCTAGCAAAAGTGCTAACAAATGATATGAAATACTATTATAAAATTTCATGGCATAGCTTAGGGTTAATAAGAGCAAAAATATTTGAGTGACATTGTGTTCTGGGGGCATTGTGTTCATAGTTCTTCTTGGGTGCCCTAAACCGTAAAAAAGTGGGGTATGTATGGAATTATGCTTTTAATGGTTTACCTAGCCTTGCTTGCAACAATTTTGCTCAAAAAGAAACATTACCCTGCGAAAACAGGGGTGGACATATGCATTCAATGCCTACACCCTTGATAGGAAATTCCATTGTTTTAAAATTATCCTGGTTTTTTGGTCTTTTTGTGGAAAATTAGACAAGCTGTTCAAGGAATTTAGACACTAATTAAAGCATAAGCAGTGTCCAATATACAGTTCTGCATCCATGTCAAAAATCATAATTTCAGTATGTTCATTCTGAATGGTATGCAATGAAACAGTTGCTGTTGCTCTTCAGGCATAAGCCCACGGCTTTCTCCCTATCTTATCTGTGGTGACAGAGTCGGTACTTTTCCTTTTTTTTGGTCTTCCTGGAGTTCCTGCCTTTGCAGTATCTTTTTTGGCCTTGATGAAGCCTTAGGAAATCTGGGAGGAAAATTGCAACAAACTTTGTTGTTTTCTCTTTGAAATTTCCAATAAACTGCAATCACGTTGATATAAAAGCAAAGCATTGACTTTGCAGATATCAACGCAGTGCCAGAAAACCTTTATGTACCAGCGATGTGTTTTTTTTACAGCTATCCTGTACAGTGCAATCAGCATGTCGGCTAAGTCAACACCACCCATCCCACCATTGTATTCCTTTATGATTCTTGCGCACTGGATTTCTTTCCTGCATTTCTCCGCTGGAATCCACCTATTTACTGAACTCATTGGCTCAACACCAATTAAATTAGGGGCAATGTGGACTGCATTGTTATCCATCCATTTTGTTATGATAACACCAATGTTGAGGTAGGTCATGTAATCAATTGAGCCACATCCCGATTTCTTCAGCTCCTTGTTTGACTTCGAGGTACACCCTTAGAGACGATTAGCATGTATTGTACCACAAGCCAAAATGCCCAACTTTTTCAGGTAGATAAACAGGCTGATGAGAATCAGTTATCAAAAAATAACTTTTGGCCAGCATGATGAGGCAAATCTTTACACAGCCTTGCAACCACCTGAGCAGATTTCTGGAGATTTTCAAAGCTATCTGTGACTGGGTCTTCTTTAATTTTCCCACCATATATGTAAAAATCATATGGAATCCCAAAAGCATCTGCTCTCGCAAGATTTTTAAAACCCCATTTGTTGGGCTTCTTTGAATTGTACTGCTGTAGTTTGCTGTAGCGGGTCTTTGAGGGTATGATTTGTTCATCCACAGCATGACATTTTCCTGGTGGAATTAGAAGACACTGGTTCCGTACGTAATTTATATTGTCAATGAAATGGAGATATATCTTCAGCTTCTCAAAACGCCCACAGGGCATGACATCCGCAACAGGTGGATACCTCATATCTTGGGACCAATACGAAACATAGGTTGGAAGCTGCACAATTCCCATCTTTATGTGCATTCCTATAAATTGCTTAATTTCATCTTTGTTTGTCTTCACAGAATTTCCAGATTGTTGGGTGCTATACAGGTTTGTTTGCCCAACGACAGGATTCGTAAGTTGATCCGCCCAAAGCTGTTTGAAATACTCGACTGGAGGCTTTTCATGGACGTATAGCAGTACACAAAGAATAAACAACAATAAATACACGTAAATCATTGAAGGCTAATATTTAACCTCGGCATAGGGGGCTTCATCAGAGCAAAATAAAGGACGCCCTGTTCTTCAAAAGCATTGAATTTTGATTGGCATTTAGGAATATCTCTGTCTCCATCTGTAAGAATGCGCCTCATCTCTGCTCTTATTCTGGTCTGTTGGTTTTGAATGTTCTTCTCCTGCATCAATGACGTCTGCACTACTATCAGCATCAACACCTCCATCTGGCTCATTTTGTGGTTCGTCATCATTTAGTACCTCCTCTTCCATTCCCATCTCATCATCATCACCTTCATCTGAACTAAATTCTCCCACCTCTGAATCATACTAACTCATCACAAATTCCAATGCATCATTAAGACGAACCAATATTACGCAAAGGTTAGTTAGTTTCATCTATAGTTATCAGTCCTGTTAAGGTACCATCACAAATTGCATTTAAATCAGTAATTGCTCTGTCAATTCCCAAGGCAACCCTTCATTCCATTATGCTTTCATCACAATCATCATTATCCAAAACAATCCACAATATTTTCAATTTAAATTCTAGACATTGTTCAGAGTATATAACCATCAGCTATGAGACTCAGAAGTAAATGAAAAATGTTAACTACAACTCTATTTATAATATAGTAATCGAATGACTAACATATTCTGACTGTTATTATAACTGTATTTTGATTGGTTGAAACTGATTTAATATTCGAGATACTGATGTGATATTTGAAAAAATGCTAACACAGCATTCAAATTGTTACATGTGCAACTTACAAATAGTAAAACCATGCGTACGCCTTATACCGCTTGACCACCAGAATGGGGATGCATAACAGTGTAATCTCCATTTAATTCTATTTTTACATCACATTTTCCTTGTAATGTTTTTAAACGTCCCCTGCATCTCTTACTTTTACATGCCCCTTGTAGAAACCATGTAGGCTGTAGACCAAATTCGTTTTACGCACTTTGAAAGAAAATTTTGTTGCACACACTTTGAAACTAGGGACATTTTTCACAAAAAGGCCCTATTGAAAAGGTTTGCACAAAAGCCAAATTCAGGTCATCAAAATAATTGCAAACCTCTGTGAAGCAGCACATATGTAAATGGCGGGTTGTTGTTAGCCATTTCTCGAAATTGTTGAGTCAAAGACAGTATCAAGGCAAAAGTTTTGGGGGGATCTCAAAACAGTAGTAAGTCCATAGAAAAAAAATTGCAAATTTATTCTTAGAATAATTGGGAACTAATATTAATGAGGATGCCTCGCAGCCACAACAAACCTAACACCTTTTTTTTAAATTTAGTTTCCTTAAACGTTTGAATCAAAAGTCATCTTCGGGGTCATTTTCGGAGTTACGAGTATCATGATAATTCAAGATTTAATTCATCTCAAAAGTCATTTTTTTAAAACATTGATATATTTTGCCCATCAATCAAATGAAATTTCTGTTTCGTAGTATCATCTGGGATTAATACTCAACCGTAGCTGCTGCGTCTTTTCAGCTTTATATCAACTGATTTGAAGAGCTTTAAGTTAACAGTTTGAATCCAACAAGGAAATAGGCAACAAAATTAATCGAACATTTGCAGCTAATAACTCAGCCGCAAGCCTTGAAATTTCATATTTTTGCTGCTGTATACTCAGGTATATATGCAGAAACCGAGTATCTGCTGTGTTAACAATTCCTTCCGATCGACAAGTGCATCACTTAAGCTGTAGTTGCCACTTACAAGTTTAGATTCAAGCTGTATCATTCTTTTCCGTTAACGTTTTAAGCGCTCGTTTGTAGACTGAAATAGCTGTTACAACTCTTCTTGTCCTTGAAAATAGTAAGATACACACAAACAGGAATAAAAAAAAATCTCAACTCAGAAAACCAAAGGAAAGCAAAAGGAGTATTTTGTACCTGTGATTATGCTGCTTGCTTTGTCTGTCTTTTTGACTAAGTCCTCAAAAACTGGAACTGAAAAAACCTCCTCGTGCAATTTAAAGTACTTTGCAGGCTGGTTAGTGACTGTTAAAGAACTTGATCATAGCAAGGATGCTGAAGTTGAAATTCGAAGATTAGCCTTGCATTATGAAGAAAACTTTAAACATAGAATCACATTTATTTAGTAAGTCATCTAGATAAGGTCATTTCTCACATCGTGGCATTGATATATATATATATACCTCAGCTGCTTGGATGAGTTGAGCAAAGGAGCAAAGGCTGGCAGCAGTCTCGCAACATGTTCAAGCCAGGGCCAGTATTTTCACATTATATCCTGCCAAACGAATTCTAACTTGGATGTATCTGCAAGCTGTTGGTGTAGAAAAATCAAATACCCGTATTGTTCACTGGCAAACATATTCACTGCCTTTAGCGCTGACACATGTCAACATCAGGCAACAACCAAACCAGTTTCGTCATTAGTGTATTGCGATTTTGACTTTGATGTAGCCACTTGCCAGTACAATGCCCCACACATGTTGTCATCTGTGTGTTCCTGGAAATGAAAAGCAAAATATGCAACCCTTAGGGAATATCAACTGAATTTTACTCAAAAAGATTTTGGCAACTTAACATGTTTTAGGGCAAACAATCCTTTACTTGACATATAACACGAAAAAATTGCATAAAGCGTGAAAGTACCTATTCAAGTTCACATCAAGACTGTTAGAAATGAGACTTAAATGTTGATAGGATTTATATCGAACATAAAACAGAATCAAAGATAACATCAAATAATTTTATTTGAACAGCTAAATTAAAGGATTCACAAAGCTCCAAAAGCAAAAGTGCAAGTAAATGAATGCAAAAAACGACACTGTAAATAACACAGACCTGGGTCCCCATCTTATCATAAAGACTTTTCATGTGTGCTTGCTCTTCCTTGTCCTTGCAAATGAATTTGTCACCGTGAAGGTAATTATCTGTGCCCCTGAAAACAAATGTGTACCATTTGTCTGAAAAAAGAATTTAATAAACGATAAAACTGTAAGCCTATGAGAATATAAAATAAACAATTGAGAGAAAAAAATGAAACTGAAAAAACAGCCCTCTCAAAACATGTCAATTTTCAGATAGACACACATCTCTAGCAAAATACAATGAAGACAAACTTTCCTTTTAGAAAATATCTACATTGAATTGATTAATGGAAAAAAACTGGTCATCTGGAAAACACAACTTGATTTAGAAACAGCAAACTCCCTGAAGGCTGATATAAATTTTGCTTGATTCTGTCATGTACTACCTCGACACCTTGTTGAACCAGTAAGTTTTCCAATGGCCATCAATTTGAATTGAATGGCATCTTACATAACACACCGTGCATTGAAATCGATCCTCCCTTTCTTTAAAATTTTAAATTGTTTTCAAAGGCAAGCCATATGCGAAAAGACTTCCCAAAGGATGTTGCATTTATTGAGGCTTGCTGTTTAAAAAGCTAGTGATTTTTTTAAAGAAAAAAAAGATAATTAACATCAAACAAACTAAAAAAATAGCTATGCTCAAGGTCCCTAAAAATACAAAGTTCTGATGACCAACTGAAAATAGCTACTTTAATTTCAATCAATGAAAATTACTGTTTTACCACATAGGAAGAGTTGTATAAAGTTCAGAGTTGCAACTTCTGGCTTTTTCGTGCCTTTTGGAAATTTGGTTTAATGTATGATTCATTTAATGATCAACTATGCATTGATACCTAGATAATTCAGAATTTCATAAATAAAGGTTTCTTTAAGCGATTTCTTTAAAATGTTCATATATCTCGTTTTTACCCATTCTGCGTTTTTAGAAATTGACTCTCAACTTCTCACAAATGACAACAACGATGTTCTTGGTGAGTTGTTTTGAATGTTCTCCCAAAACTGAAGCAGCTCTGTTGAATAGAATGTGGTTGATTTCTGAATGCTGGCAGGCCAAAATCCAGACTTTATCATTGAAAACAGTGTGCAGCCATTGGATTTTATTTGAGCAACTTGTGCACTGGCAGAATATGTCATTGAATCCAAATCGACCTGAAAAACTATCCAATAATTTCTGGCATGAAATCAAAATTTGTTACCAATCTGATTAAGGTACAAGTATTACTAGCAACTTGTTTCTATATAGCATTTGAACATCTATTACTTCTTAATTAAGAACTGGTAAACGACTTTCATAATATATATTAAGAAAAAACCATTTACTGTAACAATAGTAATCTTGTAATCAGCACATTGTCAAGTCACGCTGGTTCCATTTTGGCAACTCGGACAGGAAGCAGGCCAATTAATTGGTCTTGCTATAAAAGAAAAGTCTTTCACCTAAGCAGTTTATACTATCAAAGCTACATAAATTGCAATACACAACAAATACCTTATCAATAGAAATGGAATAAATTGCATTTGTGCTTATATAAAAGCTGTTGACAGGAAACTCATGGAAACAATTTTAATTGTTTTACCAAAATGTAGATAAACTGCATAAAATGCTTTGCTCAGCTTTACTCTGATTCATCTAGTCTTTTATCAATTAACTGTTGAAACTTTTATTTCATCTCAAAGAAGTATAGTGCATTTGCATAACAGAGAGATGGAAGCAAATATGTATGTAGCATCTCATACCAAAGGAAACCAGAGTACCATCTACAAGTGTCTTATTGTGGGTATGCCCTTAAAGGGCCTATGAAATGAAATTTAAGTGATTGAAAAAATTACATTTTCTGATAGGAAAAAAATCAGTAAATCCAATCGTGTATAATTTGATGTATTTTATGCTGACGAAATGCAAAAAAAAGTCAAGAAGATACTCCGTTTTTTCATTTTTCTGGGAGACAAAGCGTGCGGCATTGTGACGTCATGTGGTTTGCAGATGGTTGCTGTGGTTTTATTTTTTGTTTGGTTCGTTGGCAACGTACATTGAAGATGGAGGAAACTTTCGGAACGACAGTGAAAAGAGGAGGGAAATATTGCGTAGCTGGTGCTGCTGGTAACAAGAGTTGCCAGAACACAAGTTATACAAATGGAATATCCATGCATAGATTCCCAAAAAACGAAGAAACGCGTAGAAAGTGGACAAATTTCGTTCGAAGGCACAGGCCTAACTTCTCACCCACTTCCACTTCCCATCTATGTTCTGCTCATTTCGCACCGACATCTTTTACAAGAAGATTAGACATAGGAATCGGCGATGGTGTGAATCTAAATCGGACACTTCAATCCGGAGTTTTTCCAACCGAAGATACCGTCATTTCGACAGCCGAAGAAAAAGGACCAACAGTTACACCTCGCGAGCGGCGACAGGTTAGGTGTCACGGTTTCTTGAAAGAATAAAACCAGATAGTTCGCTGTATGCACTTCTGCTGTTGCCAATTAAGCGAGTCCGCATGATGTATGTTAGTATTAAGTTAAGGATATTGAAATATTTCAAATTACACCAGCTAGCTGATGTGTTAAATGTAATTTCAGTCTGCAGCTATTCGGTGTTTTTTGGTAATTTTTTACAAAACACAAGTTATGGGAATGATTTCAGATATTTCCCTAATAATTTTAAACATTTATTCATTATCTTCCTCTACTGAAGCTTGTACGAAGTTTGGTAAATGATCAACTGCCACCAAGCCTAAATGAAGACCAAAACGAAGACCATTATGAACCAGTTGCCCATGAATGTTTTTGAATGTGACGAGCTGAAACTAAAGCTTAGAAGGTGTCCGAGGAATTTAAGTAAAGCACGGTTACTCTTTTCCACACCACTGGAGGATTTCCATGAAACAATGAGACATCATGAATCATTGGTTCCCGAGCCCTTAAGCCACAAGTTTCAGGAAAGGCTGACTCAAAAAGCTGCAGTTGACAAGCGGAAGGCTAAGACAAGGACAGTTGCTGAGTGCTTTATTATTATATTTATATAGATATTTATATATAAATAAATATATAACTAAACATATAATAATTTCCTTTTATATCATAGATGAAATAAACATATTAAGAATTCCTGCTAAATTAGTCACAATAACCTTCATGTTATTTTTTTAGTGAATGAACAGTTAAAAATGCAAGAAACTAGAAAGGCACAGAAGCAAGCAAACGAAAAGACAAATGCACATCAACAAAAGAGGGCACCATGTTGCAGAAAATGCAATTTGCCAATGAAAGGTCATCCACGTGGTCACTGTCAGAGCAATGAAGCAACCCTCTAAAATTTTCTCCAAAAGGCCTCGTTCCGTATAACATTTTCTGTTACTGCCATTGAGGCAATCATGTATCTTAAGTTTCATTGGAGGATAACAATATCCCTTTGCATTTTGAAATATCGCAGCATGTCTTTCAAAATATATTTCTGTACTTGTTATTTTGCAATCAGAATTTTGCCTCAAATTTTGCCTCACTTAACCAAAAACCAATATGAAAGAATTTTAATATTTCAAGTGAAAAGAAAAAAACTTCTGATTGAATGTTTTGAAATTCTCAGTGTATCAATTTTCTTCATAAGAAGAGGGTTAATCACGTTCCTCTGTTGTAGCATATCCTCTTAAGGAAGTAGTCGGGAACCGAGACCTGATTTCTTCATAAATGCAGGCAGGCAGTGGTCTTGTGTTGTCCCATCCCATAGGTCCAAAGATCCACCTTACCAGCCACCTATAGGCAACAGCTCTTGCATATCTGAAAATAAAAACAAACTTCTTATACTTCAAGCACATGCCATTATAATATATATGCATTGAGAATGGGGATTTGGCATGGAGATTTGAAGATAAGATAAGTTGTAAACCGATTTTCCTAAAAAATTATTTTGCCAAGTATATAAACCATATGTATATATATATATATATATATGTATTCAAAAGCTCATAATGTAAAATGTTTAAACGATAGTATATAGAATCAAAGAAAACACTTTCGTAAGACGTTTCGCTTTCGCTTCATCAGTAATAACTTTACAAAATCAGAGGAGCCTACTTATCAACCTAAATTACAATAGAACACTACAATACAATAGAAACCTAAGGGGCACCTGCCTAATACAATACATATTGTCAAATGTGTTAGAATGCAAACTGTTATGGGGAACTGGGGGAGAAGTGAAAAGAAAGGTAGAAGAAAGAATGTGATGGAGATGCTGGTGTTGGCTGTCTCACAAGAGATAGATGAAAGCCATAAAAGCAAAAAACAAAATAACGAGAAGATAAGCTATAAACGAAAGAGCCGACATTAAAAATTAAAAATATAAAAAAGAACTTTTAAAAATTTAAAACTGTAGAAGAATATATAAATGTCCTATGTATCTACCTGCCTAGTATTGAGACCCATCGGAAAGAAAGTATTCAAGCGATATTGCCAAAAACTTTCTCTCCTCCTATCATTACCTGTTAACCTATCTATGACCTTAACACTTATGTCATTCAGAAACCCCCGATGTCCTTCTTCGGAAAAATTGTCTGAAAAATTCCATCTGGGGCACTGAAGACCCTAAATTAAACTTACGACTACACGCCTTGTAATTATTAAACCTAAGCCTAAAAGGCGTGCATGTGCTACCTACATACTGGACTCCACAGACATTGCACTCAATTAAGTACACAACATTGGACGAGTCACAGTTAAACGAATAGTTGATCTTATATTCTTTACCTGTAGTGCTAGATTTAAAATTATCGCTGTTAGACATGACTTTACACACTTGACATCTGGACTTCTTACAACATGAACTTCCCCTGTTATTATGTCCCTTTTCCCTCCCACTTGTAAGCCTAGCCCTCACCAAAATATCCTTAAGATTCTTACACCTCCTATCAGAACTCTCTCCTTCAGAACTCTCTTCACTCGATAAGCTTAAATGTGATAAGGACATAATTATAAAAGAAGCAGATAAGGGTTCAGCGGTTGTAGTTTGGGATCGGGGGGACTATATAATGGAGGCTAACCGACAATTAGACGATAGGCAGGTATATGAAGAGGTTGAGGTGGATCCCTCTGTAGAACTGGGTAAGACCATAAATGATAAGTTAAAAGAAATAAGGGAGGCGGACCCGGCGTTAGATGAAGTGGCTGGCTATTTAGAAGTTAACAATCCTAGGTTAGGTAGATTTTATTTGTTGCCTAAGATTCATAAGGGTCTTAGTAATGTAAAGGGGCGTCCAGTCATTTCAAATTGTGGTACATTAACCGAACATGTTTCAGAATATCTAGACTACCACCTCAACCCGTTGGTTAGCCAAAGTAGGTCTTATGTTAAAGATACTAACCATTTTTTATCTAGGATAGGAAGTATAGGAACTATACCAGAAGGGGCAATTTTATGCACTGTTGATGTTGTGGGACTCTATCCTAGCATTCCACACGAGGAAGGTTTAGAGGCCGTAAGGGAGGCGCTGGATAGACGGGAAAATCCAGGCGTGGCTACTGACACATTAGCTGGGCTCGCTTCCTTAGTATTGGAGAATAACTATTTTGAATTTAATGATAGGTTTTATAAGCAGAAGTTAGGTACGGCTATAGGCACGAAGTTCGCTCCGGCCTATGCCAATCTTTTTATGACTAGGTTAGAGGAGAGGTTGATGGATACCTTCGCCGACAAGCCCCTTGTCTGGATGAGATTTATCGATGATATTTTCTTTATCTGGACACACGGGGAGGATAGGCTGAAGTTATTCATTGACCATCTCAACAGTAGCCACGACACAATTAAGTTTACCAGTGAACATTCTACAGAATCTATTAGTTTCTTAGATGTCACGGTAAAAGTAGGAGAGGGGGGAGTCCTTATGACAGACTTATTTTGTAAGCCAACTGATACCCATCAGTTCTTACATAAGAAGTCTTGTCACCCTTGGCATACAAAGAAGGCGATCCCCTATAGTCAGGCTCTTAGGTACCGTAGGATTTGATCCACCAATGATGATCGACCCAGATGATCGCCAGTTTAAGGAACATGTAGGTAAACTCGCTGGATGGCTTAAGGATAGGGGGTATGAAGAGTCCCTTGTTAATCAACAAATAGATAGGGCACGTAGGCTAGATAGGGAGACTCTTCTGGAAAAAGCGGGAAGTAGGAAAACCAACGAAGGGAGGGCTGACAGGGTTCCACTCGTGACTACATACCATCCGGCACTTAATGGTTTGGGGAACATTGCCAGGAAACACCATACCTTGCTCACTGGTTCAGAAGAGCACAAGGAGGTGTTTCCTGTGCCACCAGTAGTTGCTTTTAGGAGGTGTAAGAATCTTAAGGATATTTTGGTGAGGGCTAGGCTTACAAGTGGGAGGGAAAAGGGACATAATAACAGGGGAAGTTCGTGTTGTAAGAAGTCCAGATGTCAAGTGTGTAAAGTCATGTCTAACAGCGATAATTTTAAATCTAGCACTACAGGTAAAGAATATAAGATCAACTATTCGTTTAACTGTGACTCGTCCAATGTTGTGTACTTAATTGAGTGCAATGTCTGTGGAGTCCAGTATGTAGGTAGCACATGCACGCCTTTTAGGCTTAGGTTTAATAATTACAAGGCGTGTAGTCGTAAGTTTAATTTAGGGTCTTCAGTGCCCCAGATGGAATTTTTCAGACATTTTTCCGAAGAAGGACATCGGGGGTTTTTGAATGACATAAGTGTTAAGGTCATAGATAGGTTAACAGGTAATGATAGGAGGAGAGAAAGTTTTTGGCAATATCGCTTGAATACTTTCTTTCCGATGGGTCTCAATACTAGGCAGGTAGATACATAGGACATTTATTCTACAGTTTTAAATTTTTAAAAGTTTTTTTTTATATTTTTAATGTTGGCTCTTTCGTTTATAGTTTATCTTCTCGTTATTTTGTTTTTTGCTTTTATGGCTTTCATCTATCTCTTGTGAGACAGCCAACACCAGCATCTCCATCACATTCTTTCTTCTACCTTTCTTTTCACTTCTCTCCCAGTTCCCCATAACAGTTTGCATTCTAACACATTTGACAATATGTATTGTATTAGGCAGGTGCCCCTTAGGTTTCTATTGTATTGTAGTGTTCTATTGTAATTTAGGTTGATAAGTAGGCTCCTTTGATTTTGTAAAGTTATTACTGATGAAGCGAAAGCGAAACGTCTTACGAAAGTGTTTTCTTTGATTCTATATATATATATATAAATACATATATATATTATATATATATATATAAATTTCACCATATATTTATAAGGCTGATCAATAATATGATTTGGCAGATAAAACAATCATATACACAATCAAATACAATTGTGAAGGTAACAATTGCTTTCTTGTGTCACGATGCTGAAATTGGAAGTTTCATTATAGAATTTTTCTATTGAAAGTTACTTGTCAATACATCAGCATAAGCCTCCGATCAACTGCTAAAATTTTTGTATTGAACCTATTCAGTTATGATAATAAATTGTTAGTTCAGTTACAACTAATTTCTCAAGAATAATGATAAAAAGGTATTCTAAATTCTTATGTATGACAATTTGCTCATTGAAATATATAACAATGTTTTTGAAATGTTACTTACTCATTTTCAGTTTGGTTTCCTCTGCGCCTGTATCCCCGCCCTTGTCTGTCTTTTAGCAGTGGTCCAACCTGCTTCAGCACAATTCTGTTTGACAGAGCGATATACTCGTCGTGTAGTGTCACACATCTTATCCTATCGACTGACCCATCAAACGTTAATTTTCCAAATGCTGGATGAACTTCCCAGCAACATCTATACTCCCTTGCACCTACCAGATTCTGAACACTGCACTTTCCACATTTACACCTGTAACATTAAACAAATTTTAAAATCGAGTGCTTTCAAGAACAGACCTTTCATTGACATTTGACGAACAGACGAATAATTTTGCTTGTTTCATAAACTATACGAACTAGACGAATAATATTTTGCTTGTCTTGGCCTTAGGCCCTAGGTCTTAAGTTAGTTTGTGCGAGACATTCATTTGCCTCGCGGTCTGCGTTGAGATAATTTAACCAAAAGGGCAACTCAACATACCATTCATTAACATTTTCAACCCTTTCAAATCTTCTTTCAATAGCTGCCAGAGAAAGGCCATCTTCATCTGCTTCTTCGCTATCCTGGCCCTTCCTTCCTCTTCGTCATCTGTTAGGCCCTCTGCCAGTGGCTCGTACTGATATGGCACTGTAATCGTGTTTACATGCACGACTCCATCGTCCCCGCCGTCACTTTTTTTACTTGAAACAACCTGCCTCTCATTACTCTCACTTGAAGACATTTTGTGTCACGAGAAAGAATGAATTTTGTTAAAATAAACGCTCTTTGAATTCTGCTGTCAACGTTGTTTGGGTTGTCTTGGAGAATGAAATGTTTTGAAGCGCGCGCCTCTATTCGAGCTGTGCAAACCACATGATGTCACGGAATTTTCTTCTTTGTCTCCAATGGTGGGGGATTTGAAACGGGTTTTAGACCCCCATTCCATCAACATTTACAGCTTTTACTTAGTTCATGATATCTCAGAAGGATAAAACTAGCTTTTTGAAACAAAAAAACGGACTTGAAAAACTCATTTCATAGGCACTTTAAAGAATCCATTGATCCAAATTTGAGAAAGCTTCCTATGTCTATTTTATCTGCCATATCTTGCTTGATGCTGATTTAATAAGGTTTTCCAGCCTTCCGTCTGATATTGAGGCTCAACATTTATTGCTGATGATTTTTACATTGCTGTGTGCCCTATCGTATGCTGACAGTAAGGGGTCAAACTGTACGTTTTAAGTTTTAAAGTTAGTTATTGCCAAAAACCTATGATAAAGCTGTGTTTTATAGATCATCTTAATTTACAATTTCTTTCTACTTAAAGAACTGATGATATAACACACCATATTCTATGTCAGCTAAGATCTGTAACATGACCATCAAAAAGAAAAAGTTCAGATCGCAGAAAAAAACTTACCTCCCTTCTCCCTCATGTTTTTAATCCAGTTTTGTAATAAGTAGAAAATCGGCCTTAAAAAGTAGAGTGGCTGCCCCTGGGGGAGGAAATGAAATATTCAAAGATTTTAAACAACTTTGTTAGGACGCTGTTGGACTGTTTCATTGCGTCAAGCTGCTATATGACCAGAACTGAGACCTAAGTGACCGGAGAACAGCTAATCACTTGACCTTTCAAAGCATTATTTACATGGTTCTTTGCACAGTTTTCTAACTGGCTGGCCAGATGAAAAATATGAGAATAACAACTTTTCCCTTTTTTCGACGATAAATGCAGGTCATTATACAAAGAGATATAAAAACTATTTGCGCTTTTTGAATTGGCTGTCAAGCAAGCAAATTGAGTAATTAAATTTCAAAGCTACTGCAAAATAACAGGAATAATCACAAAACAGGAAATTTATCAAATACATCAAGTAAATATTTTCATAAAATACGCCTAAAATGGATCAATGCTGAATAAGTTTCAGTGTAAAAATGTCTTCTTTATAAAAAAAAAGAGGGTGAAAAATTTACCTCTTTTGCGTTTTACATCTCACCTAAAATGTTGTGTGTGCATCACATTATTGTTAACAGTTTTTGGAAAATATATTTCGTATGACATTGCTATTAAATTAAATCTTTTAAATTATTTTCCATAACTGTCACTAAGGACAAGCCTAATCGTATTAAGAAGGAAATTAAATTTAATGCGCTTTGAACTTTCTTTCCTTTTACAAACAATGACAAGCAAAGATAAGCTTAATATAGAAAACAACATTCGTACCATTTGTTATTGGATGTTACCATAGAAAAACTCAATGGAAATAAATTAAAATAAACCAAACACTAGAACAAGACGTAACTAAAAGTCCTTGCCGACAGGGCATACAATTTAGAAGAAATTTGTTGAAGATGTTTAAGGGTAGTCAATTTCAGCTTGAAAATTCATCTTTTATTTATTCAAGTCATTCAAATCCAGTACAGCGCCCTTGTTGTTGTCAACAACTATGCTTGTTTCAAAGATTGAATGAATCTGGGGAAGCATTAGAAAGGTACGATCCTCTTCAGACTGAATCAACCATCTACCTGAGATGTTTCGTCAGTCTTTACTTTTCCATTGCACTGGAAAAGCCAAACTGGTAATCTTTTTCATCATCATCATCTTCGCAGATATCTTTGTTGGCATAAACCGGTTCAATGATATCTTTTTTCACAAAAGAAAATTTTTTCCCTTTTCGCCTCCTTCTTCTCTGGTTCTTCCTCTCCATTATAATTTCTTACAGTGCAGTTTATAACTTGTAGTGACGCTGCTGGGGGAATAGCTGGTTTGCTTTCCAAATCCCTTTTTATTAAAAACTTGATACCCTCCTTACATCCCATCAAGATTTCAAGCTGTTTTTGGCCTATTCTTGCAGGAGACTTGTAAGGAATAAACTATGGCCATCCTTCAACATCAAAAGCCTTCTTGAAATTTTTGTAAGTTACCCTCGAGGCACACCTGCAGCTATACCTACAAACAAACACGGTACCAGATGATAGAGAAGTTGAATTTCCATAAAATAATCAAATTTTGGTGAACTTGCCATTAGTTCTGTATTGTATCTAACAACCTTTAAAGCTTCTTCTTTTTCAACATCATGCATTTTAGCAATTTATCTTTATGATAGGTCTTGTGGGCTGACAAAACATATCCGGGGCATGAAGCAATGTTTTTATATCTTTAGATGCCATCACCCTCTTTATGATCAAACTAGTGTTTTAATTTGCTTGGGAATGCGAAAAAGCTGTCTATGTTCTATCTATGTATTGTTACAAAAGAAGAAAAATCCTAAAATTACAACAAAAAGCAGAGCCAAGCAAGGCAGTTACCAGTGTTTAACATAAAAAATACAGTTACAAATTTAGGAATTCAACAGATCAATATACATTAATCATGCGGGTAAATAAGATTTTGAAATCAGGGGGGGGGGGCAAATTTTTTTTAAAAAACATATAGAAATGACAATTAACCATTAAGAATATAGAACACTGGTAATGTACAAACAAACAGAATCATGAGGGATATGGGTTAAGCTGCTACATGTGCTCATTTTCAGTGCTCAGTACCTCTGCAGTAAGTAGGGAAGTGAGAAAAACAGTGCAAGTGAAAAAGGCTCTTCCAAATTTTCTTTCAGGGTTTGTGCCAGCATAGCCCGCAATTCCAGTGAGGGCCAGTTTTGAAAGGTTTTTTGCTTTCCCATGCTCTCTTTGAATAAAAATATTCAGCTCTTTATAAACATGTACATGCTTTTAGTACACAAGATTTAAAAATATAATTGTGGCAATAAGGATGTCATGGTGTATTTTTTTCAGAAAAACAATAACCCAAAGGGAGAGGTTTAGGTGTTCATTTCAAACATAAGAGTAATTTTCAGCTTTCTTTAGTTTTTGTTTACTCTGGGTTCTGTATGTTACTGTCTGTTCCACACCAACATTTATATCATTTTGAATATTGAAAGTATAAGCTGATAATTGAGAAAACATAGAATTGAGTATAAGCTGATATACGAAAAATAAACTTCTTTTAGAATCCTCTTCTTTGAGCTGTTCACTGACTTTTCTATGTCATCTAAAGACATGTCTTTCATGTTTGTCAAGTTGACATGTTCTGCCTCCGTCTCCAGTTTTTTTCTTATCCTTCTCTTTTAGCATCTTGTAAAGTTCTTGTGCCTTTTTATTTTTTTCTTCTTTTGGGCAATCTTTAAGTTCTGAAAGATTTTATTAATCCTTTTTCAACAGGCTGTCATAAGATGTTATATTCTACCAGGTAATATACTGCAGGTAGTATACTGCATTCCACTATGCTATACCTTGTACATGAACTTTTTCTAAACCAGTTTTTGGTGTAGAATTCAAAAATCGATGTTGATTTGGCGGAAAATGATGCTTTTCCGATATACAGGGGACTATGTCCAAAACCTGGGATAAAGCCACTGATTGTTCTATAAATAGATAAGATAAATAAATAAATTGATTTTAGTTGCTGGGCCAGAATAACATATAGATTTTCTTCAGGGGCCAGTTGGTTAAAAACTTTTACATACATTGTGTAGGCTGCTCAAAATGAAACTCAGATCTCATTTTTACCAGGCTAAGTTAGTGATAAGATAGACATGCCTTTTATATTGTGCCTGCCTATCTTAGCTACCTTCCCATAAACCCAAAAAATATTTTTCACAAAGATTAGTAACTTAATGTTTCTTGTACCAGGCTAAGAACATCGTTCTATGCTATTTTTAAGCTAGGACGTTAATCTTCATTAGTTTCTTGTTGGGTTGGTTTGAAGCGCCTGAAGTCACATCGAGAGACTGCACAGCGTTTTCATAACTAGGCTCCATAGTTTTATCTGTTGATTAGAAAAAGGAAACGCTATGGACTAATAACTGTCCATGAAACGCATTTGAAGTTTACTACAGAGAAAAAAATATCAGAAGGGAAAAAAGAAAACCAAAGATAAATTGAGTTTAAAATTTTGAAAATGTTGCCTAAAAAAGTTTTCCAGGTAAAAAGCATTCAGCGGGCCGGATGAAATTTTGCTGCAGGTTGTAGTTTAAGAATGGCTGATCTAGACATTCTTAACATCCAATTGATGCAATAGTCCTTTTTTATTTTTGGCTATGGCTCTTCCATCTGGTCTCCAAAGGCTTGCAATGAAGTTTGAGCACTAGATGTGCTTCCTAAAGCTTAGACTGCCTGGAGGCGTGCAGATGGGTCTGCAGTTTTATTGTCTCTTGCAAATATTCTTCGATAAAGCTTCCCTCTTACATCATTCACAGCATCTGGTCTAGATAAAGTTGGTCTGGTAAAATCCCTCGTCGGGTAGTAATGCTTCTCCTTGACCCTCTGGACTAATATGGTCTCCAAGTTCTCTGAATACTCTAGGTAGATTGATACCTGCCAAAACACTCGAAGCGACTGCATCTGGAAAGCCTTTACCTTATGGAAGCTTGCCACATGTGGTTGCTAGCATTCGTTGAAAGCATCTTTCCCTCTCATTGCAAACCACAATAACGCTTGATGTTGGCTTTCCCCTATCTTTGAGATTCAGAAAGCTTGCTGTTAAACTCGCATGCTTTGTGCTTCCCGTTGCGTTGCTGCCAACAAGACACATTATCTTTTTATCAGCCATTGTTGCAACGTACCCAGCAATGTATGAAATGGCAGACATCTTGAACTCTGACAGGTGGGCAAAGTTTGGTGCATCAGTGTAATCGTGCTTTGAAACAATTAATTGATGCCTCAATTGTAAATCATATTTCCTGATCAATGATGCTTCGGTGAGGGTAACTTTTCCAGCATTGACTTAACAGGAATCGCCAATGACATGGAGAATGGCAACTTCCTCTTGCTTCTGGCATTTCCCTCGCCCACCTTGGATGCTGCTTCGTCGCAATAACCTTTTGTAGGCGACTATGAATTGTTGTGATGTTGGGTTATTGTTGAAGCCTTCAGAAGATCTAATAGCTTCAAAGAACAGTTCCAAGTGGTATTGGCTCAACTTGTATGTCAGAAAATACTTCAAGAAAGCTTCTGCTTGTTCAACGAGATCATTGGAAAGTGCTTTGATGCTCCTTATGGCAACCAGAAACCCAATGAACCCAGTTTTTCTTTGAGTGCAATACATTGGTTTACTAGTGGGATCTGTCAATGCAGATATATATGAATATACATCATCGAGGGAGGGTTCCCATGTCATTTTGTTTGTTACATGTATTGCAGACCCTTGCCCATGGATTTCTGGAGTTGAGAACATCAAAAAGATGGTCAATGATCCAAATAAACTTCACTTTGGCTTCAGAACCTCGAAGCTGCTTAAGTTTCAGCACAAATGGGCAATACTGAAAGTTTGTGCTGCCAGATTGACTTTCATTTTCTGCTGATACCATTTGATGTGTGCCAATTTCAACTTGTTTCTTCCTAATCCTTCCTTTTCCTGGAGCTTCTGCAATTCAGCAACATATTGCCAAAGGATTTTCTTGCTATCTTTGTCTTCCTTTTTCTGTAAGAATATTTCTTATTAGTTTGAGCATAAGGAAAACATCTGAGATCACATTGATATTTCTGTCACTGCCACTGGGATCTGAAAAAGTAGGCTGCGATGACTGCTGGTTCAAACATGCACCTAACTCGGACATCATTGTGAAGTGACATGATTGGCCATCACAAGTTAAAGAAACGACTGCAACACCAGTATCAGACAGTTGTTGGATGCAAAGCTTTACAAGGTTGGGAAGCTCATTTCCTTGCAGACCGTCAATCAAGAACTAGCCACAAACCTTCCATGACCCATTCACGTGGACAACCATGAAAACAGGTGCATCCTTAGTTACTGGAGCTAAATCATCATCATTGGCACCATTTCCCAGGTCAACAAGCCACAGAAACTGGTGCAATCCCAGGCAATGTGTTTGCGTATAGCCATCCCATCTAGCATCAGGGAGTATGCCACCTGTGTTCCTCCTTTTTTAGCTTCCTCTGCTTTGAGTCGAAGGGCTTCAAATGCAGGTTTACTAAACCCTGGATCAGCAGGTATTCTTCCCTACCATCGTCTTATTGAGACCTGATGTGGTAAAGCAAGCTTAAATGTTCTTCGCACAAATTCCTAGGCTTTAGAAGAAAAGAATTGCAGAGTCAGAGCAAAGGACTTTGTTTCAGGAGAGTACTTGACACCCTTCTCGGAGGGGCTTCCAGATGTCATCCTCTTCATCATTGCCACTGGAACACCAGAAAATCTCTGAGTTAGCATCTGCTCACAGCTTGAAGAATGAGTTCTTTCTTCTTCAAATGCAGGACAACTGTTTTCAAAGACCTTGCTTTGAATTTTAGGCAGCAAGTCTTCTGTTGTTACGTCTTTAGGCTTACTCTCAAGTGCGCAATTTTATCTTTAGCCTTGTCCAGCTCCTTTTTCAACTTCCTTGGAGAGGCAGTCAACCTGTAAGCAATTTTTTTTTTGGCTGGAGGACCTTCTGCTGGATTGTCATGGATTGTGTTTTTATTGGCAATGCTGCTGGTTGTGCTGCTGGTCACCCGTACCTCTTCCAATCTGTTGATCATATTTAGGTTAATTGATCCATTAATCCCGTAAAATTCTGAGTCAAAGATTGAAATTTTCTAAACCAATACTTTCACTTCATTTTTTATCAAGTAACCATTTGAGTTACTTTTAGATGTTCCAATTACACCGAAAAAATGGCAACAGCTGTTATATTGTACTTCCCTGTTTCCACTAATATTATCATCATTTCACTATTACTTCCATTAATACTATTTCTATTAGAATAATGCATTTGGTTATGCTTGTGCTTATCAAACGATGTCCTGGTCCTTCCTCTCAATGTGACCACACCTCCTGATTTCAACGCCTGGAATTACAGAGAGCTGTCAACTCTCTGCACTCTGAGTGAATGTTTATCAATGACAGTAACTCGAACCACAGACCCTGGGTCTGTAGTTAGCGCCTCTAGCCACTGAGCTATCCTCGCACTTTACACTTAAATACTTTTCATTAAAATTAAACTAAACTACAGTTACAAACCTCTCTGTTACATGGGTAGTTTTCAACTGGCTAGCCATGGTTTACAAGGTAAGACCATAAAAATCGTAAGTGCAAAAAGGAAAACTGAGAAGAAACAACAAAATTTGAAAATGATGTAATTCTGGGTTTTCTATTGTTTATTTTTGAAACATAACATGAATTACGTAGTAAAAATGGCAAGGTTGGAATGTTTAGAGATAAGGTTGGTGATGATCAAAAGAGAATTTTGCTGATCAATGGAGAGTTGCATATTTTATGATTGAGCTGTAGGAATCGCCATAGATATAAAGAGAGTTAATAGAAAGATTCATAACGATATTAAGTATCATAATTGCCATCATTTTATTATTGATGTAGCTAATTCCATTCAACTTTATTCCTAGAATTGAGTGAATGCAAAAGCAAAGTCGACAAACTGGAGCAAAATGTGTCAAGCTAGAAAGGTCGTTGAAAAAGCGGGATTAAAAGATCATGGAACTAGAGAGAAGCAACAGTTACCACCAGTATTACTTTTATGTAGGGAAGGGTTTTGACCAGTATTCTTTTGATGTAGGAAAAGGTTTTGAGTGTAAAAATGTGTGTGAGTTGTTAGGAGAGTTTGTGAGAAAAAGAACTCTCAATATAGCAGGAACTGCTTCCTTTGAAAGCAGACAAACAGCAGATCGCCGTCTTATTGAGCAGGGTCTGGTAGTTATCAGTGACTCAGAAATAAAATGCACAACAAAGTCAGGAGCTGGGGAAACATCAATAGTGTTTGCTGGAACATACAAAGGCATTGATGTTGCAGTCAAGAACTACCTGGCATTCCATAACAGCTATGCGGTTGAGGAATAATAATTACTAACAATACTTAACGGCCCCCTTAATATTCTACATCCATTTGGTGTTGTCCGTGGAAATAAGCTTGTCATTTTTTGCCAAGCTCTCCTTTGGTGCTCTCAAAATTAAAATTAGATAGCAAAGAGAATCTTTGCTGGCTGACCTCTGGCCATTTGACATAGTTTTCAAGTCAAGCACACCAATCCTTCCATCTACATAGACCAATGAAAACCTCCTTCCACTTCTCTAAGGACACAATTCAAAAACACGATGCTACCTATCTCAGTTTTAGGGTTTTAGGTATATCCAATTTGATTTTGTCACAGATTGTACTAATTTTAGAAAGCCACGTTTTTTAACAAAGGAATACAATTATAATCACAGTATAGGCAGAGCTTACAAACTTTTGGTGTATAGAACAGGATAATTCTAAGTTGCTACTTCGAGTTTTGTACTTAATGCTGTGATTAGGCAACAGGGGTAAGGAGAATAAATTGATCCTATCCATGATAAATGTCAGCCTGTCATTTGCAGTATTGAGAGATTGTGCTTTTTGAGCTTTCTGAATTTCCAGGCATAAGAATCATAAATTTTTTTTCACATCAGAGGAAGGACAATGACATTGCTTGATAAGCATCTAAAAAAATACACAGTTAATTTATGTGTGTTTATTGTTGTTTGTTCTTGGTGGATTGCGGTGTTCCTTATTTGCTACATTCTACAAACTTCCTTTGGGTATTAGTTAGCACTTGTAAATTCTCTTTCAATTGTCTTGATTCTTGAGCTAGTTATATCTATTACAAATGAACTATTTTTATATACTTTCTGTTTTTCCTCTTTGTTGCAACCAGCTCCCTGTTGACATATATTGAAAAGTAATGTATTCTCATCCGTATAAATAGCTTGAGGAGGAATACTTTATCAAAATCAGTGCATGGTATATCTAAATTCTCTTTTACCAATATACTTAGCAGCTCCTTTCCGACACCTGTTGTCTGCTTGATATCATTAAAAAAGAGATGAATTTTTCTTCAACTTTATTGGGGAACTGAAGCATTTGAACAGATGGAACAATGAGTCCAGAATATGTACTTGTGTCGGAGTCATAGGCTTTGAACATTAAAAATACTTTCTTTTCTAGGTCTTCACTTTCATCTGCTAGAATTGCACATTTTTGACACTTGTGCTTTTGGAATGTTTTCCTTAAAAGATAGCCTGCTACATATGCCATTGCGTTGTCTTTGAATATTATTTTATGAATGTGCTCACTGGAATAATCAGATGTCACTTTCTTGAGTGGTCCAACTTCAACTGGAGCCATTTTAGGCAGGTTTTGAATGTCTGTTAACTGTGTCAATAGCACATTTTCATCAATTTCACAGTTTGTTGAGGAAACGCTGGGCAGGTTGGTATGAAACAATTTCCTATATGCTCTCTTAAACTGGACTGGTGTCAGGTTATCAGAATTCCCTCCCTGTTGCCTAATGGAACCACAGAAATTCTCCAAAGGGTCCTGATTCAGCTGCCTTGTTACAAAGAACGTTGAATCAAAATCTCTGTTTATTCTACTCCAAAGCTCAGGAATTGCTTGCAGAGTTCTACACCAACCCTTCAGACATTTAAGATCATTTGTACGGTCTTCATCAGTATCAGCATGAATTACTTTGAGGGATGCAATAAAATTAGCCACTTTCTTCATTTGTTCTAGATGTGGGGATGAAGATGTCAATGGCCTGCGGCATATTTTAGTATCCTTAAATGATAAAGAGTTACATAAATCAAAAATTTGGTCAAAACAATAAGAGCTCTGCATGCATGACCATAGAAAATGCGAGAGTTGGCCTTCTGTGTAATCTCTATTCTGTGGTACTAGGTTGGCATAAATGTTACCTCTTTCATAACTCTCTGCATGCTATGACTTATACATTTGTTAATATCTTTTTGAGCCATGCTTTCTAAATCCACATCTGCAGCTAATTTTGCGTGCAGATGTAAATCCTCTCTCTGAAGACAAAGTATCATAAAGCTCTTTTGCCTTCACACTCTTTACTTCTTTTGGTACATCTTTCAGTTTTAATTTAGCAATAAAAGACAATTTATAAATTATGTAATCAAACTCCTCTAATGAAAAAAGTAGGGAGTAGAAAGAAAGTAGTAACACTTATTAAAAATGTCAATGTCATTGGCATTCTTCAAAATGGTACTAAAATATGGTACAAACTTCCTTGATAAAAACGACATGATTTTTGAAGTTCTTTTTAAAACAGTTCACATTTCAGAACAGATTAATGGCTTAAACAAAGTAATGAAATGTCAAAACTCAGCTTCATGTCTGTAAATAAAAAATGTAGAAAAAAGTAGGCACATAATCTTCTTAGCCTCATAATCATATGTATACTTTTGATGCAGTTTGGTAATGACTCAAATAGATCAAGTGTAAAGCCCTAAATCAAAATACCATAATAGGATTCCAGTCAGTCGGCAATCATAACATTTGTTGACAGTCAAAATGAGGTACATGAAACGTTGAGAATTGGATATGTCCCTTGTCAGCTATGTTTGCTACAATGAATAATTTCTTACGAATTCTAGTCATGTTGATATTTTCATGGTTTGATCATAAATTTGTCAAGCAGCATTGTGTTTAAAGTAACTGCAATCTATTACCGGTGAATGGGCCAAAAATATGAACAAATTGTATTTCCATTACTTTACACAGGTCAATTTGTGAGTTTCACAGTTGATTTTGCATCCTTACTACCGGAAACTGCCATTTTCCTAAGGCACACACTTCTATGCAAATAAGGCTCATCTATGAAAGTTCGAGAGAACGACGCTGCTGTAATGGTTGAGCCTTAAATAAGTCCACACCTGAAGGTACTTTTGTGTAATATGCCCCCACCCTTTAATAAGCCCCCATTGGTTAAGACATACCTCGGCAGCAATAGGTTTATCAAAATAAATTTGCATTTTTCAGCATACTGACTAAACTGCTGCCAAATAAGCCCCCACACCCCCACACTTCTTTTCAATAAGCCCCCAACTCAAAATTACTTTTTGCAAAATAAGCCACTCGGGCTTTTTCGAGGACTTAAATTTGCTATAAAACTGGCTGTTGTTATACTTGCTATAAACTAAACATGAAGTTGGACTACGACTTAAAGAGGATTGATGAAATTTTGCTAAATTTGAAAAGCACACTCTTGACACATGGTGCAATGGAAGGAGGATTATCATCTAAAAAACATATATGCTAGTGAATTTAGGTTTTAGCTAGAAACTTTGAGTGTCTTTCTGTAACTGAATTGTCGAACAGAGAGAAACAGCCTTGAAGAGATCTCCTCATATATACAATACATCACAATTGATAAAAACCCTATAGTGAGGCAGTAAAACAGAAAATTTGAAGAGGGACTGCCAGAAGTTAGCAAAAAGATTCCTGTTATTCCAAATGTGGGAGGAAATCGACCTTCAGGAAGGATTTTAGGTATCAGAATTTAGTTGGCCAAAATTCACTAAATTAGTCTCATGAGAAAATTGATTTTTGAACAGCAGTTTGAATATGATAATTGTTTGAATATGCATGTCATAACAGAATAATATGATTTTCTTTTTTATCAAGTATAAATTGATACTGATATACCATATTTTAGTTTGTATGCTTTCACTATCTCACTCATATTTGTTTAAAAAAATGCTTTGTGAATACCAGCTTTTCTACAGGGGTAGGTCAGTTGTCACCTAGTTATTTACGTGATAGAACTCTACACCATAGTTATTTACATGACAGCATTGCAGGCACTGACATAGCTCATCATCACATCTTTAAATTAACTTAGTTCAGTGCACAACTAACTATGTGCTGGTAGAGAGCAAGGACATCTTCTCGTAGGTTTATATAAAAGGCTAACTGACTTACCTCCTTTGAATGTTCTGCTCAGAAAAAGGTTCCAGGCACTGATCCTCCTATTGCAAGGCGCTCTCTTTAAACTTTTGCCACTACCTTCGTACCTCGCCACAGTTGATCCTGGTGAGGTCGAAAGTGAAGGGTCAGAAGACGAGACAAAACCACTTTTCCTCTTACGGTTGTTGATCCAAATCTTGAGCTTTGGAATCTCTATTTTCGTTTCAAACGAAAGGCACTCACATCTTCCAGCATGCAACGTCATATTAGTTGAGCACAATCCATCCATAAAGGCTTTTTCCATTAGGTCTAACTGCTCCACAGTGAATTTCGTAGGCACCGCCATTGCTGCTTTACTGACCTGCAAAACTGAAGTCAGAATTTCGAAGTTGCTTGTATTGAGGATTATTCAGACTTAGGGGAGTCTATTATAAAGAACCATTTTTCAGTCCCCTGAGTACATGGACTTTCTGATTTATATGGGATTTATTGACTGATTAACCTCGATATGATCAACAGATAAGAGGAGGTACAGGTGTGCTGGTGGTGTTGCTTGCTGACAGGACTGGCTGTCTGTCTTTAGGTTGCTTACGTTTTTTGCTTCCTATAAAATTATTGGAAGAAACAATAAAAGTCAATATTTTTAGATATACATCTGTAAGCACTTTCGTATCTATACCGACAGAAAATTTATGCTAGCATTTTATAAGCAAAATCATGATTGCAAATTTTTAAAACAATTACTACAACCTACACAATTTGCTTGATAGCAAAAGGTCTCTTAAAGAAAGTTAGTTTGTATCCACATTATACAGCTTTATCATTACACAAAACTCCTGTTCAGCTCTTATATTAATAAAGAGAGCAAATAAACTTGTAGTACTAGAAAACAAACAAGTTCTGGAAGATTTTAGCATTAAAGGACCTTGCTTTTATAAAAAATAGAGAAGAGAAGCACAACAAATTAGGAATATAAGAGCATTAAAATGTAAGGCAAAGGGAATTTTTTGAGGATGTTTTTTCATACAGAAAGGTTTTTTATACATTTGTTTTTGTTTTAAAACTTTATCTGTTTCAAAATGTATTTGAATCTGTTAATGTGATTGATCAGATCATTTACCTTTTTAGATGGACAGAAAACGTCTTGGATCTTGTTGTAGCTGCTCCTTCTTTTAATCTGACAATTTGGCCTGTTCTGCCCATCATGTCTTCCGTTAAATGATCAGAACAGACCTGTGAACTGCCACTTGGAACCCAGTTCTCACGATGAATATTTGCTACCAATATCCTTTTTTCTTTCTGGGTTACTTTGAAATCTATATTTAATATATAAAAAATTGATTCATTCTGATGTCAGTTTCTGACTTTTAGGCTGTCTTTTCAGTTGCAAAATTGAGACAGTCAACAAAAATTAACTGTCCCTTTCATTCAGGGACACCATCCAAAAAAAATTAGGGAGGGGCAGTGCTGTAGGGAACTTCTAAAAGCCAGACCCAATATACATACATTTATGTGAAAGATTTTTTATTGCATATATGAAATCATTAAAGCATTGAATGACTCCATAAGGCTGATAGAAACTGTTCATTCGAGGAAATAAATAACATAATCAAGGCTTACTTTGCCAAGTAAAGAATTCCCTAAGCAAAGCTTATATCGAATTGTCCCTGAGTTAAAAAAAGGGGCTGGAGCCCCCTCCACATCACCACAGAAATAAAAATCGAATCGTGCCTTTGATGTTCATATATACCAGTACCACAGTGGTGGGTGAAGTGCATGTTTTTTGGGAAGGTTTGCTGGCCAGAAGACGAAACTATTGTAGGAAAGCCTTAAATTTGAGATTTAACATCATCTTAGATAGAACACCACCTTGGCAGATATAAAACTCATAAAAACAATTTGATAGGGCGTAACTCACCTGTGGAAAATTCTTGGCAATGTTCGTTTTTGAGAGGTTTGTTCGTCGTCATTGCCCTCACTATCACTTCCACCCGTACCTCCTCTAATCACTAATCCACACTAATCATTTGACTAATCATGGACCCAGACCTTGTGGAATGTACACCTTTTGAAGATCATGTTCCCAAGTTCAGATTAATCATTGGTAACACCTTGTTTGTCATTACAAATTATTTGAAACCAGGTGTTAGCATTTTTTTTGATGCGCATTACACTGCTGAAGAGGTTGATGACCAGAAGGCCTAGCCAATGTTGACCTATTCGATCTCATGGATCTGGCATGGCTTCTCGGTCACGTAAGAAACCAAAAGTTTTTGATGATAGCACCACTATTCAAATGGTGAAATCGAAAAAAGGGTAAAGATAAGACCAGGCTAAGCAATTTATACTCTGGTTTTGATTGCTGAAGGATGCAGTGAAGTTTTCCAAATATTTTCAATTTTGAAAATTTATAGATCATCTGCTGACTATTCAAACAAAATAATTTCTGTACAAAACATCCAATATGTTGGTTGTCATTGTTACTTTTTATTATTACTGGTTTTCAGTTAAGAGCAAATCTTTTTTTAAAGGATCAGACAATATTTTCCTGTATTGGCTGTTTGTCAATGTATTGGTAGTTTTTTCCATCTAGACCAATCAGGTAATAAATCAAGTCGTAGCTCGGGTTGTGTCTCAGACAAGCTCTGTGCTGCACTGATGAGCCCACAAAGAGCGAAGCAGAACTGTCTGCAGATTGAGTATATATATTATATATATATATATATATAAAGTATGGTTACTTGCTAATAAGTAAAAAAGAAACCAAAAAGCCTTCAAGAAAAGTAAGACGACCAATCTTCCTTCCTTGAAGAGGTAGTAAGTTCTCCACGTTTATTGCAGTTCTTTCAGGTCCTCATGCAAAGCCTCAATCATTCGTGCTGTTGCAATCATTAAACGATAAAAACCTGCTTCGTTGATTTCGAAGTCTTCTTCGCGCAGGACCAGCCTCTGACCGTCTTTAACATAAACATTGCTTTCAAGCACAGATGCCTCGTCACGCGATTTGACAAAGTCCCTGTCGCCACTTTTTACAAGCCACTTTCCCTTTATAATGTTGTTTGTTTTGGCTTTTTTACCACAAACAAATAGATAAAATTTATCTTTTGAATCATCCGGTGATGGAATGACCAGGACCACACTTCCTTTTCTCACAAAAGATAATTTTTTGGTTTTGACTTTCTTGGCCTTCCCATTATATATGCACTGTGCATAAATAACCGTTGAACCAACAGCATCAACATATTGGCGAGTCACGCTGGTTCCATTTTGGCAACTTGGACAGGAAGCAGGCCATTTTAATTGGAACAGGTCTTGCTATAAAAGAAAGGTCTTTCATCTAAGCAGTTTATAGTTTCAAAGCTACATAAATTGCAATATAAAACAAAGACCTTATCAATAAAAAGGGAATAAATTGAATTTGTTCTTATATAAAAGCTGTTGACAGGAAACTCATGGAAACAATTCTAATTGTTTTACTAAAATGCAGATAAACTGCATAAAATGCTTTGCCCAGCTTTACTCTGATTCATCTAGTCTTTTATCAATTAACTGTTGAAACTTTTATTTCATCTCAAAGAAGTATAGTGCATTTGCATAACAGAGAGATGGAAGCAAATATGTATGTAGCATCTCATACCAACGGAAACCAGAGTACCATCTACAAGTGTCTTATTGTGGGTATGCCCTTAAAGGGCCTATGAAATGAAATTTAAGTTATTGAAAAAATTACATTTTCTGATAGGAAAAAAATCAGTAAATCCAATCGTGTATAATTTGATGTATTTTATGCTCACGAAATGCAAAAAAAAGTCAAGAAGATACTCCGTTTTTTCACTTTTCTGGGAGACAAAGCGCGCGGCATTGAGACGTCATGTGGTTTGCAGATGGTTGCTGTGGTTTTATTTTTTGTTTGGTTCGTTGGCAACGTACATTGAAGATGGAGGAAACTTTCGGAACGACAGTGAAAAGAGGAGGGAAATATTGCGTAGCTGGTGCTGCTGGTAACAAGAGTTGCCAGAACACAAGTTATACAAATGGAATATCCATGCATAGATTCCCAAAAAACGAAGAAACGCGTAGAAAGTGGACAAATTTCGTTCGAAGGCACAGGCCTAACTTCTCACCCACTTCCACTTCCCATCTATGTTCCGCTCATTTCGCACCGACATCTTTTACAAGAAGATTAGACATAGGAATCGGCGATGGTGTGAATCTAAATCGGACACTTCAATCCAGAGCTTTTCCAACCGAAGATACCGTCATTTCAACAGCCGAAGAAAAAGGACCAACAGTTACACCTTGCGAGCGGCGACAGGTTAGGCCCTTAAAATGTCACGGTTTCTTTAAAGAATAAAACCAGATAGTTCGCTGTATACCAGAATGCCATCTAAAAGTGTCTGATTGTTGGGTATGCCCTCAAAGAATCCATTGATCAAAATTTGACGATCATGGAAAGAGAGGTCACAATGGATTAAGTTGTCACATTCACTGCATAACACTTTCTGGCAGGTGGTACAATACAATACAGCAATGTTCTCAGTGCATCTCTCACAATCTTTATCATTTCCTGGGATACTTTCCTTTTCAATTAGACAATCGAATAAATATGCCCTTGATTTTGCCCAGTTCTCTTCCATGCTCTGTTTTCTTTTCTCCAATGCTGTATATTCTTTTTCACCAGAAAATGTCCTTCAATCACATCAAGAGTTTGCAAAAACTCATCCTGATGAGTGTTTTCAGTTTCAGTAGCCCCCGTGGAAACTGCAACCTGTAAGTTCATTTTATAGGTAAAACATTCCTTGGGAGGCACATGATAGAAATAACAGAGAAAAGGTAAATAAGAAGCAGGCAAAATTGCTAAAATTGTATGATCTTACCATCTTCAACATCTAATTGCTCAGAATCAAAATCATTCTCTCCTGTGTTGGCGGCAGTGGTGATTTGTGAACATACACTTGCTTCTCCCAATTGGAAATTATTCCATTCAGTAAATTACCAATCTGTTCCAGATAATAAGAAACAGCATTGTGGTGGAGAAGCATATCTTAAGTTTACTAGCTATATTATATCAAAAAACCCTTCACAAACCCCCTTGAAGAGAAAACTATTTCCTCCACTCTTGTCACTCAAGAAAAAAGCCTTCACACCATGACTTTTTCCTGTTTTCTGGTATGATTTACGGGGCTTTGTTATTTATTTTCCAGTAGAACAATCCTTCTTTTGTTCATAAAAAGAAAAAATTGAGTCTTTTTCCTGGAAACACCTGGATATTCATCAAGGTCTGCTAAAGCTTCTTGGAAGTAGCACTGCTTTCTCTTCTTTCTTTATCAAGTTTCCTTCAAGAATTAAATTGACTAGCATATCATGCAAAAAATTCCTATATGAAGGGAAAAAAGGATCTTATTACTTCCTTTTTGATGATATAATAAAAAAATGTTTTTGCTATCCTTTTTCTTAGTGTAAAAGCTTGATGCAAAGACCGGTTAATTTTGTTCAGTTTGGCATAAATTGATCAGTTTTAGAGGTTGCTAAGGTTTCTCAACACCTGTGATATCCAATCTCTTGTGATATCTATAGCATTTAATCAGAGAAGATTAATTTTTTTAAATTTCTGCAGAGAACAAAATATTCAAAATTAAATGAATGAGATCACACTTAGGCTGCTGTGTTGTGATACCATCTATATTAATGTCCATTCAAACCATTGGATAAATCTAATGCAAACTGGAACAGAATAACCCAACAGGACACAGGAACCTGGAATCAGTGACCCCTTGATAGTTAGAATGAACAAGTAAAAAATAGGCAAACCAATATTATTTAACTGAACCCAGATTTTTTCTGAAAACGTATATCAATATTTCCGCACATTTTGCTAATGTTGAATTTTTTGGGTTATTTTTGAAAATCATCCAAGAAACCCTAAGTTATTAGAAAGGTTTTTCTGGTGGTGTCAGATTTGGAGATATTCAGCTTGACTCAAGCATCCACAGGATGCAACAATACTAGTGGTGCATATCTTGCGTACTCTTAGAAAATGCTAAATATGCTCAGGTGCTAAAGAGATTCACAGATCCACTTAATGATTACCTTTTTTGCTCAATAACACTTGTATGGTGGCCCATGGCTATCAACGCGAAAAATAAAATTTTTTACAAATTTGATTGCATACTATCATCATTTTTAGAATAATCCAATAAAAAATTAATTAAAAGTTTAATGAAATAAAATTTAATTTTACAAAATTATAAAAATAAATAAATTTAAATGTTGAAAAAATTTTCTATTCAACTTTTTTAAATCATTTAATAAAATTTTATTTCTTTTATGAAATAAAATTTAATTCAATAAAAAATAAAAAGAATAGTTTCGAATTGAAAAAAATATTTCAAAAAATAAAAATTCTATATATTTTTATTTTTTTACGACGTGGCCCATGGCTATCAACTATCAGTGAAGTACTCCATGTAAATTATCAGACGGAAACTTGTGTTCATGCAAACATGGCGGATGGAAGAGATGCATACAATAACTTCATGGCAAAAGTAAAAGCTAAACGAATCGGTCAAACAGACAACGCAGGGCACGGCAAAGGCAAGAAGCCAAAGAAGGGCATTGAATGTATTGTTGTGCAGAGAGTTAACTCGCAGCCAACTGGTAAATTGAAAAAATTTGAGCCACTGGATTCAAGGGACTTTGTAGACTTCACCCATTATGATTCATTGACATTGAAAAACATTAAGCATGCATGTGAGTCATTTTATGGTGCTCCTATAGGCTCTTGCGATGTCCTGTATAGCGACAGAGGTCCTTCTTGCACCTTAGATGAGCATGTAACCGGGAAAAAGTTTTATCTAGTGCGGTTTATGACATCAGGAAATGGAGTTCGAAAGCTGGACAGGCCTACTAATCAACGTCAAAATTATGAATTCAGCCCTGAGTTCAATAAAAATTTCAGCCACTCAAGCATCATGCCTTTCAGTTTGCCATCTAGAAGTGCATTTTCCAAACCTAAGAATGACAGTGGAATTTCATCAGCAACATCAAGTGCTGAGCCAATGAAGGTTACTGTCCCTAAATCTGTAACAATAGCAGATCTTCTTGGTGCTGGAAAGCTTATCCAACCAGAAGTTTGTGATGATGTTACACTGCAACTGGAATCTTTTAGCATCATCGAAAAGGTATGGCTGAAAAATGATCCAATCAATTTTCAAATAGAAAGGAAACATTTTGCAGCAGGAGGCTTTCGAAATGCTTTCAAAGCAGTCAGTAACAAAGGGGTTTTAAAGGGACTTGGGTTGTAAAAAAGTTCCAAGCAGAAACATGGGAAAACATCAAACCACTACTTGGGGACACCACAATTGTTGAACACACAAGAAAGCAGGTGCAGATGCATATGGCTGCTAAGGGGATTTTGAATCGCTTGGAAAAAAAGATTGAAGAAAAGGAACTATTTGGATCTATCTTTAGTTATGATGAGATATATTTTTCAATGATGGAGGACGTGCCTGTAACAGTGGAACCATTCCTAGCTGGAACCTTTGTCAAGTATGTCAACAACAATGGAGAGCCAATTGCAGGAAATATTGAAAACAAGGATATACATCAAAAAGCAGAAGCAGTATGCCACTTTTCACTTGCTGATAGTGAAGGAAAACTACTACTTCTTGACTTGCAAGGAGTTGGATATAAGCTCTGTGATCCAGAGATTGCAACATCTTCACTTGCTGATTCAATTAATGATGCTGAAAAGTTATTCTGTGCAGGAAATCGTCAGGACCATGCATTTGAAAACTTTTCATTGCATCATGTATGCAATTTGTATTGCAAACTTCTTAATTTGGATCAATTATCTAGCAGTGTAATTTCATAAAAAGCTGGTTATTTGTAATCCTTTTTTGATAAGATGTTGCAATACATGGAAGCTTAACATTGACTACTATTGACATTTTGTTTGTTACAAGTTGCTTTCATTGGCTATGTTAGGGGCCGCACAAAAATTGTTTCTTTTAGGCAAAATATCCACTGGACATTCAACAAGATTGTGATTTGAAAATCATATGGAGTACCCTCCTCATTATGTTTTGAAATAATTGTTGATATTGCTTTTCTGGTAGATGCCAGTTTTTTGTTTCATTTTGAAATTGTTATTTGGCCTTGGCTGTTATGTTATCAGAGGTTTTTTCATTGATTACAAGGAAATAGTAACAAAAAAATGCACGACAAACTTATCAGAAAAAATCAACATTTTCTTGATTTTGAAAACAACTATTTGTTTTCCTGAATCCCATTTACAGACAGATAGCCAAGGCCATAGATAACACTTTCAGTTGGATCTTCCAAATCTCCAGTTTTACTCCTGAGATATGTATGCATAGCAGCCATCACACCAGTTTCAGTCCCCTTATCAATGCGTATATAATTTGGAATGATTTTGGCTTTATTTAGATACACCATAAAGAACTTTCCTATCACAAGGGGGTTCCCAGTCCAAACATTGAGAAATATGATCTTTCTGGAAAATGTATCCAGGCAGCCATATATGGCAAGTGGGAAGGTACTGTTCTGGAACCCCATCATTTTGTCGTGCCCATCCAATGAGAAGAGCTGATTGGGCCCATCACATATGAAAGGTCTTTTCATACCCTTTTTATTTTTCCGAAGTTTCCTTGCTTCAACTCCTTCAGGGTCAAGATCCCACATAATATCACTCACAAGTTTCCTGGGTACAAAAATGCCATGTTCATTTCTTAACTTCAGATTCATACTTCGATATCCAAGCTTTTGTCCTCCACCATCTAATTCTGCCCGCACTGCATCTATAACCTCTAGCAATGGAATAGCTCTGTTCACATAACGAATACCAAAATATCGTAGCCTTCGATCAAGAGTTGGTATACTCCAGCTGGACCTGAAATAGTCCCTCTTTACAAAATCGAGTATTTCTACTCGTTTCATGTTGGAGCCAACATAACGTCTCAAGTCTTTTTTGAGGTTTTCGTCATCCCACCAGTTTCCAAGTTCACACGCACTTTCTCTTGACTGAGCCATGAATGCCAATAAATGTAGATTCATACAGTAGTATGTCTCAGTAATCCAAGCTGTGGACAGTAGATGCACAAGTAATTGCACAGTCAGTTGTGATATTAGGCTCATCAACAATACAGTGCTTTCTGGTAATTTACATGGAGTACTTCACTGATAGTTGATAGCAATGATAGTATGCAATCAAATTTGTAAAAAAAATTATTATTTGCTTTGATAGCCATGGGCCACCATACACTTGTAAGTTAACTGACATTATCTGTTATTTGTTCGGAATTTCAGAGTAGAAGGACAATTGAAAAGGTTTGAAGAGAATAACAATGTTCACCATTGATGGACAATTGACCAGGAAAACATAAAATATTATGGTTGTTAATTGAAAGTGAAGAACAGCAAGAGGCATTAGAGAAGCTGCGGGTCATGTCCTTCGATCGATGGTTCCTCCTGTCCTTGAAGAAGAAATATGCAAGTACGTTTACTTAGAATAGAAATGTTATAATACATCATCACCTGATAGGAAAGAAACGTTTCAAGCCAAAGCTATGGTTAAAATTGTTTTGCCAGAAGAATCTGTATGACCTGATGGAACCGGCATTACAACAATGAACTGTTATTTCTGTACTTTGAATCCCCTTTGAATTCAATTTTCCTATTTTGTTTTTTTATTAATATTGTTTTTCCTTTTGGTATTGTAGCTGGTCTAAAAATTGCAAAAATGCTTTCAAAAGTATAGACACTAAAGTTAGCAATATCAAGCAAACCATACGCATATTTAACTCTAGACCTGCAGTGAAGATGAACCTTGTGCCAGATACAACACGTAAAATTGATTACAAAGATCCATTGGATATCCAAAGTGCCTTATACCAAGACCTTTCAAGCTTTGACAGTGGAGACATTCCATCAGAAGTCAAACGGAAGAATGTAAAACTCGATGTTATGCAGGACATGGCCGTAGAGTTGTTCAAGCAGGACATGGCCTGCATAATGCAGCATCTAATTGGGGAGAAAATGAAAATTGCCAAGGCAATATAAAGGCAATCAGGACTTTGAAGAAGCAACTACACTAGGGAAGCTAAAAGTCTCTTTAAAGGCAAATTGTCAGTTTTGGAAAGCCTGATCTTGTATAATGGAAAGATTTCAGCAGATGAAGGGGGTTGAGCGAAGAACCTAGTGAACTCATTTTTGAGTACCAACGCCACAACATCTATCCAAGAGAGTAACCTTTCTCGCATTTATGATTCAGATGTGGTAGACGAACTTGAAGAGGAACCCAATCATTTTGATTACTTTGCATTTGAAGAGAGAACAGACTAAGATCTTCGGACATATTTATCTGAAGATAGCATTTAGAGACTCTTTTATAAATCTTTGATTTTCTGAGTAGTATTTTATGTTAATTATAAATTGTACAATATATTGTTGTTTTGTAAGCAAAACCATTAGTCAGTGCGTAAAATCACCCAATGGTAGATAAAATAAAAACAAAGATGTCATCATCTATGTCTCTGTCACTATATATTATTTTTGCCTAGCCCCTAGCCTAGAACGTATAGCTGTTTTTCTTTCCACTGTGCAGAATGGAAATGTGCAAAACTGTAAATCCTCTAACGTAAAAATATTCAATAAACTTGCACCCTTAAATAATCCCCCACCCTAACACAGGCTTACCAGTTTTACAATATGTTATTTTAGTACTGTTTGGTACCATAGCTGCAATATGCATGTCCTGCTGGAATTGATAACTCAAAAAATTTCCACCATAATTTCTCCATCAGGCCCTCTCTTACCAACAAGTCTTTTTAAACGTAGCTGGCTATTTGCGACAGGTCTGAATGGTCTTGAATGTTAGATATAAGATGGACTGCTAGTGTTGGATCAATGTTCTCTACACCAAAGGGTCTATCAGTATGTGCAGATACATTGGCAAGCCAATCATTCTCTAGCGTAATTTCATTACATGTTTTCATACTTTCAAATAATTCTCGGCATTGCTTAAGACTCTCAATATCGTAATACTGTGAACCTATTTCCATCAAGCCCTCACTATTTTCTTTTAAACGAAGACCAGTCAAAGCCTTATCTATTGTTGAAATGCAGGGTATCGACTTTTTATTAAAACTGCCATGCTACTTTCAAAGCAATTTAAAGGCACAAAGGTAAAATGTTGGTTCTGGAGCACACTTAGAAATGGAATCTTCTGGCAAGATCTACGTGGCCTCTTAGAAACATGTGGCTCTACTGCATTTAGATCAATAACGAGCTGAAATGAAGGATAACATATAAATGTCATATATACTATATATTGCATATAGAAAATTTGCAAAAAAATTTGAACATGTGTCAATAACTAGAAACATTACAAAATGTTTTTAGAAACCTTTTGCAAAATATTTTGTGTATATATCTTACCTTCATTGGTTCACCGCCTTTGAATGTCTTTCTGAGATTTACTTGCTAACCAAACAATATTAGTTGTTTTTAAACAGAGAAGAATCTATGCAATAGGGCTTATATAGAGAAATTAGCACAATATCGAGGAGAAAATAATCTGTTGTATATTTTAAAGCTATGATAGCAGAAACTGAACCATTTACAAAATAAACAATGCGCCCTAAGTAAATAGTCCATGAATTTACTATATTTTTTATCCATTTTAAGCGTGACAATTTCTCTAATCTACAGAAAGGGCGCATCGAGTATGCATATCCTATGTCATTTGCGGGACAAGTAGCTAAGGACTAGCCCAAACTAAATGCAGTGAAGTTGGGCTGAATCACAGAAAAGGAAATCATAGAAGAAGTACTCAGAAAAATTCAGACTCAGAAAAAGTACTAGCGAGAAAATGTAAAGCTAAATAGTTTATTTTGATGTTAATTGTGAATGATGACTTTATTTTAAGATGTTTTAAGTGCAATAGATATGTGCTAACCAGCTTAGATTTTTGCTATATGTTCACAAAACCATGTTTTCTATTTGTATCGGTCTATTACCATGTCAATCTGTCTTTTTGCTATATTTCCATCTATATTATCATTCAAAATACTTTTCATTAAAATAATCATACTTTTGTCAGGCCAATACCTGAATCAATCTTCCTTATCCTCTTTTTGTTTTCTTGTCTTCCTTCAGATAAGGCTGTAAGTTAATAACAAAAACTAATTTATTAATTAAACTATAATATGTTTCATGAATATTATGCTGAAATCAAACTATATTTTTCAAAAGTTTTGTGAAGTATCGTAAAGTATAAACCATATTTAAAAGTATTGTGAAGGTTGTGTGCTGGTCAACTGCACCCTGTGCTACTATGTTAAGATGATCTCAACTATCTCTATACAAAATTGCAAAGTTAGAAAAATTAAGCCAGGTATCCCCTCTTCTTTGCTATGCCACCATCTATACAGGTTTATTTGGTATTTTTCTTAGAAGATATTCAACTGTAAAACGATGAATAGAACAAATCACGGCGGATGGGTAAAATTACATCTGTCAGTAATTATTACCAATGTACCATTTACAAAAGCGAAATGCAGCAAAATATAACAATTAGAGTGATATATATTATTCTTATCATGGCATCTCAAAACCAAATTCAAGAACAATCAAATGATGGCAAGTAATTAGGGGAGTATATTTATGGTAAATTGATGAATTACATTCTATGTCAGTGAAGTTACTATAATACGTTAGATGTAATATTGATGACCAACCATTCAGACTTGTAAAAGATGCATCAAGTTCAGCAATAATCTCCTCAATTGGCTGATCATCTGTGGAAAAAGTATCCACTATTAAGAACAACTTCAACCAACAAAGCCAACTGATTGCAGAAGCCATAAAACGTAAAACGACAGTGACTACAACCTCCTGAGTAGTTTCGAAATTCAAAGGAAATAATATGCTTTCCATATAAAATTGGAAAAGTGAACAACTTTCTCTAGGTGAAGTTTGATTTTAGTTCTACAAATCATCAACATTAAGGTCTACAATTTATGCAAAAAAGTTGGATCCAATTTGATTTTTTTCTGCATGGAAAAATCGGTCTTATAGACAATCTTTGTGACAGAAGCAAAGCAAAATTTAATATATGAAACAAAATTTAACTGTTCTGTTGGACATAGGCATGAAATCTTCCACATTCCTTCCTTGTACAGATTGGTACTGCACTTCCAGGGTATCAATACATTTCCGACAACTTGTCCCCTGCTTTTGTCAATCTTTGGCAAAGCCATTGCCGGAGTTGGTGACGTCAATAGAAAAGAAAAATATCCTGTTTAGCTATTATGGTGCAAGATATTCAAGATTCAAGAAAGTGGTATATTGACATTATTGTCCTATGCATCTGAAGGTGTAAGATTGGAGCCAGAAAAGTATTTATCCTGTACTCATGTCACACGTCTGCTGCATTGTATCTAGCACAAAAGCCCCTTAGTTCTCTCAGCTGAAAACCATCTGCAATGTATCAACTTGTATGAAGTATTTAAAAGGCCCATTTCAAGATTTGCTCTACTCAAAGAAAAGACAAAAAATAAATGTTTTATACTTCAATGATTGTAATTGATCCTTGTGGTTCTTTTTCACGATCTTGGGTCAAGGAAAGGTTAGAGGACGGGTCTCTTGCTCTTTTTTTTCTTGTAGCTTACCTTAAAAACAAAAACACTTTTTATAAGTTCATATGTCTTTTATGAACTTATGTCTTAATTGTTTGGACATGGCTAATGACTAAAGACACCTTGAGCAAGAAAAATATCTTACCTCTGACGTTATGATGCTTCAGCTCCCTCCAAAGCCATTCAGGACATTTTTGCACTGTTTTCATCGCTGGCTCTACTACACGTTGTGATGCTGTGCACAAGAATTCTTTCAAACCATCAACAAGAGAGGGTAAAGCTACATCTTCACTCAAGTGAATACTGTCTTGACTTGACCATGTTTGTCTGGTTGTAAAATCGATGCAGTTTTCAATGTCAAAAAAGAGAACATTGAACTTCTTGCACTCTTCTTCCATGGCTTGGTTGAAAAGGTGCCGTCGCACATCAACATCATCCAGGCAAGGTGCAATGGAGATTGCGACGCCTAGTAAAATAACCTAAATAGTTATATAATCCCTTTATATATAACTATAACCACTAAGTACATAAAAATATTTTCAGAAACTTTTCCACCGATGCCGAAAAGTCTCTTCTTGCATGATTGAACATGCAGTGTCGGGACATACTGTTGGTTCCTACCATAAAGACGACGAACTAGGGGTCATGTTCTGACACAGAGTGCATTTCATCAAGGAAACAGCCTCCTGGCGTCGAGTTGATATTCCAGGCTGCTGGGAACAGTATCTTCTACTATTGGCCGAAGTTGGGAGTCCAAGAAAAAAAGTACCTAAATAGAATAAGCATAGACGTAGCTTTGTGCCATAATTTATACTTTGATTTCTAGTTGTGTCAAAATGTTAGCTTTTTCATGAAGCAAAGGCTGGTACACCCTTAGTGGAGGAGAAAACAATTCGGACAATCAGATGTATTTTGAATGGATACAACAGAAAGATTAATGTGCAAATAAATGAGGTGACAGTACTTACACTGTCTTTTAGAAAAGCCATTCAGAGAAGCCAAAGCATTGTTTTGCTTTCCACTTTCACCTGGCTTCCACTTTCTTCTTGGCTTCTCCCACCCGTTCCTTTCCAATCTACCCCACGCATTTTCCATGTGTGTTGTGCACAACCATTTCTTGTGATTATATGGGCCCCAAAGGGGACTCCAGATCTTTTGTGCGGTGCAAAAGTTCTATGTTTTACAACTTTAATCATTGTTATACGTGCCTTCATTAAGTACTACAGGAAAAGTATTCCTTGGATCTAACTGTGCATCCTATGATGCTACTTATCACATTACGTAACTATTCTGAAAGATGAAGCAATTTTGTCCTATTATTGAATATGAGATAATTGACAAGGACAACACCACCCATAGCGTTTTCACATTTTATACGTCCCAAAACCTTCTCTACCCTTTGGCGACATAAACTCTTTCTCTATTTTACCTGTGAGAGCCATTTAAATGGCTGGAGTTTTGATTTTAAATCTAATAAAACTTGTTAACTTGATAAAACGGGAGGATCTCCTAAAATTTTTACGAATTAAAGCCATGGAATTGTGCTCAGTGAACCTACTGCGCCACATTTCTCTATTTTACCTGTGAGAGCCAAACCGCTTCTCCATTTCATCCTGAGAGCCTATACTTAACCTTTTAGTAATTGAGTGCTGACAATAGGATCAAACAGCGGTTAATCTGATTTCTCTATTTTACCTCTAACCGGAAATATTTCTCTATTTACGTCCTTCTCTATTTTACTCGGCTCGCAACCAATGTGGGTGGATATTCTTGACTTGACTGCTCTTGAACAGCAACTTATAGCTCTGAGAATTCCTTTCATGCAAATCCGTGAATTACCCAGGGAAAATCAGCTGGGCATTCATGGAAATGTTGTTAATGTTCCTGCTGATGTCAATAGAACAATCAATCTCTTACCTAGATCTCTAGATGAACCACAATCGATAGATATTAAACTAAAAAGATCAAAATCATACAAAGGACATTGCATGATTCAGCATGTTAGACCATTACGTGTCTTGTATGCTGCACACCACCTCTCTGAAACTAGCGATCTTTACAAAGCAGAAGGAATTTTCCAACACTTGGTTAAAGGAGCTTGAAATTGTAAATCAAGAAATGAATTAGTATTTTGCTTTGTTTCGTGGAATAAAGATGATATATTTGATGATACACAAAATGAATCCAACTCTATAGAATCTCAAAATGATTCGGAAGTTGAGGAAAAAGGTGATATTAGTAATGAAGCTATCCATAATGATGATGAATGGAATGAGAAGGACGGAAGACCTGTTGGTACTTTTGATACAAACAGGAACAAACATTCATTCAATTGCTGATAAAACCACTTAAATTAATACCTATTGTAAGCAAAAACGGATCATTTATGACTAATTCTTATCAAAGAATGTTTCTATAATCCACAATCTCTTTACTAAATTAGCTACAACCATATCAAAAGCCTTTTCCTTGTTGACTTGCCTAAAATCCAATGAAACAACCTGGAGCTTTTGTAACTTCAGCTTCTCCTGACAAATTATGACCCAGTGGTCATGGAAGACAATAATGATGCAGCCAAGTATCTCACGGTTTTTTTTAAAAGTTTCTAATTCTGTCACCAATCTGCTTTTGCCACACATGGTACAACCAAGAAAAAACTTACCATTGAAAAATCAGATCTTGATGGTTGTTGTAAGGCTAGTAGGTTGAATATGTCCTTTGAATATCTGTTAATCTGTCACAAAGCACATTTTGGGGGATAATTTTTTTGGATGTACTTGAAAATGAAATTTTTAGTTTGTTGGCCGGGTCATGATTTTATAAGACAGACACTTTATTCAGGCAGTACTTTCCAAGGCTGACCAGCATAATTGACTGCTTCGAAATATTCATTGAAAGACCAGGAAACTTGAAAGCTCAAGTGTACTCAATCTATAAGAAGCACAGCACAATTAAATTTTTAATTAGCTGTAGTCCTCTTGGAGCAGTTTCCTTCCTATCAAAAGCTTGGGGTGGGGAAGCAACAGATGTGCAAATTGTCAAGGAATCAGGATTTATAAACCCAAACTTGCCTGAATCTGGTGACCAAATTCTTGCAGACAGGTTTAACTCTTCAGGACGACTTTACATCAGTATGCTGTGCAGATCTTATAATTCCTGCATTTACGAAAGGCAAATTTCTGCTAATGAAGTTGCAAATATAAGGATTCGTGTAGAAAGGGTGATTGGTCTAATTAAGAAACTTTGCCAATAACATTCATTAAATCTCTAAATAATGAAGTTTCTGACGAAATACCTTATATCTATAAACTTGTAGTGGTTTGTGCTGCCCTAGTGAATTTAACAACAGGGATAATTTATAGCGAACATTGACAAAGTAAACAGCAAATTGCTTTATTGTTCAGTAAAATGTTGTCACTGAAAATATAATATTGTAACTAATATTGAACATAACTTACATTTGATCAGATGAATATAATTTTTAACTGTTCTTATTTCTTTTTGCAATCCTTGCAGAACCAGTTCTGTTTGCTTCTTGGCTGACTTCTGATTTCAGCACATTGGAAATGAATCCACTGATATTTACAGTGTGGGTTGTCACAACCAGCCAGTCTATCCCCTTCTTTATATGGCTTTTGGCAATACCAAAAAGGTTGAGAACCATCTTTAGGCTCTGAAACAGGTACTTCACTTTCTGTTCTTCTTGTAATAAGCTCTGGTCCAATGAACTTCTCATGAAAGCAAACGAGTTAACAATACTGGCAGAAAAATCCTCATCATATTCAGCAATAACCCCTCTACAAAAATTTTGTGTTTATATTACCAGGTGGTTCACTTTCATCTTGTATATGTACATTTGCATCTGAATCTGGGTGTAATATGTCTGGGTTTTTTTTAATTTTCATTGAACTGTCAATGCAAAAATCTTTGTCTGCGAAGCATTCTTCAATGCATTGCTTCTTCCTGTGTTTGAAGGGGCAAATAATTTCAACAAGAAATTTGCCGTGGCATTCACAGGAAGCTATTGCATCAGCAGATGCACCAAGGAAATGATGTAGATCATCAAGCATGAGACCAGATTTCTCCAACTTCAGATTAACATGGCTGTTTTGAAGATGACCCTCGTAGTATCTAATTGCCTCTGCCTCATGCTCTCTTCTCCAGGAAACAACTGGGACATTGAGAGGGGGAGATAACCTGCATATTTTCAAAATCAGTGATTGGGCGGGCTCTTCCTCTTGCAGTGTAAAACCTCCAGGGGCGACAGAAGCTGTTATTCTACCAAGTCGCACTTTTTTCCAGAAAATGGAGTCACTTTGCAACTTTGTTGATTGCTCAACAATTTTCCTGTCATCAGAGGAAATTTTCAATCTTTTTTATCATTGCTTCTGATGACATTGCTCGAGGGCAGAAATAATCATGCAGTGATCTTGGCAGTGTTGGCCTACTCAGAACTGGAGCATTCAAAAAATCATCCCTTTCAGCATCAGATGTGTTAGCAAAACGTCTTTTTTGAGGTCTTTTCACTTCTGTTCTCTTAAGGAGTTTCATTTTTGAGAGTTCAGTTCCTTCGATTTTTTTCAACAAAGTCATCGTTCCACTTGCAAGAAACATCTGTGCATGCTAATGTTGTGTAGCCGAGATATCAGATTCTCCCAACCTAGAATAGATGTTTAAACAAAAATTAAGATCATTCAATAAAAACCTACACAATAGTGTAAACTTTGATTTCCTTCTGAATGCCTGAAGTCGTAATGATTTCCTTCTCAATGCCATCATCAATTTTCTTCTCAAGTCGAAGTAAAATTTCAGAAAAATCGGGAGTCTCAACCCTTGCAACAGATTCGTCGGCCCAGAATTTAATTTGATGTCACCACAAAGCAGCAAACTAAAGTAAAGGTCCATACTTTCCAAACCAACCGAGTAGGCCCTCCTCTGACGAATTTGCTTCTTTAAAGATTTTGAAGACTTAAAGTTTCTCCAATCCTTTCTATATGAAACTTTCTTTCCAAACAAACAGCTGTTCATAAGAAATTTCTCTTTGTGATCATTTCTATTGGAAACATTCGATTTGCAGTCATAATACTGAAAAGCAAAGAATAATTCGAAGAGCGCGAAGAGAACATGTGCTGTCACCGGAATGATTTCACAGTCACCTAATACAAATGGCATGTAATGTCCTAAATCGATAAGGACATCGCCAATCGCCAAAACAAATCATGTTTCCTGAGGAAAACGCAAAGAAACAAATTTATTACCTGATTTAGCAAATTGCTCACAAATTGAAATAGCACACAACCTATAGTTGGGGTCTTCTGCATCTTTTGAGGGGTCAACCAACTTTCTACAACCAGTGGTTTGGCAGTTGTGAAATATGGCTGAACTGCATTAAATAACCTTAGTTAGCCCTAATAAGGCACTTTCGGTCATCTGAGGTGCATACACATCTTAAAGCGCCCCCTATAATTCAGGTATTTTGCTTCTTTTGAGGTGTCAACCAACTTTCTATGATCAGCGGTTCAGGACTTTGGAAATCTTACTGATTTATCTTTAATTAACCTTAATTAGCCCTAATTAGCATGAAACATGAAACTTGGTAGGGTAACTAGAAATACAGTAAAACCCCGCAGACAAGAACCTCCTTTTTTAAAAACAGACTGACTAGGTTCTTATAAATGTGGTACTCAAGATATTTTCAGCCGTAAATGTGGTACTCTTATCGCAAGGACACTAACAACTATGATGCACAAGAAAAGAAACTAGATTTGAGAATGGCCTGACTGAATTTCAAATTGTAGAGGATATGGTATTATGTTGGGGACAAACCAATTTCAATCATAATATGAAAAATGAAAAAATGCCATGGCTCTGAATATCAATTAATCAAACCACAATGACGACTTGAAAACTATATATTCTGACTTTGAGAATTTCATGTTTTATTTAATATGATGAACAATCTCATAAGAACATGGAAAGAAACCAGTCTGTTTTTGGTTCTTATCTTTGGGTGTTATTTTCCACAAAATCAGTCCGTAAGTTCTTATTTTCCTATGTTCTTTGTTTGCAAGGTTTTACTGTAATGTACTCAACATGTTTTTTTGGGTCTGGCGGCGATTTTTATATCAGTGACGGTGAACCCCAAAAGATGACAAACGACAGTTTGCAGAGTCAGAATTATGATTTATTTAAAGTTCATCGAAATGGTACAAATCTTTATTAACTTAAATTCTATAGCAAATGTTAACTTAAATTCTATAATGAAACTTGTTACAACACTAAAGGTTAAATGGATCTCTTTGTTTGTGCTTATTGAGATTGATTTTATTATACTTTGCGTTTGGTTTCAACCTACAGCAAAAAGGCCCATTTAACATATACGATTACTAATAAACATGTAAATTATTTATATACATTGATTTAGACTTGGTATATGAAAATTGTAGACCAAACGCAGGACAATGGCGATATAGATCAATTCGTTGAATGCGTGAAGTATAGGGAAACCTACAATGATTTTTCTGCCATGCAGAAATTTGCTAATCAGCAAAAATTTGTATAAATTGTATAAATTTGTAAAAATTTTAATACAAAAATCATTTAAACTATAACTATTTGCTGAATAACGTATCAAGAATGTGGGTCAATTAACAAAATATTAAACATAAAGTAGATTCTATTAATGAAATACTGCCTCTTAATAGGGAGCTTTATCAGAGCTGTATAAAACTGCGTAGTTTTGACACAATTTAAAAATTATCTTAACTAATTAAGTTTAATTTCTAAACTACTATCTTCTCTCATTCTATTTTACAATTTTTTACAAATTTGTCACTGTACAGATGATACATTTACAATACTGCAGTGGATTTGGAGAAAGAGGAAAGCAAAGTCATTGGGTTCTATGAGTTTTTAATTGCATTAAAAAACACCGTATTTCTAGGCTGTTCTGCAGATTAAAGTTTTGCAGTCGCTTCTTTAAAGGACATATTATATTCTTTAATTACGAACTGAGAAAGTTGTTCTGGAAACAAGAACATATCTGTTGGATTTGCACAAGTGTGGCAAAGTAATCTTTCTATGTAATTTTTATATTTAAACTTATATTAGAGGCTTGCTACAGAGTCATTATCTGTCCTTGCTATTTCGATTAGTAAAGCAGTGTAACGAGACATGATGCGCCAAATTGACTTTGCAAATGTTTTGTGAAAAAATTTAAGTAACTCTAGTCTAGCAGATTCTTCATAATCTCTATTACCAAGGGTCATGCTATCAGATGTCAAGTTAGTGTCTTCCCTAGGATTTTCATTACTTTCTGCTTCATCTGATATGATTTTTGGATAAGTAATGGTTTCCTGGAGATAAAACGAGTCCATAATTGGTTTTAATGTAGCAAAAGGTTTAGAGGAGTTTCGATCTGCATGATGATTGTACTTTGAAATATTTCGCTCATCTGTTTGCACCCCAAACAGTGGCATTGTTGGACCTTCTTCTACCTAGATTATCTGTCCCATTGATGCAAGCTTTTCCTATCCAGTATCTTATCGGTATAAGGTCAGTTTGAGAAATCTCAAAATCCGCCAAAGTGACCAAACAATATGCATTGACCATGTCAATACCCCACAGCTGTCTGTATCTGATTGCTGCTGGAGGCCGTTTTTGGTTAATGATAGATACACCCAGTTAGGTATTTCTGACTTTTTTGCAATGAAGAGTAGTTTTGAAATAAAAATATTAAGTGCAAAGAAGGCATTTTCCTTCTCCATCTACACTAGCTGCTGAATCATAATGTACCACCAGCCTTTTCTCGGGGTATAAAGCAATAATGCTACAGTGCCAAGGCGAATCCTTGGTGGCCTGGTGGAATGAAACAAAGACAATAGTTGCACTCAGAATTTGTTGGTATTCTTATATAGAACTTGATAAAATGTGTCTGGTGTATCTTTTTTCCAGAATGGCTGTCAAAACCTGTGATGGCATCACTTCAATGTCGAATTTTCCAAAATATTTAAAAGCTAGATGTTGCAAGAATGTAGAGATAACATCACTATGCAAATTGTCATTACAAGCAATGGTTTGATATGATTCAACAGGTAGATTAATTTCATTTGGGCTTTTCCCAAGTCCAAAAAGAATTCTTCCCACATTTTTTTATCAACGGGGCTGATTTTGATTTCCCAAGCCGTATTTGTAGTTTGCTTTGCATTTCTTATCACAAGAACAGCTGCGAAACGATACACACAAGAATCTTCATTATACTGACCTGGCATCATGTTTGATAAGAAGAGAGTTTCGTTAATTATAACAGCACAATGCAGAACTGCATTTTCTAGGCTGTTGGCACTTTCGACCATAATTAATAATGCTACAGGGAGCTGTGTATAAAACATTATATGAGTCAAATGAGCATCTTCAGGCTTGCAATCGCAAGAGAAGTCGTGGAACCTATCCTTGAAAATGGACAGACAAAGATATGACTGCACAGATACGTTCGGAATCAAATTTTTTCCTAAATGGATGGGAATGGCAACCTGGCCGCTGCAGATGTTCCACCTTTATTACCAGTAGTGCAGTTTGTGAGATTGAAGATTTTTGTTTAAAAATAGCCTTCGATGTCATCTATGCTATTATCTATAAGATGCAACAGAATTTCCATCATCATGGTGAGACCACCATCATCATGTTTTTTCTGATCACAATTAGGGAAATAGGGTACAATAGTCCTCGTGTTCAAGGTAAATTCCAAGGGGGTGGATGCCATGTTTTGCTCAAATTTTTCACTAATTTCGAGGATTGACTGGCAAACAATTGTGTTACAGTTGTTTTACGAAGGCAACAAGTTAGATAATGCAGTTCTGCAAAGGAAATGAAATGCTGAGTTACTCCAGCAGTTGTTGCAACTATTTCCTATCATGCGTTCACTCAGAATTTGCAGTCCACCTATTTTGAATATATGCTTTGTCTCAACATAATAAACATTTTTCTTGATTTGTCTTCTGTCATCAGATGACAGGTTTATCCAAAGGGAAAATGGGTCAGGCAGTTGCATTATTTCAGGAATAGATTTGAAGCGATAATGAGCAAATAGGTTAGGCAGACAATCAATAAAAAAAATTGCTTCCATCGTGTGCATATGCACATTGCGACACTGAGCGCAATTATCTCTTTTAGCACAGGCAGAACTATTATATTCTTTTCTTTCTTCGGACAATAATTCCTCCCAGTCTTTCCCAATTTTATTGCATACAGAAGACATGTTGTTTTTTTCTGATTGAGAAACTGATTTGTAAATCTCTCTCTTATATAGAGGGTATCCCTTGTTGATCGAATCATTGTTTTGGGTTGATTCTTTTCGAGAATTTCGCTTGCAAGAACGTTTATTTTTAGTGTCAAAACCTTCTTTGCACAATTTTTTTTCTGTTTTAGAGGCAGCAAAATTCAATCTTTTCTTTAGTGGCGTTGGAACCTTTCCTTGAGTTTTCCTTTTCCTTAGGATTTTATTACCTTTATCCCAACCTTCAACAATGCAAGAAAGTTCTTTTGCATCACATTCCAAATCACCTTCTCTTCCCCCGGAATCGTTGTAACTAATAAGAAGGTTTCTTAATTTTGTTAAAAAACTATTATGTTTCTTTAGATAATTTATTTGTTTCACTGATATGGTTTTTTAGCCTAAAATGAACTGTCTTTGCAAGCCCAATTATGATGCCGCAGTTTCTGAATAAATTCAACGAATGACTGCTTCAAATTACTCCTATTTCTTTTCTTAAACAGAAAATTGTTTTGCAAAGGTGCTAGTTTTGGTCTTTGACAAGAACCAGTCTTGGTATTCAGGATTAAAATGCTGCAAATCTCCTAAGCATAAATTGCTCCATAATGCTACATAAGGCAGTTTGTATAGGTCATCGTACATTCATTTACAGTAATTTGGCATGTAATACCGATTGGTTTCGCCATCTTCTGGATTATGGTGTTGTTTTATTGATTTTATCCTTTGCGCCCAAAATTTATGCAACTTAGTTTCATTTTTAAAGCTATTGTCAGCATCATATTCAAGCGAGTCTGAAACATCATCTGCATTCAACCCTTCTGACCAGAAATTTTCTTGGGTACTACAATGTTCTACTTCCTCTAATTGACTCTTCCACGTTTTTCAGAGCAGTTTTTACATTCTTATCATCATATTTAGATCCTAGTACAATAGTTCCATTCTTTAAACGTTTGTAGCACCATCTTTCGACAAACAATTAATTAGTCTTCCAAACAAGCTCGTTGCAAAGTGTAGGCGACTTTTTCCTTCTTCACCATTCCCGCAATCTTTGATAGCATGTTGGCGATTTAGGCATATCATGTGAAAAGCACAATATGGAGAAAAGTTTTCCTCAACTCTGTAGAGCTGGCACTACCGTTAATTGTCTGAAAGAATCTGTTTATATATTCGTGTATATGTTCCCCATTAAATTCACTAATGCAGGCATTTATAATAGCCATACTTAAATCAAGTACTACTAATTTTGGTTTATTAACATGTTGGTTGCCATACTTAAAGCTATCCATTTCTAGTAGTGTACTTAAAATCGCTTAATGGAATGCAAGTCCTGGTTTGTAGTTAAATACTCGGCAACAGGTAAAGGAGGGCTTTTGCCAAAAGGATGCTGGACTGTTGCTGCATAAAACAAAAATTTCTTTAATCCTTTGAAGTTCCTTATAAGTGTGCCAGTTGCGTATAAAAACAGAGTAAAATTTTTGACATTTTAGTGGTACAACATCACAATTGGCTGATCAATTAGGATGATGCTTATCTCATTATTACTAATTATTGGCCATTGGATATACCCAAAATGATTTCTAAAAGTTGCACCTTGTTTTAAAGCTTGCTTCTCATCTAAACTCAGAAGCATTTTTTGAAGTTCGATGATATCATTATGAATTTTCTCGATTGAATCTGCCTCTTTTGTGGCTTTTGCAGCTACTGGTAATAGGCGATATGATTTTTACCTGCCCCTGTCAAATTACCAGCAGCAAAAGAATTGGGATCCATTGTTTCTAAAGACAAAACAATGTTCACAACACTTTTGAACCCACTGTCTAAAAAACAAATAAATTCTAGAATCTTACCATTACTTTGTCAAGAGCCTTCTATTCTCAAATAGGAACTTTCTCTTGATACCTGCAAGGCAGAATAGTACATTAAAGAAGCAAATTTTAGAAAGAAGCAAACATTAGATAGGGTCTGTTACAATTATCAGCTAGATGAATGACTGAGTTGATCAGCATGATGGTAATACAGACAAATTTATGACATACCTCAATACCTTGACCTTTAAGTTTCAATTCCTCCCCAACAGCGTCTTTGGAATGAGCGTCCTTCTAAATAAAATAAGCAAAAACTACAACCCTGGACAAAATATATTGGAACTCCAGCTATTTTCAGAAATTTACCTGATTTTCAGAAATGTTGCAAGTTGTAAATCAATGTGTCTTCCATACACAACATTGCTGAAGGGGAGAGGGGGTGAAAATTTGAAGGAAAACGTAAAAATCTAAACCGGCATCGATTTTCGAAGTGAGTTCCAAAATTTTTGTCCAAGATTGTCTGAATGCTCTAAAAACCATATGTCTTGTGATTTTCAAACTACTTATTTTTACGCATTAATCTGATTTAGAATATCAATGTCAAGTTAAGTAACACATTTATAGCCGTAATTAAGATATTCCAAAATATTTTGAAAGATATAATGGCGGATGCCCAGCCAATCAGAGGCAAGCTATGCTATTTGTCTTGAAATCAAGTAACGGTCGTTTGAAAATGGCGAAAAGTGACGATGACTGTTCGAGATCAAAATATAAGAAAATTCCTTTCGATGTTTCCATGCACCTGCGGTATTTACATCAAGACAAGGGTGAAACTTTGCCCCAGCTTATGCAGAGGTATCCACATTATTCAAGAACAACTATTTATAACCACAGCCGTCTACCCATCGGAGAGAACATAGTCGATAGGAGACACTCAAATAAGGGATGTCCTGCCAAGCTCACTCCTCGAGATGTTAGGAAATTTTCGAGTAGTCTTAAGAAATTGAGAGAAAACTTTGGAAACTTTACATCTAAAGATGTTCAAAGGGATGTTGGCATTAAAGAACAGGAAATAAGTAACAGAACTGTACGTCGAGCTTTACGAAAAGAAGGATACTCTTACACACAGTGCAGGAAAAAGGGGCAACTGGTACAGGAAGACCTTAAAAAGAGATTGCAGTTTGCTCGGAAATGTAAGAAGTTGCCTGAAAGTTTTTGGAAGGAGGGGGTATCCTTTTATTTTGATGGAACCGGTTGGGTGCACAAGACAAACCCCTGTCAAACAGTAAGAACAGCACGCACACGAACATGGAAGAAATGTTCTGAGAGTCTGAGCCTTCATTGCACGGCAAGGGGCAAAAAGGAAGGATCAGGAAGTAGAATGGCCAGGTTCATGGAAGCAATTGCATATGGAAGAGGTGTAATATCATGCATTTAGTACAATTCACCTATAAATGGCGAATTCTGTTATGAATTTATCAGAGAGCATTTTCTTGGCATGTTTCAGGTTTCAGCAAATTCAAGAGGGAAGCTCTTTCTTCAAGATGGGGACCCTAACCAAAACAGCAAGAGAGAACTTGAAGGAATTGATTCAATTGGATGCAGAGTTCTTAAAATCCCTGCCTGGTCTCCAGACCTAAACCCGATTGAAAACATTTTTCACTTGGTCGGTAAGAAGCTTCAAAAGGATGCACTGGAAAAACAAATCGTGAAAGAGACTTTTGGAGAATTTTGTAACCGTATAAAGCAAACTATGATGGATTTCCCCAGCAATGTGATTGACCGAACAATAGAATCGATGCCAAAAAGAATAGGCATGGTAATCAAAAATAAAGGTAACAGAATAAAGTAGTAACATTTAAAGCATTGCAAAATTTCGTGATATACGACTGTAATATGTGGCTATAGATAAGGTATTTAAAACAAAAACTAAAAAGCTTGAAGCATGTTTCAAACACAGCTATGTGATGCAGAAGCTGTTCATGTATTTCATCATTTAAACAATTGCTCACACGTAACCACACATGTAACCATGCAATATTTTGACACCATTGTTAATTCTACATTGTTTTGTGGTTTTACCAACACGTAACCATCGTTTTCAAATTGAAAAAGGTCTATATATAAATTTTTTAATAATTGATGGTTACGTGTGGTTTCGTGTCATTCTCTGGTACATACTCTCATAGTGCCATATGGTTACATGTGTGGTTACGTGTGTGGTTACATGTGGGGTTACGTGTGGCTACGTTCAGGAAATGGCATCTTTTCCCAAAACAGCTAGTTTTGCAAAGCATTTACAACAGGGTGGAATGTCCTTTTGATCCTTTTCTTTAAATTGGTGACTGAATTTGAATACTTTCCAGCGCGCTGCCATCATCTCTGTTTCCCTATCATCTGTTTGGTTGTATTTGCCAATGTACGTAACTTCTGACTTACCTGTTGCAAATATTGGGACGTCAGTGGTGATGCAAACATCTTTTGCAAAATGGTTCTTTGGAGAAGGCAAGTGAACAGCTTTTCCTTCGAGCAGCAGAAGAAAATTTTGCCATGTTATCAACTCAGATGACCATCTGAAGTAATTTAAGAAAATGGCCTCTGCACTTTCTGCACCAACCCATGCATATTTATCATTAGCTGGATTGTATATGCCTTGAAGTGGTTTAAGCATAAACGATTTTGCACAATTTGCTGGCCCTTTAATAATTATTTTTCTAAATTTCCCACGCCCCTTCTCTAGCAATTCTCTTAATGATGCTGCATATACATAAGGGTGTATGTGGTTGTTTTTTATAAAACTTCCATTGCACACTGAAGCCACTTTACATTTACATTTTGCAGCACAATCTCCCTCAATAGCTTTTTCCAGTAGCTCCATCCTATTCATTTTCTCCCTTTCGATGACACTTCTCGCTTCTACCATCTTCCATGTTGTGCCAATAAGATCTTCTACCTGCTTTGGTGTTCGTGATAACAAAAAAGCTGCAAGATCTTTTTTCCCGGATTCTCTTTGAGCATTTGCTACAGCAAAAAGTTCAGTGCTACTAGCAATGTTTTTCTCTTTTAAAAAATCTGACACATCAAGGCTGCTTAGGCGCCTAAACTTGCTGTCTGGATTTGCACCATCATTGCTTTTCGCTTTCGTTCCTCTAACTTTGAAGCTCTGAAAGCCTTAATGCACTTCTTGGTTCTTGGAGACCCAACTTCAGATAAATGTGGGTGGTCCTGGCTTTTAAACATATCATCATCTGACTTGCAAATGTACTTATAAGCAGTGTAATAATTGTCATGTCCTTCTGAGAAATTCACAACAATACCAAACGTTTTTGTCAAATGCTCTTTTACTCCTACCCATCTCTTTGGCCCTGTTAGTTTTATTGCCACATGATAATGCTGCCCACCATCTTGATGTCTTTCAAGACAACACGTCCAGTGCTGAGTTTTAACTTCGCCAGATCCTCTGTCAAATGCTTCAGCTATTGCTTTGCCAAAGGATTCCCTTGTTGGAAAAATCTCCAAATTTGCCTGACTATAAGTCAACAGATATGTTCTTTGAACAACTCTTGATGGTAAATTTTGCGTTCGGCAGAATCCATTATGCTTTACGGTAGCCGTTTTAGATGTATGATTATTCCGAACTTATGAAGGGCAGTATTTGAATAGAAAACACCTTGTACGTATTGCGAAATAATCTAACTTAACTTGCACTTAACTTCATGTAAAATATCACCAAATTATTTATGTTTCGAATGTTTATGCATCTATCGTCATAAGTAAATAAAGAGTTTTACAAAAATCATCTGCTGCATTTTTTTAGAAAGAAACTTGTAAAATTTTTTGTCAGACAACCCTGCACAAAATATATTGGAACTCCAGCTATTTTCAGAAATTTACCTGATACCGCCGCCCCCTCACCCCCAGTACAATGTTGCAAGTTGTAAATCAATGTGTCTTCCATACACAACATTGCTGAAGGGGAGAGGGGGTGAAAATTTGAAGGAAAACGTAAAAATCTAAACGGGCATGGATTTTCGTCAAAATTTTTGTTCAAAATTTGTAGATAGGGTCTGCTATAATTATCAGCTAGATGAATCATGCGAGTTGAACAGTGTGATGAAAATGCAGAAAAGTTTATGACATACCTCAATACCTTGACCTTTGCGTTTCAATTCCTCCACAGTGTAGTCTTTTGAATGAGCATCCTTCTAAATAAAATAAGCAAAAATTAGAGGGAGTCTGCTGTAATTATCAGCTAGATAAATGATGCGAGTTGGTCAGTATGATGAAAATGCAGAAAAATTTATGACATACCTCGCTACCTTGACTGTTGCCTTTTGATTCCTTCACGGTGTAGTCTTTGGATTGAGCATCCTTCTAAACAAAAAAGCTAACATTAGATAGTGTCTCTAATTATAACTCTATTTGAGCAATAGAGATTTTCTACAAGGCGCTGTTGATGGGTAAGACAATCGATTATTAAATTTAAAGTTGCAGGTAGATGATCCTTTATAGAATGGAAGTATAATCAATCAACAACAGAAACATGATACTTACGATAAGATCTAACGGATCTTTGGAGGGGTACTTTGCATCTAAAGTTATCCGCAGCTTCATCCCTATAAGAAAATGCAAAAATCAAATGAAGCTACTCTTTCCTTATAAGCATTTTTCACTTGAAATATATTATAGGTCGTATTATTAACATTCTACTATCGGGGTATCTCTGAGACTTACTTGTCCAAAAAATAATCATGTTGAAAAATTCGAAAATCTGAAACAGCACACTTACATTTACCTCTCTGCTCTTTGGACACATTATAGGAACCAGACTTTGCTACACTTTTTCCACTCTAAAAGGTAGATAAATGTCAGAAGTTTGCAAAATCCATCATTTCCAACAAAAAAGATGAGGGGAAAAACATGTTTTTGCATTCATTTACCAGGACTCGTAGTGCTCAGTACCACATTGTAATTGATAATGCCATTGAAAAAATTTTTATGGTGGAAGAAAGATTAAAAAAAACTCTTAAGTGTTTCATCCTTCTTCGTCAAAAACCCACAGTTCTCTTACCTGTGGCTGAGAGCGGCCTTTTTTCTATTTGTTTCAGGAGGTGCTGTCCCCTTGATAAGCCTTACTGGACCTAAGGAAATATATATCGTTGTTAATAAAATTTTTTATATCATTTTTCATATTTCCTCTACAATTACACTATATCTATTTCTAATTCTTTTTCACAAAAGTGCAATACATTTGCCTACCTTCTCAGCGATGGTATCGATGCTCCCTCCATAACCACTTTGGACATTCAGGTTTTGTTGGTAGCGGAGGGGGTGGAGGGGTTGGCAGAGATTTTGAGGCTTCCTCCTTACTCTTCTGGTAGCGAATTTCGTTTTTTATTAGGCACATCAAGAGAGGCAGTCCTTTATCCTCGCTGATATGGAGGCCATCTCTCCAACACCACAGACAGCGATGGGTTACATAAAAATTTGGCGTAACATCCTGGAAATGGACGCCCAGCTTTTTGCACTCCTCAACCATTATACTGTGGTACTGCTGCCCCCAAATCGAATATTCGTCCAGCTGTGGCAATATTAATACAGCAATGATCTGTTATAAAGTGCCAAAAATTAGAAACTTAAAAACAAATTGCAACACTGTAATTATCATGATCCTGCAAAGTTGGTGCCAGAGTCAATGCATTTCATATTGATATTCTACCTTGAATATGCATAGTTATTGATACAGCAACGGTTTAAAATTCAACTGAACTGAACTGGTTCAGCTATGATCGTTGATATCAAATCTGTTTATCAACTGGTACAAAAGATTTGTAATCCAATAAATAAGCATTGAAATCGTGCAAACTTCTAAAGAACAATGAATTTTACTTTCAGTGATACAGGTTTATCAAAATTTATTACTCTGGTATGATATTGCTCATCATGCAGAGGCATTGGAGGGTAACTCATTCCATGGAAATCCCTTACACCTTTGCTGGAAACCTTATTGTTATTATAAAAAATCCTTGGACTTTTGTTTTGGCAGAGTTCAAGAGTGAGTTGCTCTATGGAGGAAGCTAGATAGAAGCAGTGATTCATTACCATTGAATCCGAAAACTGCGTGGAGGAGACCACAGATATCTCCTTTTGCCTTATCCATTAGGACGTGTCGAGATAAAAGAAATACCGTATGAGGCTTCGCGCCATCTGGGAATTTGGCATTCACCATCTCCTCCTTTACATGATAGAAGCAACCACCCAGAGTCGAGTTAACAAACCAATTTGTAGGAACTTGGACATCACCTTTTACATGTGGGCGCAGCTGAGAGTTGGAGAATACCCCCACCTAGATAACACATAGAGTGGTTTAAAACTCATAGAGTAACATAATACCAACAATACATATGTGGAAATGCAGGAAAGGCCAAAAAATATTCATGGATAAGTTTGATAAAACAAGGCCAAAAATGTAAAGAAGAATTATTAAAATAACGGGAAACCTTTAATGCATTTCTAAGTAAAGAAGGACCTTAAAAAGACAGATAATTAAAAACTAATAACTGCCTGTTGCTGTTTACCAGGTCACCAATGTCTTTCTTTGGTCGATTAATATACCGATTGGTTTTCCCAGAGACGCTAATTTTCCACATTTTGGCCCTTGACCTTTTCCTGTTGCCTCCGTAGCCTTCACTGCGAATTCTCGACGCTCTAAAAAGAGTTATTTTTCAATCAAAAGTAAAGATTGTCTTTCAAAATCACAAGAAATCAAATCATCTGTTTACTACTGTAATCATTTGCCAGGAAAATGACGAATTCTCTCCTTTTGAGATCTCACAGAGAATGTTTAGAAGGAAATATTAGCAAATTTCAACCATAGAATGACTGAATATAATAGTTGTTGTAAAAGTCAACTAGTCGTTGCTATACTTCATTCCAAAAATCACATGCAAATTTTACCTCCTCAATGAAGTACCCATGTGAAGCCCAAACAAAAATTAACATTTTTAAAAAAAAACAGTAACAGCCATCTGTCTGTGTTTAAGACTGAGAGAAATATATGTGACTTTGTTTCAATTTTAGCATTAGCATTTTAGCAGGTATGGCAAATTTACATTTATGTCTTGAGGTAAAGTATGAGTTATGGAAATAGGGCATTTGACTTCCAAGTTGCCTTTCCACAACAAGAGCATGTTACTCATTTATCTGGACTTGCTCCAATAAATTAATATTTCTGGTACAGGAATAAACCACACCCTTCTATTTTGACACCATTGTGCATGGTTTAAAGTCTTGATTTACAAATGTCATCACAGAAATTTTTTGAAATAACGATGATAAATTGATATGACCCACCCAAGAATATTTTACTTTTCTCATTCTGGTCATAACTTAATGACATTTTGATGCTGCGATAACATACTTTCAGTATATATGCAAATTTTTGTTACCACTTTGCCCCTTTGTCAGATTTTCGATATTCTCAACATTTTCAAGAATCATGATTTCTGAACTATTCTGAAAAAAACTTCTGGCACTTTTTGACACCATCAAAACATGATCAATGCTTATTATATTGTCTGGCTTTGGTGCCAATGACAAAACTACATCTTCTATAGCATTAATCTTTGGCTTTGGGACAGCAGCTGACAAAATAAGAGGAGTTTCAACTTCCCTCAGTGCTTAAGCAACATCTGCAACATTCACTTGAACAGCTTCACTTGGCTCTACAAAAGAGGGTTATAAATCTTCTTTGGAGAGGAAACCAAAAAAAAGCTTCTTCTTTCCTTGATTTCCAAAATCATCCCTGTTAAACTGGACAGCCTTGATCTTCTTGGGTTCAATTATAGCACGGTTTGGTAACCACTCACAGGGCATGCCAGTGCAGGCAGGATTTGCAAGACAAAGTCTGATGGCAGCCCCAACTCTAAACAGAACAGCAGCAACATGGTCGCATGTCTGGGACATCGCAGTCTTGCAAGAGCAATGAGCACTCTTGACTGTAGCAGATTTTTTCTCTACACATAGCCACAGCTTGTATGCAGGATCGTCAAGTCTTTCATTTTCTTCATTTCATGTCAAAATATAATTTGCCAAGATAGCTGAGTCTCGAATGTTCAACGATAAATATCTTTCCTTGCAACAGACCGTTTTTCACCCCAGTAAACTAGATCCCAGACTAAGCGCAAATTTATTCATAATGGCTGCAGTTATGTTCACAAGTTTAAAATTTTGGGATTTTCAAATAATATGGAATTAATGAAGTTGACTATCTTCTACAGAATCCATTGGTCGACTCTACAAATGAAAACATGATGAAAATATTCACAGTTTCTGCAACGCTGTCTTCAGCTACAATTCTTTGCCTGGTGTTTTTGGCTTAAAAAAATAAAACATCTACCGACTGTCTCAATTTGTCTTTCCTCTCTTTTGGTTCTTTGACATCTGTGGATTCATTTGCTCGATGACCTTCTTTACAAAACAAACACCTTTGACTTTTATCCTCTTCTCTTGTGTAAAATGCTGACATTGTTGCAGGAGGTGATTTTGTCTTCTGAAAGAACCCAACTTTTCTTTCTTTTACACTGACATCCTCACTCATTTCTCTGGCTTCAAATTCACTCCTAATAATTTCCAATATCTGAGGCATACTACACACATTTTTTGACACAGCTTTTGCAGTTAGATATTTTTTGGAATTCTTTGCATAAATACAGGAATCAATAAACTTCCGTAGTGTTCCGCGTTTACACCCAAAGACTCTAATCCACATATGTGAATGTTGATTTTGTCATATAGCAACCTTAACTCCAACGTTTTTTCTGTTACATATTTTTGAAGTTCTAGCACTTAATCCATGTGTGTGGATATCATTTTTTGCTTATTTCCATAGCGTTCCTTCAAAAGCTCAACAGCATTTTCATAATTTACTTCGGCTAAAAGTTACCCTTGTACGGCTCTTGCGACGGGGCCTTCTAGCGGAGAAACCAAATAATCAAACTTCTCGCGTAACTGTCCCAGAACGAAGAAAATCATGTTATCTCCCCATTGAGCCTTGGAAGGTTGATTTTCGGTAGCCTTGCCTTTGCCCCACCACCTCCATGTTCGCTTCTCGGCCTGGTTGGTGTCGTTAAAACGTTTCCCTGATAGCTTGGTGTTGAAACATTTGACTGCTCACTCTGAATAGATCCTGTACCTCCATTTTGTTTGATTTCCGCAGCTCTTTAATTCTTTCTTGTATATCTCAAACCGTTAATTCTAATTCACTAGACAGCAAACTTGGACAATAGGCATTATGCTTCCTTATATATCCTATCTAAAGGGAATCGCCTATTGCCCTGTGGGAACTAAAGCGTCTAATTAATTAGATAACAAGAACTAATCAACAAGAATTAACGCACAGCATCCAATACTATGATCGTTTGTGCATGTAGACTTGTCATATACTTTCCATAAACAAGCCGTGTCTGCCAACTGGGCATGTTCACAAGGTTCTGGGACCTTCCAGTACCTCGTTTCAGTGGATCATTCCCATATTGTTTGTTTGGACAACTGCCCCAAATTATCATGGCCTAACTGTCCGCCGTGATGGGCCTAATTCAGCACACACTCCCATCGTCAAGAAAGTTCTTCTTGGTTGACATACTCTGTGATTGTGCTGCTTATGGCTTTTGCGTTCAGTGCAGCCAGTCTTGTGCTTCGTCTGGGCATGGCTTGCTCTTCCTTGCGAGGCTTCTTCGAAATTTCAGCAAACAGCTCTAATGGGAATTCCTGCTAAATTGCTCTTTCAATCCTTCGTTTGTAACTTCTCTTCTCTTGCGATCCTAACTTCCTTTCCTTTGAGTAATTTGATGACTTTTCCTTTCTTCCACTAACCTCTGTGAGGTCCCTTGTTCTAAAAAAACGATATCACTAGGCTAAACTTCGTAACTGGAGCCCTTCTTGTGCACTTTCGGTCTATGAAATTCCCATAACCCAATGAGGTACTTTTGTTTCCAACGATCCCAAATTCCATTCAGCTATGTCTCAACATACTGCAGATGCAGAGACACATTGTTGTCATCTTTGAAGAGGAAATCAAATTCACTGGCAAAAGATGGGAAATAGACCCTGACTGAAAATTGTTCCCTTGGGCTATTTTGAGACTAACGATTTCAATTTGCAGAAATGCTTGTTTGATGTAGGGCATCAGTATTCCCTTATACATCCAGAAATTCAGCAGGATTGAATACAGCAATGGATTCAATGACGGCCCAGTGTGCAGACATTCGTTGAATGATTTCGCTCCTTTTTTATCTTAGCAGATGCATGGTAAACCACCCTCACCTTTGTGCTTGTTGCCTCTTCACATACTACAGCTTGATAGGGTATGTAGGTTATTTTTGGTCCAGTTTGCTTTTCTGGAACCTTTTCCAAATATCCTTTCCTCAAGTTGCTGCTTTATTATACCATCATATTCCAAAAGAATTTTCTTCAATTTTCGCATCTGATTCTTCAGCCTTCCCTCAGCCAGTCCTCTGTTAACTGGAACTTTGAATCTTCCTTCTTTCCAAGGGAGGGGTACTGAATATCTTTTGCCACTGAATTTGATTTCCTTTTCAAAGACCATGTGTACTGGATCTTCCTCTTTGTTCCCCAATATTTCAAGGTCCTACAGCTTTGAAACTTCATCCTTGATGCAGTGGCCATTCTCTATGATCAGGTTTATAGGTACCTTTCTGTATTCAATTACCTTTTGCCCTGTCGTTCCCATTAAAGTCCAGCCAGCTTTGTTTTCACTGCTACAGGTTCTCTCGCTTCCCCTCGTTTGATGAGTCCTGCCTGTGTTTCTGCAAGATGCTAACTTCCAAGCAACATATTCACTTGAAAATTTCTGTCTTTTGTCACATTTTTAAAATAGTTGCCCTGCAAATGTGGGTACTTCTTCTTGAGCTTTAGAGGGGCTGGGTTTCCAATTGTGGTTATGGTCAGGAGTGTTTTGACTTGCACTAAGTTTTCATATGAACCATCAAGACTCGTCAAAAGCACCATGCGTGTCTCTGTCTCTAGCTCTTGAACATTTTTGTTGAGGCCTTCAAATTTCTGACGCAGCCTTTTCCCTGTCGGTGTACTTCTAAGTTGTCTTGCCAGCTTTTCATTGAAGAAACTTCTGGCACTCCCACTGTCAAGCAAAACTCTGCATTTCACTGCCTTTGTGCCATCTGCACACTGAAGTTTTCAATTACTGTCTGATACCCTACTGCAGCTGTTGGATTCAACATTTTCACTGACTTGATGACACCGTTGGGCTCCTTGGTAGCATTGCACATGATGTTTGGAATTGGAGCACTTGACACAGACGTTTCTATTTTTGCAGGTCCTCATCATATGTCCTGTCGTTAAGCACCCAAAACATCTCTTGTATTTTCTTGTCACTGTTTCTCTTTCAGAGACTGTCTGGTACTTACTGTACTTGCCTGCTTTGTGATCACCAAGACAAAACTCGCATCTCAGCCTTCGTTGACTGTCTGCAGATGTCTGTTTAGCACCTGTTGAGTGTTCTGACAAATGGTTTATTTTTTCTGTGGAAATGTCTTCACTTGTAAACCGCACTTGTCCATTACTCTGATGCATTTCCTCAGCCCTTCTACCAGTCTCGCAATTTCCACATCTTCTCCATCAATTTGATGTGAATATCCATAGGAAGGTTGCCTAAGAACTTTAGCACCATCAGTGTTGAATACTCCTCTGGCCTCACATTGATTGCAGAAAGAGCCTTGTAGTGGCATTCAACCTCTTCAAAAAATCGTTGCAACTGCTGCAATTCGCAGCTGTTGTTAACAACTGGCATCTTTTCCAATCCATCGAAATGTGACTTTCATAGAAAATTTTTATGGCCATATCGGTCCTTCAGAAGTCTAACAACAGTTTGGTAATGATCTCCTATCAAGTCAAGGTCTGAAACTGTCACAAATGCAGGACCCTTGAGACACTTTTTCAAGTACAGCTTTTGATGGTCCGGCAGCATTTGATTGTTGTGTACACCGTGTTCAAAGAATTCCTAAATTCATGCCATCTCATCAGATTGCCATAAAATGTCTGCAGGTCAATTTTCAGCAAACAGATTCCAATGAATCTGGATCAAGACTGGTTGCTCTCCTCTATCGACTTTTCCGGCAATTTTGCTCATCATGGAATTCCCAACAGCGCCTGGGCCTTGTGAATTTAGGTGAAGTTTCATTCCTGGGAAAGAAGTCAGCTCTTTGTGCCCTATCACGTGAAAGATAAGAGAAAGTGAGAATCAAAATGTTTCTCTATGCAAATAGATAAAATAGATAAAAATAGAGCCTCTCAACAATGAGTATGTTTGTATGACAATGAAAGGCCACGCCCACCTAAACTTGCACCCCCTGAGCTTGACATCTCTACCAATGGTCCTAAGAGATAACAAGGAGCTTAGTGGACTAATAAGAAATAGTGTTATGATGGCTCTAGAATTCGTCTCTATATTATTTCTACTTTTCCAACTATATTATTTCCATAATCTCACTACTCTCATAATTTCGGTGTTCTTTAATGGTAAATAAGAATGGGAACAGTTATTTGCAGAATTTTTTCTTCTACTCTGAGATTAAGCACTTATTCACAAAGCTACCTTGTTGTTTAAAAGGAGCCCTCAATCATGGTATCAACTAACATCTCTTCTATCTTTATCTAACACCTTGCAGGTACTGTGACAAAAAGCCAAGTGACTGTTATCAGAAGTACCATGATGCTGTACCAAAGTTCTTACATAATCGGCCAAAGAGCCTCGTCACACACACCATGCACCTTATGAAATGAGATTGCAAAAAGAGAAGATAAGAAAGATTTCTCCACGTTTGTTTGCATCCAAACAAGAGGCTGGAAAGCTCGAGTACCAGGTCTGGCTTGGGTCGTCTGACTAACTGCTATCTTGCCAATGTATAGAATTTCAAAAACAAGAATGCCCTGCAAACACAACTGTGCTGTGGCGAGTTTGCCAACAGTTCAATGGGAAGCACTTGGGTCTAGTTTTGCAATGCCTCCACTTTTCATACTTGATCCTGTAGTTGATTTCCATACAACATCAAGTATGCACCAGGAAGATCACTCTTTACATAAGTTTTTCAAAGATGCTCTACTACAAACAAAAGAACTGCAAATAAAGAAATTCCAACAAGAAGAACAAAAAAGTTGCGCTTTGATGAGGTAAAGATCATACAGGCCCTAAAAAGCCTTTGTGATGACCTTTACCTCTTCAAAACTCAACATGTGTTGGATAAAATTTACTGCAGGATTTCAGATACTTTGCAGTCTGCAAGAAAACACAGGCCAACAGAGAATAATCTGCCATTGAAAGATAAATCTCTTTCACCAAAGAAATTGAAATGTTCAGTTGCAAAGTCCAAGGTTTCTAAACTGAAACTGAGAGCCAACAGCAAAAGAAAGTTCAAATATTGTAAAAGAGTTGGAATTAGTGCTGACAGTTGGAATTAGCAGCTAAAGTTGCAGTTCCTTGTAGCAAAGAAATGATTGCAATAAGGTCTTCCATAAATGTTGAAGAATACATATGTAAGGAAACCATACCTTTGGTTTAAAGCTTTGGTTTACTCAAATGTTTGCTTTTTTCAAAGCCAGTTTCAAAGTCAGTATTTCAATAAATTTGTCATGCCATGTCACATGGCCACTTGTGTTAAAATATTAACAATATTCATCACTGACAACTTTACTGTCATTTCTATAACTTTTGTTTCTAATAATCGTAATAGACAGGAGTTCACCTTGCTCTGATCTCCAACTACCTTTGTTAACTTGCCCTTCTTCTAAATCTTCAATGTCAAGAGTTTCCATTGGCATATATTTCGATGCTGCTTTGTCTTGTAGAAAATTTTGTCAGGCACAGCTAGCCAATACTATTATCCTACGTTTTCTTGGGCAAGCTGAGTAGGTTAAAGAAATCCCCGAAAGCAGTGAGTTAATATGCCACATGCATTCTCAACAATGTCTGGCCCTGCTCAACCTGTAATTCTGTTTTGAAAGCCCTCTTAATTGATATGGCTTTTTTAGATTGGCTAATAAAGGAATTGCATTGTCAGCTAGAAAGAAATAGGGTTGGCCTTTATCATAATCATATGGTTGTCTTGGTGCTGGGGTCCTCAACAGATCGCTGTTCAGTTCTTTGGACAGTGATCTAGCTCAAGAAACTCCTTCATCTATAATTTTTCCATTGCATCAACGTAAATTAATTTTTAATTTCTGTCAGCCATTGCAAACACTAAATGCTGAATGTTCCTTTGAAGTTGAAATGCATATAAATGCATATAAATTTTGCTTGGATATGTAATTTGCTTAATAATATTTCATATGATGTCATCAGATAAAAGCTATTTTGATTCTATGGATAAAAAAGATCCCGCAAATTACAAATGTAAATTAACGTTAACCGATGGTTCTGTCCTTCTGGACCCATAGGGTCTTGATAAAGGCTGGCAGGATGTTGTTGGTTTGCTCCCAGATGTTGGCTGGCCAGATATATACAACTAAGTAATAAATACCTCAAGTAATTTTACTAAAGAATTGTTAAAGGCCTACAAGTCTTTAGAGGCATACAACTTTTTCATCTGTGGACAGGTTAATGATGTCTATAATTATCCAATGAACAACACAAGCGATTTTTGTTGTATAAAGTCACAGGTATGTAAATCTTTTTTGTCTTTACTCCTATCTGTATAAATGTTTTTCTTTTTACATCTTTATAAACAAATTTACATTTGCTGGTAAAATCTTATAAATTATGATTTTTTTATTTAAGGTGATGTATTTCACTCCCAACTACAGTGTGTTAATATCATCAGGGTCACTGTTCAATTCAGGTTTTACCAAGTCAAAGACAAGGACAGAAATGATGATTGCATGATGTGTGGGTTGTACTACACAAAAAAGAAGGCTAATTTTCTCTGCTAATTGTACTTGTATGGCAGGCTAAGTTTAGATTTCAAGATATTTAAAAAACATCTAAAAAGTCAGGTAAAAAATTTTAATTTTTCTTCTTAGTTGATGCATCATATCCCTGTAATAAAGAAGCATGTTTACAGCTAAATCCATAAAGGAATAGATATATACATACATGTTTATATGTATGCTTTCACTTAACATTTTAGGCAAGGATCTGTCTGTAGTCAAGTGGCTGCCCTGCTCTTCAAACTTCAGGCATGCACCCAACTGAATGAAGTCGTCAGCACCATTAAGCTATGTGCATAGAGGTATGCTGAGCCAGCCCCTCTAAAAAAACATTTACTTTCGTTCCCCCAAGAAAGATAGTTGTGTCCAAAATGAGACAAAAGGTAGTAGGCAACTTGAGAAGCCATACTGTTCTAGAGATCCGCCAGTTTCTGGTGAGACATCTGCCAAAAATAAATTAAAAAACTGAGAAAGTTGGCCCCAAGTGCAGGAATGTTTACAAGTATTCTGGATTCGTCTTTACATGATGACAGGAGCAATAGTGAAACAGATACTGGTGATGAAGATGAGTGTCATCGAAAAGGAGTACTAGAGTAAATGCCCATATAAATGTGAAGATAGCCTGGATTGGTGGAAGTCAGATCCCAATTTTCCAATCTCTTCTGATGATGTAATAAGGCAGAACCACCAATGCTATTCTCAAGGGCAGCACCAACTTCTTGTAACTGGACGAACTTATTGTTACTTTTTCATTTGGACAAAAGGGCAGAAAGAAAGTGACAAGCTCTTCTTGACCATTGAAGAAGACAATCAATTTTGCCTCAAATGGAAAGAAAAATTCTGCAAGGTATTTTTTACATTTTACCTGAAATAGTTTATTGCTTATATCCCATTGCCTAGAAAGCATGATCAAAATAAGGACAACTCAGACAAACTTCATTGCTTTTTTAAAAGTCCAACCTATAATTCCCTGTAATGAACCTGATTGTGAAATGGAATGGTTCCTCTAATGGTTGTGTAAAAATTATTGACCAGAGCACCTGCAAAATCTTGGTACTGCAACCAGTGCAGGAAAACAAACCATGTCATTGGGTAAATTTGCATATTGCAGCAAAGAACTACAATTCTTGTCAAAAGTCTTGGTACACCAAGCTAAAATTTCGCATAACTTCAGTAGCATCCCCCTCTCCCACAAAGCTTGAAATTCGTCAGTTTATCAGCTAGGGTAAGTAATAGGCTTTTCAGCCAGCATTGTTTTTGGGGGGAGGGGGATATTTCTGTATCTTACAGCCGGAAACCTTTATTTCTTCAAAATCTTTCATAGGTCGCAGGGTGTTCCAAGGACTTTTGTCAAGGATTGTCTGAAATTTTTGAAGCAGTGCATTTGAGATCAATTCAATTAGTTCCAATCTGAGGTTTTCCATGCCACTGATTTCAGTGGTGGTGTTTTTTTTTCAATATCTAGTCCACTACATAACATAATTGTCTATCTACTCTAAAAATATTGGTTTCATACGTAAAATGAAGCAAAATTACAAATTATTTGTATTTTTAAAATTTCTTGCATCTACCTAAAGAAGGGAGGTCACTTTTTGAAACGAAGGTCAATTTGGTTGACGGTTGAGGGAGAAAAAGTTGAAATTCTTTAATTATAACCTGTCTTGATTACATTGTCAAAATGGCAAACTCTAGTAGCAACGCGGATCTTCAAAAAATTGGGGCAGAGACGTAAGAAAAATTTACAGTAGCGCTAACACTGATGTTTATGATAGAGAAAAATTCTCTGATATGATGGTAAAATGTTTTGAGGCAGTAACGACAGCAAAAATTTTCCAATGGGCATGTTGCATAGAGCAGCACAAAGTAAACGGCTTCCATGTGAATTTTGTTGGACAAATTACAGAAATGGTTAGAAGTGAAAAATTATGTCCAACAAAAGTATGGTATTGTCATAAATTTTTCTGGTCACACAGGCTACCATACAGCATTCAATTATGTTGTCAAGGAGGATAGTAGTTTCATTACCAGCAGCAATCACCCTGAAACTGTTTCTCCTCCAAAAACGAGCAAGGCAACAAGGAACAAAGCTGCGAAAAACTCTTCAAAGCAAAAGAAGCTGAAATCAAAGTGTCTTTCAAACGTTTATGTCGCCAATATTATAGATACGCTGCAATCACAATTAGATGTTCTTGTTCAGGCTAAGTCCAGTTTTGAAAAGAGTGACAGAAGGTTGTACGAATTTGGTCTTGAACAGAGGCGATAAAAAGCTGAATGATCTTCTGGACACCGTATGGGAGTTGGAGACTGCCAAGGAGAAGCAAGAAAGGGCTTCTTTGTCTAGAATAGACATCCTTAAGGAACAGCTTAGCGTTGGGTGCACCTGTGAAGGCCAGTGGCTCGAGTGTGCTCTCCAAATCCTTGACAAAAATTGCATCGACAGGTCTGTGTTTGCAAATGACATTGTAAAACTGCTTGTTATGGGTCGTGGCAAGGGCCTTAATATTTACATTACTTGCCCCGCCAACTGTGGCAAGACTTTCATCTTGGACCCCCTTAGAGTGGTGTACAATAGCTTTCTGTCCCCAGCTACTTGCTTGTATGCATGGCTTGGAGTTGAGAACAAGGAGATCATATTCCTCAACAATTTTCGTTGGTCTCCCGTTATACTTCATGCTGTTGCTTGAAGTATACTTGTGTAAACTACAGCAAGGACATTGAGTTCACAAGGGACACTCCAGTGTTTGCTACTGCCAAGGCCCCCATCTCCTTTATCAAAGGCTTGGTAATGGATGATCATAAAACAGAAATGATGTCTGGTCGCTGGCGCATATTTACGTTTAGGCATCAGTGTTCTTTAGGCAAAAGTTTGTAAAGTGAAAGGTTCAAAGTTTAAGAGATTGAAGTTAAAGCTAAAAAAAATTTAAAAGGTTAAAAAAGTTACACTACAGAAGTTAAAAAAAATATACCTGCAACCTGTTATTTTTTATAAGCTTTTTTAAAATGGTAAACCGTGAAGGTAAACGGTGAGGGTAAACGGTGAGGGTAAACCGTGACGGTAAATCGTGACGGTAAATCGTGACGGTAAACCGTGACGGTAAACCGTGATGGCAAACCGTGACGGCAAACCGTGACGGCAAGCCGTGACGGCAAACCGTGATGGTAAACCGTGACGGTAAACCTCGACGGCACCAAGCATGCCTTTGAGTCATTTTTCGGTTCTGCTTAAGTGTTAACGACAAAATGGTGTCCATTTAATTCAAGGAAAGCAAGCCAGGAAAGCCGCCAGAGAGTTTATCAGCTGTTTAACAGAAAAGTTTGCAGTTGTACTGGCTGGAAGCGACTTCATCTCTATTCTGTCAGATGGATCCCAAACAAGGAAGACAAAAAGCTAAAAAGAGTTAATTCTCACTAGAGTAGAGCATGCTGGTTTACCCTGCTATCTTGTAACCTCTCTTATTGAAATGGCAAATTTTGGAGAAACTGGTGCAGACTCTATCAAGAAATGCATTGACAAAGTCTACCTGAATAAATTGAATCTGCCAACTGGTATCTATGAGAAAAAAAAATCGGTGCAACATCAGAAGGGGCTAATGTGAATACTGGTATTTACAGGAGAGTCTTGAACCAACTCAAAAGAGAGAGACCATGGCTTACAACCATTCACTGTGTCAATCATCTAATCGAACTGTATATTTTTGCAAGAGCACCTTCATGGAGGTAGGATGTGCCTCACTGCGAGTTTCAAGGAATTGTTCAAGAGATTGTGTTCTTTGTTTGCGCAACTCAGCTTAAATTGACAAAAACTGAAAAACTATTTTATACCAAGATCTCGTGTAAAACAACCTTATTCCAGTCTAATTCCAATTTTAGATGCTGTTGGACGCTTGTTTTGTTGCGAAAATAAGGTAGTTGGAATTTTCACGACCTGCCTTTCGATTCGAAAATCCAAGCCAAATGCGGTATTCAGGGGCATGAAAATGCTATGTAATGTCCTGATACCGTCTCACTAGACACCAGAGCAAGAGGCAATTCACTCCTGCAAATAGCGTACGAGATTTTCCCTAAAAAGAAGAATTTCTGGGGATTGTCAGGTAAAACAAAAGGATTTTCAAAAAAGGTGTACAATATTTTCTTAGAGTGATTTGCCCCTCGCACCAGACAGTAGATTGTTTGAACATGATTCACTCCGCGTATTTGATTAAAATGAAAACTCAGTAGAGGTCTTGTTGTCTTTGCTGGAATTTATGGAAAACGGCTTGATGTTGATGATTGTACAACGGAAGTTACGAAGGATAACTTCCTTTCCTTCGTAAAGCTTACAGCCAGTCAAAATGATATACGGGAAATACATGCCTCAGCTGCACCAGACCTTGATTTGCGATCACTGGTAGACTAGTATAATGAAATTCAGGAGACCGATATTAGGAAAGACGGCAACTCAAAGGCTCTCCTGAAACAGCTTTGCAGACAGGAGCACTACAAAGAGGTAGCACAGGTTATGGCCTGGATTCTGGTGTGCAAGCCAAACTCAGCAGATTGCGAGAGATTGGTCTCTGTATATAGTAGCCTAAAGACAAGTGCCAGAAGCTGGCTTCTATGCGAAACGATAAGCAACTATTTATATGTCAGCATGAATATGCATGTCTTGACTATGTTCGACCCTAGGGGATACACCAAAGGCAGATTGACAAGTGTGGTTTCGCAAAGTATTTGAAAGTGAAAATGAGACACAAGACGAAGAAATGAATGAGAAAAAGCCTTTGCAACATGGTTTTCAGACATTTTTACTGACAGAAGATATGGTTTATTCTACATAAACGTTTACTCTCAAGTTCCTAATTGTAAGGGGGGGGGGGGGTGGAACTCCATTTTTCAAAAATTTTGCATACTCATTTCCATTTATCAACAACCCCCTAATTATATATTTCATGCAAAATTCCTATTTAAACACTCCCAAATTTAAACATAATTTCAGAAAATCTAAGTATTTCAATCTATTATGACCTCCCCATTTAAGGGTTTAGGAACTTGAGAGTACTTTGCTCGCAGATATCTAATCATGCTATCAAGTTTCAGATAAAGTTTTGTTAGTTTATCATTGGGTATGCTAAATGCTTGTTTTTAGGAGATTTTTGACAGTCTACTTTAGGAATAGGAATCAGAGGTATAACATTGGTAATAAATACATAAAGATATAATTTGTTTGGTTATCATATAGGCTAGAAAATGGCCAATGAAACCTGACAGCAAGCACTGATGCATCTAATTGAAATATTGTTTAACAAAGGGATGTGAAACTGGTGCTGAGTTGGCTGAGTCTTGTTGCCACGTTGTATAACTAGCATACCGATTTTTGGGTCTTGCTGAAGTTTTAAGAAGCTTGGATTTCATTGGTAGATTTGAAAATTTCTAATTTGCATAACAATAGGAGAGTAAAGGTAGTACTAAGAATATGCACCATGTATAGAGTAGGCTAAAAAGCAATGTCTCTGGGTTGTATCCAATCCAACACACGGTTCTCGAAAAGGATTCCAGTACTGAAGCTAGAAGTTAAGTCGTATAGTTTCACCCACACTCAACAGACACTGAGCCATAAGGGTTCCGAGGGTTCCGAAGGTTCCAGTACTGAAGCCTTATAGAATGATATTTAGGTTCCAGTGGTTAAGTCTTATAGTTTCACCCACCCTTAACAGACACTGAGCAATAAGGGTTCCGAGGGTTCCAGTACTGAAGCCTTATAGAATGATATTTAGGTTCCAGTAGTTAAGTCTTATAGTTTCACCCACACTCAACAGACACTGAGCAATAAGGGTTCCAAGGGTTTCAAAGGTTCCATTACTGAAGCCTTATAGAATGATATTTAGGTTCCAGTAGTTAAGTCTTATAGTTTCACCCACACTCAACAGACACTGAGCAATAAGGGTTCAGAGGGTTCCAGAGGTTCCATTACTGAAGCCTTATAGAATCATATTTAGGTTCCAGTAGTTAAGTCTTATAGTTTCACCCACACTCAACAGACACTGAGCAATAAGGGTTCCAAGGGTTTCAAAGGTTCCATTACTGAAGCCTTATAGAATGATATTTAGGTTCCAGTAGTTAAGTCTTATAGTTTCACCCACACTCAACAGACACTGAGCAATAAGGGTTCCGAGGGTTCCAGAGGTTCCATTACTGAAGCCTTATAGAATCATATTTAGGTTCCAGTAGTTAAGTCTTATAGTTTCACCCACACTCAACAGACACTGAGCAATAAGGGTTCCGAGGGTTTCAAAGGTTCCATTACTGAAGCCTTATAGAATCATATTTAGGTTCCAGTAGTTAAGTCTTATAGTTTCACCCACACTCAACAGACACTGAGCAATAAGGGTTCCGAGGGTTTCAAAGGTTCCATTACTGAAGCCTTATAGAATCATATTTAGGTTCCAGTAGTTAAGTCTTATAGTTTCACCCACACTCAACAGACACTGAGCAATATGGGTTTCTCAGGGTGCTTCTTGCTATAAAGGCACTTTGGCTCAAGCCATGATCGTCGGGTATTTCGCATTTGCGGTCCTCATTAGGACCATACACCGTTGCAGAAGGGAGCCAAATTAATCAAGGATTTGACGATATTATTTTGATTTATCCTTCCTTCCATTATGTATAACTCTTACGCGACTCTTTTCTGTAAATAAAATAACTTTGAAACAATATATTATGGGCGACAGAGAAAAATAATAATTATGAATTCAAAAATACTACATCACTTCAACCAAAATCAAATAATCTACACGATACAATACAATACAATACAATACAATATACTATAATGTCCTCTTAATGGCTTTTTCGTCTGAATGCAACAGGCCTCCTTTGTTGTCTCTCCCGCATGCAGTCCACGCAGAACCTGATGGATGAAAAACTTACTTTGATAATCGTAATCGTCTGCCAATCATGTGATAATAACAGTATAGATATATAACCAAGATAAAGTAATAGAACTATTGATTTGACTAGAGGAGAGTTTAGTTACTAACTAGGAGTATTTCCTTATATCAATAAAATTGCCTAGAATCTGCACCGGTTTCAAATAAAGAGCACCCAATAACAAAACCCCCACTCCTACCGTATGTAGCAAAGGGTGAGAAAATTGACTTCGGCTAAGTGTTTTGGCTCTGAACTTTATGAACCAAGCCAAACAAAAAAAGATCTGTTAGCAAACTGTATATATCATCCAATTTTTACCATATTTACCAGATTTTGCGAATTCAAAGGTATTTTCTATGATGTTCTTCTAGGCCATGTGATCTTAATCCACACATTCTTAAACTAGATTTTTGTAAGGTAATACTTGAACCATATTATGATGACCTTGGAAGTTCGATCGAAAAATCATTCAATTCTGGGATTTTTTTTTACTCAACTTAGGATTTTTGAGAAATTCAATTCAATCAAATCTGGCTGGGCTGGTCACACTGGCTTGGCTTTAAACTTAAACTTACCAGTCTTCGCTTTTGGGTGGCTTTTCGGACATCCCAACACATTCCATATGGAACCATTTGCTTCCTGGACACTAGAAAAAAGATTGGAAATGTAGTGAGAAACATTTTTGATTGGTAAACATGAATGCATATGAGTTCATTACGAGTTGTGGGGACTAGGGGAGGGTGCTGCCTTGAGGCCAGGAAGTTTACAACACAGGCTGCAACACAGGCTGCAATCTGAATTCAGCTGCGTGATAATTGCTGAAGTATAAAGCACAAAGAAAATTGCACTTTCCCGATGAATATAACAAGCATTTTTTGCTACTAGGATACATCTTTAAAAATGTAATAGAATTTGATACATGTTAAAGTCAGATATAGTGAATCATGAACACGTTGCCAATATGTCATGATGTCAAGATGTAATGAGACTTACATTTGCTACGTCACCTGAACATTCGATCATGATCCATTTTCTCCCATACCTCCTCTACAATTATGAAAGATATAAATTGACTATTTTGTCAAAGTTAAATTACACAATCATCGACATATGGCTGTAAAATGGCTTGAACTTTGTATGATCTAATTGATGTTAATCAAAATACGTTGTGACAAATGCAGAATTTATATAGTTTGCTTTCTTTTTCTTTCTTTTGTTTTTCATCTGATGACATTTTTTCTAAAAAATATAGTTTCATTAAAAATGATAGAGCATATAAGCAAATTGAAAAATGAAATTTTTATAACCTGATGTTTCTAGACAGAAAGCATAATATATAAAGTGTAGTTAGCTACAATATTTGAAGCTATTGCTGGCAAAGGAAACTCTACTGAGAATTTATCAAACCCAAAATGTTTGCATATATGAGTTCCTTCATAAGCTTGTAATGTAAGACAAATTATACTAAATACTTGTATTAGTAGTACCTGCATTTTGCACACCAGCCAGTGAACTGCAGTCTCCCTGTAAATGCTGATCTGGCAACATTTCTAAACAAAAGCAAAATAATTCAAAGTACAAAGACCTATAGTTCTGACACCCCTCAGAACCCATAGTTGTGACACCCCTCAGAACCCATAGTTGTGACACCCCTCAGAACTGCAGTGGCAGCTCCAGCCCGGGATAAGTGGAAGGGAAACAAAGGCGTCCGAGACCATGTACTTTTGGGCCATGCCCTTTTTTCCTTGGAGAAGCATTTTATTTCATAGGAAACACCCCTTGTTTTGAAAGAATTGCCATTTAATTGACCCTTGGCAATAAACATTATTGCCTGAAGCTTAATCTCAAAGTTTTGGAATTAGAATTTTACGTGTGTAAAAACCATAAAAAGACCTTTAATCAAGTGCTAGTAGTAAAACCTTTTAAAAGCTTCTGACGATCTAGATAACGCACATACCCCCCCCCCTCCCACAAAGTTTTCTCATCGGATTTGCAAAAATCTCAAGGACCAATTTTCTGAAAATGTGGGGGATGTGTAGTCATCCCCATTCCCCCCGTGGCTCCATCACTGCTCAGAAGGGTTTCAGAGCTATGGGTTCTTGAATCTTGAAACTCTTTTTCCAGAAGGGTTCCAAATGAAACCGGTACCACGTACACGCGAGCTTGACAGAAAATTTTTTCGGATGGTTTAAAGCTTGAAAAAGCTGTTAAAATCAACAGCAAAAATAAGAGTTTCTTAAAGAAGATGTATGTAAAGGAAGCCACCACAAAAGAAACTGCCCTGAGAATGCAAAGAAAATATAAAAGCAACAAAAATTCAATTAAAAATCATACCAATGTTGGAATTGCTTCTAGTTTCGGCTTTTCAAAACAGCCATCATTTTCTCCCCACGTTATTCTGGCCATATCAGGATCCCTGAGATTCATATGACGCACAAACGTACAGGGTGTGTCACAAATGAACAAAACTGGTGGATATCGGAGTGACAGCCATAGATCTGCAGCATCCCTGACAGATTCCGTTAGGATCATAAATTTTGAGCAAACAGTTGTCTAAAGAGAAGTAATAAAATGGCCAGTTTAGTATATTAATATAACTTAAACCAAAAAATGTAATGAGCGATCACAGGTACATCTGCATTTTCTTGATTTGATTTAAAAGTTTCTCAATCAAGCACTTGTTACTATGTAAGTAATACTAATCCCCCTTTTAGTTAGTTCTATGCACAATTTTTCGATTTTAAGTAAAAATGTCAGAAATGATTTGTTGTCATGCTAAATTGTGGAATGGGGCAAAAATCAAACAAGGCCTTAAAAACAAAAATTTCTTCTAGTTCATCCCATAGTAACGAGGTAAAATACGTACCCCATGGAGACAGACTATGTGATAAAAACCACCAGTGTGGCCTGGGGATTTAGTAAAGCCGTGGCAACTTGAGCTGCCAACAAGAATTGTTGCATATAATTCTTGTAGCTGGATCCTCAACATGTCCTACAATAAAGCACAATAAATAAATTCTTAAAACAAGGGTTTTGAAATCAGTTTTCGAAATAAATTTTCGAAATCAGTTTTTTGTAATAAGGTTCCCGGATGAAACAGTGCTAACCTTCGACTTTCCTTGGGTTCTAATTTTGCAGGATGATGCGATGCCAATAAGTGACTCAGTGTCTAGGTCCGAGATTTCGCCGATAGCCATGCTTTTCATTTTGTCCGCCAAGATAATCGCATCACCTTTGTGAAGAGAGAGTCAGTTATTGGATAAGACCAAATATCCTTTTTAATGTATTTACACACTTAAACACAAGTAATCGCCTTTAAGGGGTTCTTCCTCCATCGCAGTAGGAAGGTTTAGTGTTACAAACAGAAAGGTTTAGTGTTAATGCTGGATTTTTCCAATCCTACAGTAATGAAGGAAACATAAATTACCTTCAACTTTTGTCGCATTGCTTTAAAGGTAAACGCTTCGTTTCTCCTTTTCTGTATTTATTTCAGCCTGACGCTGTTTCGAAGGCAATATTGGAGGTATGTCCTCCATTCAAATTGAAAATTTAAGGTTTGTCTTTGCAAACGTGTTTTTCTCAATCATGAAAAGACAAACTTTCTCTAAACAGTTTTCCAAAAGCATGTCTTTGTTAGCAGGTGTCTCTGATCCGCCTTCACTTTTTTCTTTACTTCGGTCAAGCATTACCACCTTTAATGTAGTAGGGATATAATTACTATTATTAGTAGTGTGAACATAATTCAATAAAAAGTCTAAATGAATTGGGTATAAAAATCTAAGGGAATTGAACTACATATAGTAGAAAGGTTGCCAATGGTAGGACAGAATATCATTCAACAGCAAATAACGGTGTAAGATAGTCGAAAATTGTTTTCTGGAAAAAATGGCTTGGCATGTTAACTGGAGGATATTAAACAGAAAGAATGCATCGCATTTCATTCAAAACAATTTTGAAAAATATTTCACCTCTCGCAAAGAACAGCAATTTTTTTCGTTGCCGTCACCGAAATAAACTCTCCCAACAATTCCACATTTTCCGCAGATACCGTCATTGAGGTTTCTCTCTGTCATTGTCTCAAACGCATAAAAAGCATTGTAGAGAACATCTGCCAAATATTCCATTTTCGCATGACATGGATGTAAGATCTAGATATAATAAATGGGCAATGCAAAATTTGAGACGTCTTTCCCCTCAAAAACAACACATATTTTCCAGCATATAAGAACAAATGTAACAACCATTATAGCTCTAAAAAATATATTGACATAGAATAGGCATATCATTTTCAATCTGACAAGAATAAAATAATGAGCTTTCTACCTCTGCAGTTTTACGTTTTAATGCCAGCAATTTCCGATTAATGACGTTTGTCAGAGGGACCCCATCTTTGAAAAACTTTGCCATTCCAGCATAATGTCAATGCCCACCAGAACCTTGTTGCATGCATTGAACAGACCTACAAAATGAGAGCTATAATGAGAAGAAGATTTACCTTAATCTCACGAGGATAATATTCATTTACAATTTAGACATCGTAGTTATAATAGCATCATTTTTAGCTGTAAGCGTTTTTTGCCAGTAGTTTGTTGGCTTGATAACTATTCTTGTCATACTTTCATCCCCCGATGTTTTCTCTATAAAAATTGAGATTAAACACTTAATATTCAAATTTTTATCAAACCCAGCAATATTCAATACACATTTTAAAGGCTGTACGTATATCTAAAGGGAAAATACTGTTGACGGCACCACATTGCGAATTGGAGCATTTCTTCACTTTTACATCTATGGGCAGAAATGGGTGGGTATTCGTCAGCAAGACTCCATTCCCATTTGTGGCATCACACCCTTGAGGATATAGAGAGCCTCCTAGATCACCACCACAGAGTTCACAGGTAGTCTCTTTGGGCTCGAAAAAAGGTCGTCACTCCGGGTCTAACGCACCAAGACGGTCTGCTCTAGCAACAACGTCCGGCGATATTTTATAGGGAATGCTCCTCTTAATGTGAAGTTCTAGGGTTTTTCATTGCTTTAATGGCAGGTCATTCAAATCTGTAATCCCAGTGACAAGGGAATTTTCTTCTCTAGCTACAGCTTCCTTTAATTTTCTTGCCAAATGAATGCAAATTTTTCGTGCAGTTACCTGTATATAAAAAAGGCAATGGTTTCTATTAACTGTTTTACAAAAACTGTCTGATTTATCTGATTTTCCAAATAATCTTTTATGGAATTTACTCAATCTCCGGAGGTAAGAACAATGTTCTGCGTAACTTTACTGAATGATGATGATAATGATTGAATGATAACATATATTCATAGATCTGAAATCCTCTTTGGTTATTTCTAGATTATCTGATTAAGCAAACCAGAGCATCAATACTCTTAAAGATGGAGGGATACATGGTTTGCTGAATGTCAAGTTGGTATGAGTGCGTCTAGAATATAAACAATTTCGAGCCTCAATATCCATGTTAAACGTATTCTTAAAAAAGTTTTCTTATCAGGGGCAGTCTGGCCCGGGTAGCAAATTGGTAATCGCCACCTGGGCCCTGTGTACAAAAAATTTACGGGCCCTTCCACGTTGGAGAACATCTTTTAACTTAACTGATTCAAGGCAAGATTCCGTGTTTTTGAAACCAATTAGAGGCGTCCATATTTTGGACTGTCCTTCTTTAATTAATTGGCGTCAAATTTCCAAAATTTGGCCCCTTGGAAACTGGAAGATCTCATGCAGGGGCTCAGCGGCCATGTCTTTCTTAGGGACTTGTACACCCCCCTCCCGCCCCTAGAAAAGATGAAAAATTATGAAACTTCGTTTCGCACTAAGTCTAATGAACAACAAATAATGCTCCCAACCTAAAAGGCGTTATAGAAGTTCTAGGGAAAAATGTAGTACTTTGAATAAAGTAAAACATTGCGGGTCAGAACGTTGGATACAGGAATGCCGCAAGTATGACTAGGCAAAGGGGGAGTTAGCAGAAACTTTAAACAAAGGCATGAAAATGTAGGTGAGGTAAGTGAGCCGAGTAAAAAGGAGGAGGTTCGGAGATTCTCCTCCGGAATTTCCTTTTTTTACTACACCCCAAGTGCCGTTGTAATGAAATTTCATATTAGGGGGGGGGGGGCGGGATTGGCTACTCTTTGTATTCCTTAGCACTCAGTACACTGCTGTACTGGAATTATACCACAGTTTGACAATTATCGGGGGGATCCAGCCGCCCGGCCCCCACGGTTCACACGGACCTGGCCTCAGTTTGGTGGCTTTAAGCAACATCAGATTATATTTTGCTGCAATTAGGAAATGTTCGAAGTGATAAAGGCAAAGGGAGGAGCTTATTGTTAATTCTCCAGAGTAAATTTTTGGTATTTGCCTATCTTGAATTAAGTGCCAATTATGAAGTTTTGTTCCCAGAATTAACTAAATGTTGTTGTCACCTTTAACCAGGCCTAAATCTAGTAGAGAGTTGAGCCTTGTTGCGAGAAAGATTTTCGTCAAATATCAATGTAATGTTATCTAAAGCTCTGATAGGCATGAATGAGATGTAGGAAACTTATGTAAAGGGTGGGCATGGAGCACACTCTACTTGCTAGAACCTGGAATTCTATGACACTATGAACAAAAGGCACTTTCTGCCTCCTCTGGCCTCTGGTTGGATATTCATATTCAATTGGATAGTCCAGTTCTGGTGATGTAATTTTACAATGAGATAAGTTTGGAACAGAGACAATTTTTGATTTAAGATAGTTGAAGGAAAACTGAAAGCTGGAGGTTGGTATTAGTTTTCATTTATTCCAATTTTTAGATTTTTGGATGAAAGGGGAGGGGTGTTTTTTGTTTAATATATTTTTACATATTCCCATCATTTCTGCTTAAACTTCTTCAGCTTTAAGATTTCATTGTTCTGTATCAAAAATACATTTTTGTTGTGATATATAGTGGGAAAAGTATAAAGCAATGTTGTCACCCTTTCAGCTACATGTAGATTATAGCCCTTTTAATAATTATCCTTTTTAACAGCGTACTGAATAGGATCTTTCATTTTTGTAATAATTCTTTTTAAAATTTATGGAAAGCTTGTTGCTGTTGATGACTGTTCTGGTTTGGTAAGTAGAATCAGGCAAAAAACATGATCTGGTACAATCTTTCTTCTCTTTAATTTGAAGTAAAGAAGACTTAACATGAAAAAAAAGATTTGAAATTCTTGACATGTTTATATATTTATACTTTGTAAACCAAATCAAACTCTGAGGTTTAAAGAAAAAATTACATACATTTGATTCTTGACGTGTGATGCCAGGTATAATAACCTTGCTTGAGGAACACCTTACAGCCCGCAACAACGTGAAGAAGAGCTTCTGGCAGTATGCAGTATGAACAATCAGAAATCAGGCTTAAATTCCATTTTACCAAGTTTTTGCCAGTAGGCAGGGTGTTGTTTAAGTACCTTACGGTAAAGCCTAGCGCACACAGCAGATTTTTGTCGCAAAAGACGAAGATTTTTGTCTCAAAAGACGAAAATCTGTAGTGTGCGGGGCAAAATCGCAAAGATTTTTGTCTTTTACGATTATCTTTGAGATCAAAAATGTTTGATATTTGTCTTTGTCTTTTACGACGAAAGACAAAAATCGTGCAATGTGCGGGGTCGAAAGACAAGTTTTTAATTTTTAAACCAATAAAACTTGGATTATATGGTCACGTGAATTCTGTGGAGCCTTTCTTTCCCGCCAAAAGAAAAAAGATCGAGAACGCCATGGAGAATACAGAAGACGAAGTCGGTATATGGACAGCAAGCAAAGAGGAGCAGCTTGTCGATCTGTGGCAAGAAAAGGCTTGTCTGTATATGGTTACGTCTCCAGAATATTCAGACAGAAACAAGAAGCTAGCAGCCCTGAACGAAATTGCAACTAAACTTTCTTCAAACGGTGAGTGAATAATTTTGACTAGCTAGCTAGGCTAGTCCTCTTTTCTTAGGCCTACTCAATTTGAAGTGAAACATTGCTGTACGAATTCATGTTTTATTCATTCTAGTGAATCAAGTAAAAAAAAGAATCGCATCTCTGCGCACGCAATATGCACGCTCCCGCAGAATCCCAAGCAGTGGAAGTGCACGACCAAAAAAGACGAAGAAGACTCAATGGATAGAAGACCGCCTTCAATTTTTAAGCCCATATGTATCCAACAGAGTGTCTATTTCTAATTTGCAGGTACAATACAACACTAGCTAGTTGAGTTCATTATTTTTTGTTGCAACCATACTATCTTGCCATGATACTGATCCAGATGTTGAGCAAAAATATTGTTTCAAAAGCTCACGCTGACCCTTAGCACTTAATGAACAGTTTCTGTTTTTTGTCTTCTGTAACTCAGTTAGAGATTTGTCTAATCTCCAGCTGCCTTGAAAAAGCTCATGGTTGTCTCTTTCACTGTCACATGCATTTTTATATGAAGGCTGCTCATCAATCAGCATGTTGTGCAGACAACAAATTGCCAGCACAATTTGCTTAGCCTTTTCAGGCTCCAACATAATCTTTGTCAGCATCACCCTGAACCTATTAGCCATGATACCAAAAGCGTTTTCGACAACCCGTCGTGCTCTAGAAAGCCTGTAGTTGAAAATGTGCTGTTCATGTAACAGTTGTCTAAATGGGAATGGTTTCATGATATCATTTCTCAAGGGAAATGCATCATCACCAATGATATGATAATGACATTTGATGCATGTTTCCCCAAATTGCTCAGCTTCTGGAAAGGCAATTGATTTGTCTTTCATCTGTTGATTTAGAGGCGATGTTTCAAAAAGTCCAGCATCACCATTTCTTCCACTTGCACCAACATCAACAAATATCAATTTGTAGTCATAACTTGCCAATGCTAGAAGGACTATGCTGAAATATCCCTTGTAGTTGAAGTACTCTGATCCAGACATTTTTGGTTGTTTGATTGCAATGTGTTTGCCATCTAATGCACCAACACAAAAAGGATAGTCCCATAAATTGTAGAAACCATCACTGATTGTTTTCCATTGATGAGATGTGCTTGGAATCTAAAATACAAAAATATTAAATTTTAGTCTTCAACTGAAAGTTTATCTGAGCCACAGCTTAACACTGGTGACAGTGACTGTGATGGAGACTTGGACGACAATGATGCCCCTGCTGCAGAGACACCAGTTTCAACAAGCAGGCCACTGGCTGCTGTTAAAAAATCCAAAACTGCAAAGCAGAAAAAGGAAGAGGAAGAACTCTCCATTCTGAAGTCTCTTGCATCATCTTTCTCTGCAGATGAAAATTTAGCTGCAAAAAAGGATGCAAAGCCAAGCCCTTCAGCTGCCTTTGGGGAATACGTTACACATGCTTTGTCTGTGATGGATGAGAAAACAAGACTTGTTGCAATGAACAACATTCAAAATGCTCTTTTTCAGGCACAGATGGGCTCTTTCTCGAATGAATTCAACAACCCATATCATGCTGGTCAACATGCTAGAATGCAGTCTTTCAGGCAGTCACTTGACCAGCAAGATATGAGTGAAGGGCCATCGTACGGACAATTCTAATCTTTAAAATTCATACAGTATATTGCTTTCACTGCACTCTTCAATGTTATGTGAGTTGGTTTTAATTAGCACATTAAATATTGTATTGAAAACCAAAAAGTAGAAAACAAAAAATGTTATGTACCTGAAGATATCTATCCTTAAGATTCTGATAAATTGCATCACAAGTTTCTGTCACTATTGATGAAATTGTTCTTTCTCCAAGTCTATATGAAAATCCCAGGCTGTGAAATGACTCTCCTGTAAAGATATGCAACATCTTATTATACCAATCAATATCTAAAATGATATGATTACCTCAATTTCTCCATGTAAGATTATCAGATTTATGATTGCATTCATTTTGATGATACTCAATTCAAAATGCTCATTATGATTGGCATTAAAGGTGAAATGGTTTGTGAAAGATATCAATTAGTAAGAAGTATTGTCATTATTGTTATTAAGTATTGCTACGAACTCTGTAGAAGAAACATTTAGAATATTTAAAGTTATTTTTATTATTCACAAATATATTTTTACTTTTCTCATTTGTATCCTATATTTTCTCTTTGAATCAAGCTGGCAGACTATTGTGAAATCTCACCTGTTGCTAAGTATCGTAGTGTGACTGCAAGTCTTTCTGCTGCACTAATTGATTTTCGCATGTGTGTGTCTTTTCTTTGAATCATTGGTCTTACTTTGGCAAGAAGAGATTTGAAAAGGTCTTCGTTGAGACGAAAATAGCGTTGGTACATAGGTTTATCCTCCGATGCTAACTCCTGAACAAGATTCTGATATGCTCCCAGCTCATTTCTACGCTCAATCCAGGATTTCACCCACATTCGTCTCGCAATTCGCCTCCTTCTTCTTCGTCTTATTAAAAGGATAATAGCCAACAGTGCTTTCTTTTTTGTCAAATTCATAACCTTTGTCAGTTTCTTGAGCAATTTTATTCGTGTTTGGAATTTTATTTTACGCGCCAAGAAGTTCAAACAATGTGAAAAAGAGGTCACAAAACTTAATCGAGGCACTAATCCGAAAAAAATCGTGCTGTGTGCGGGCAATCAGTTTTTATGAAAAAGACAAAAATCTTCGTCTTTTGCGACAAATATCTGCTGTGTGCGCTAGGCTTAAAAATGAGAAGTTTTCAGGAAGTTTGCTTCGTATGTCAGACAAAACCTTGTTGAAGTGTGGTACAGAATGATAAAGAAGATAGAATATTATAGTTCCTTGAGAAGTTGGGTGATTTTGCAAGCGGCTCTTGATGAACAGCTTAAAAAAACTCCTTTGTACTCCTGTACATATAATATTCTTTATTGGTTTTGTTACTAGTATTTTTCCATAAGTTACAAATGTTTCCATTTGGAGAAGTTTTAAGAGCATTTTGATTGATAGTTTGGCTTTGGAAAAATTTGACAGATGGTAAAGTACAACTGGGCCTAAATTGGTTTTTTGATAGAATTATGTTGTTGAGGGTGGCACTAATTGGAAGCTCTAGCCATTGGCGTATTTACTTGACTAGGTTCTCAAGATCCTCAACTAGATATATGCCAGAAAATTTTAGAAAAATCGTAGTTGTTATAAAGATTATTTTTTTTTCATGAAGAGGTTATGAGTCTATTTGCTGAAGCAGGTTAGTCAGTGTTGGAACGATCTCAGAATTGTGTATTTAATTGGTCAATTCAAAGCCAATGTGGCCACCAAGGTACTTGAATGATTTTTCATTTTCAACAGAGGGAATGGTCTCATTATTAGCGAAAAGCCTTGGCTAACATTGAAGAGAGCAGGAAGAAAATTTCTTGATACAGAATGTTATATATTTGAACTTTCCTTTGAGTATCAGAACTTGAGATCAACACCTTTATCAGTGATCATCATACGCACATTCTCAAACATCCAACACCCCTACCATGATCTATGGCATGTTCTGAAAGGGTTGACCAAGAAGTTGCGAGAAGCCATCAATTAATTACGGTATGAGATTTTGCAGCAATTCAAAAAAATCTGCACTGGTGTGCTTTGTCAACCAAACAGGGATTTGGTGATCTTATTCTGGCTAAATGGAAGTAAATCATGAGACATATCGGTGACAGACATACTGATCATCTGACCCTCTGTTTCCTCAGTGTGCACATGATGCAATTGAAGAGCATGATTCAATTCGTTGGTATATATAAATAAAGGTAAAATTATAAATTTTATCATGTAGCATTCATTTTCAACAGTAGTAGCTTCAACTAACAATTCCAGTGAACAGAAAACTTTGATAAAGCCGCATCCATAAATCCCATTTTTAGGAGATTTTCATGAAGGGCAACACAATTGAAGTAGTTGTCAAAGTAAACATGGTGGTTTCTGCCATGAATGTTTGTTGTCAAATGTTTGACAGCCCTTCTTCCAAGTTCTTTCTCTCGGCCATGATTTCCTCTTGGATTCCCAAGGTAAACTTCGAACTCGCAAACATACCCATTCCTGCTGTCTGCCCGCTCCCAAACCTTGATACCATATTTAGTTGGCTTGGCCGGCATGTACTGCCCAAATGACAATATCCCACAAAATTTTTTCATTGCTTTGTCTACAGCATTTTCTCTGTTAGGACTGTAATTCCCCAGACACTGTTTGTTGACAATTTCCAAAAGTTGCCTAATCAAGTGGAGCTTGTCTCTGTTCGAATCTTGCCGATGATAGACACTGTAATCTTCTACATGGATATACTGGGATAGTTCGTAGAATCTATCCCTTGTCATGATCTCAGCAATGGCATAATCACCATAAAATTTGTCCTGGCTCCAATACATTTTGATTTCTGGCAGGTCAACCAACGACATGAAAATTCTTAGGTCAACAAAGCAGCGCATTTCATCAGGTATTGTTGGGGACCAGCACTCATCTACCTTGTGTCGCTCCACCTGCAACTGCAAGGCATACAAATTTGTTTGCTCTGCCAAAGTGCAGTAAAATCTCTTCAGGGAACATTCTCTCAAAAAAGTTTATTTCTTTGGCTTCACTAGCAAGAGTGAATGTTGCTCAGACATCCTCTACAAATTCTGGGATGTAAACGTCGTGAAGCATTTATGTCCATCTGTTGGCTATATCGTCAGACAATTCTTGGCTTTCCCCGGAGCTGAAAAACACGTCAATGGAAAGGTCACTTTCCTCTGATGTTCTCCTTAAATTTCTAAAATATATTTCTATTGGCAAAAACTTTAAAAATTGAATTTCTCTGTCGCTACTGGAACTAAAATAATTGCATGCAGCCATTTTGCATCTAAAGATAAACACTAAACCTCTGAACTTTCAACTGTTGTTTTCTCCAGATTTCTGACCCTGACTTACCCAAAAATTTATCACCATTTGAATCCACATTGTTTAAACTACAACATGGTATTGTCTGAATAACCAATTAAGGGGAAAATGACTGCATTTAGCCCCAATCAGAGCTCATGTTGCCGCATGACAACAGTCGGGACACGAAACGCAAATAGATTTGTTGCCGTGTGCCAACATTCTAGACACGAAGCATGAAAGGAAATGTTGTCGCATGTCAACAATGGGAGTGTATGAGATAAAGATAGATTGATAGAAAAACTGCTATACCCCATTCTCCGAAAAGTTTTTTGGTATAATTTCATGATTTGAATGAATTCCCCTCACAATTAATTTTTATGACTTGAGGGATTATTTTTGAAAATTTTCTAGAGGTCTGGATTCAAGTAGCTCTTTCTAAAAGTAGATTGCAGACCTAATATGGAAGTTGAGAAATTGCTTCATTGTTCTGAGGGTCTTAATCTCTGTAATATTATTAATTTTAGCATTTTGCTCTCTGGTACTACAGAAAAATAATCAACACCTTTCCTGGAGGTCTGGGACAAAGAACCCCATCCAAATAGAATATGGGGGCAATTCATGCCTGATTATACACTTATACAACTCTGTACGCTTTTAATATGGAAGTGTGATGTAAAATCGGTAGAATTAGTTGCAGAGTACTGGGTCCAAGTATCATCATCTAAAAATAGCTTTTTAGGTTTCTTTCCAGGTGGGGTCCCAATCTGATCGTTTTCAGCATGTCAAAAACTATAGGTCGGCCAATTTTCATGCTTTCTCCACTAAATGGACGATTGTTATGGCTTTTTTCCCTCACTACCATCCTAACAAGCTCTTTGCACTTTGTTTGTCCAGTATCAAGGCAACTCCTTGTTTGTCCAGTAGTCTCCTAATAAAGGCATCTGGTCTAGAGACACGTTTTTGAGATGGAAATTACTGGTCCAAGAGCCTAACAGCTCCTTTGAACTCATCTCTTTCCTCTGGCTGAGTTTCTGGAAAAGTGTAAAATTTCTTGCATACCCATTCTTCCACAATGAAGTAGTGGTGTTTTTTGGGCTAAATAAGTTATTCCCTTTTTAACAATGAAAGGGTCGAATGCATGTTCCATTTCTTCCATTTTTCACCAACAATTGTAGGGTCTCTATCGCAGTCAAATTGTGAAATTCTGCCAAAATCTGTACTAACAGGTGTTGCCATGATTTCTCATTGCCAGTTTGTTAGATCCCGCTCTTTTTATAACAGGATGCCACTGGATTGAGCTGCAGAATTTAGTCAAATAACTTATGCCATTTCAAAAGAAACACCCGTTTTCTCAACATGACCACAAGTTAGTATGAAAAATCAATCTCTATATTTTAGATGTGATAGAAAAAGATCAAAGTTTTACATATAAAGATTTGCAAATTGCTTTCAACCAAGCGTATGGTAGGTATCTTGTATTTTAATCAAGGTCCTCAAAAAAATTTAGTCAACGAAACCAATCAAAAAATCTTCTTACAAAACTTATCTTGTGTATCGTCTTCTAGTCAAACTTGTTCCATTTTTATGCATTTTAAAGGCTGTAGGAACTTGGATTATTTTGAAGCTAGAAATATAAAACATCCTTCAAATAACATTTTATGTATTATTTATTAATTAAAGTGGGACAGCGTTAAAATTTCCATTGCTTTTCCTTTGAAATAAAACTTTTAAAAAATAAAACTGAGTTTACTTGAACTACATGTGTTATTTAAAGCTCTTTTAATAATTGTCTGGGATATATATTGATTTCTCTTGTTTTACAGCAAAAGCCATCAACTGCAAAAATGCCAAGGTTCCCTATTTGAAAGGAAAATTTGAGATGAAAGGCATCCCAGACATGGAAAAAGGAGAATGGCAATATCAAGAAGCCTTCGGATTATGGGCAATCTCAAATAAATCGAATTATGACCGTTAAAGAGTCTATTACATTCAAGGGCATTACGCCAGTATTAGCTGCACCACCAAATGTAGAACTTATTGCTGCAACACCAAGTGTATTGGCTGCTGCATGTGTATCAGATGAGGAAAGTGCTACTGAAATTGAAACCCAGATTACACTGCATACGGATTTACCAGTCTCCATGTTCAAAATTGTGGAAGAGCAAGTGGTATTAAGGGCGCTCAATGGTGATAGAAAGATTGAATATATAATAGTCTTCCAAAGCCTTGAATATAGTCTTGAATATATAATAGTCTTCCTTATAATAGTCAATATAAAAGTCTTCCAAAGCCTCAGGGATGAAGAAGTTGGGCAGTTGATGGACACCTGTCTTTACTGAGCATGCATTGGATGTTTTCAAGGAAATATGCATCACAAGAAAAGGGTGTTGTCTTGTCAACATATACTGATCATGCTGGTGTCTTTTGGTTGTTTTACTATAAAGGCTTTGCAAAGGATCTTACTAATTGGAATTGTGATGATTCAGTGCCTGGATACTGGCTCGACAAGAAGAAGGGTCCAGTTTACCGTTTTTTTTAGGTTTTATAGTTTTGATAGGAGTTTTTTGTAACGTCATAAATCTCATTTTCTTTAAAAGTATAAAATGCAGTAGTGATGGTTGGTAACTGTTTCTTATGTTTCATTAGTACTGCCTTTCGAATCAGGTAAAATGTTAAAGGTGATCTCTTCCTCGTTTATTTTTGATGTTGCTGAATAGTTTATGCAACACAGTTGATATCTTTTTCATATTTTTCTAATAATTGTAATATGTTTGTATTTTTGTAATTCTTTATTTACTACTTACAACTGATTAATTGTCTAAACTTTTTTATCCTAGCTTAATGCTTGCCAGTTTTTTCAGATCCCTCTCTTTGATCTGCGTGCTTGTTCATTTTATCAGCTGGTGTTCATTTTTAGCTTTAGGGTTTACCGCAACTTTAAATGATGTTTTGTACCTTACCATTTAGGTTTGGCTTTCTTTATTGTCAAAAGCTCTCAATTTTTAAGGATTTGATCACCAAAGTTTTTTTTGAACTCTAAACACTACAAATGGTCACAAAATTTGCATACAGCCAACAAAATTTGCATACATCGCAATTTTTATTGAAGTTCTAATTTTGATATGTATGCTTTTGAAAATGGCTTTGGAAAAAAGCAAATAAACAGCCTAAAATCATATCAAATCATTAATGAGAATGGAGCTGAAGTTTTTGACCAGTTAAAATAATGGAGGGCCTTATACCCCCACACCCACGTGTCTTGTTGCCATGCTGTGGTATCATTAAAGATGCAATAGTTACTGTTGTCATCATGTGAGGTGCGGTTGGCAGATGCTCAATGAGCAAGAGACAAGCAAGCAAGAAGATAAATTAAAAGTAAAGGGAATCTTTTTTACTGTATGATTGCACGATCAAATTCAAGTCATATTTTCACCAAAGGGACATATGACATTCAACTGTCACGATACCCCCTTTTTCTTCATTCATTTAGATATATTTTTTTCTATTCTATCGTCATCAATTAGTTGCTTCTTTTAGTTTAGCCGACCTTTCTGAATCAGTTTAATGACTAACTTTCATTACATCGTTTCAGCTCTACCTACGTCTTACCCTCGTTTTCATTCCTTTTCGATATCTACCTTTAGTGTATGACTCGGTTGTTTTTCTTACATTGTATCGTCGCTAAAGCTAATATCATGTTAGTCACTTTTCCTGTTTTTCTAAAATATTATTGGTTAAGTTCTTCACGTGTTTCCGCGTAGCTTTTTATTTAAACAGTAGTTTGTAATTAGAATTTAACTTGTGTTCCATGTCTCACTGGAGTCATGTTTATTGTTGATTGAATGAAAATGTTAATGTGAAACTTGTACTTTTCTATACCGCTCGAGCCTGACTGCCCTTCACATATTTTTGCAAGAGCACCTTCATGGAGGTAGGATGTGCCTCACTGCGAGTTTCAAGGAATTGTTCAAGAGATTGTGCTCTTTGTTTGCGCAACTCAGCTTAAAGGACAAGTGACACGCTTTTGGCGCCAAATTTTTTTTTCTTTTAACTTAAAGTAAAATGCTGTATGAGAGTGTTGTTGAAATATTTTTTTACTTTCTGATTTCATTTTCCCACTTAAAAACCCATTTGAAATTATGGCGGGAAATGAATCACGTGACACCGTGATGTAGATTGTGATAATTTGTTATTACTGCTACTGGTATAGAGTGCAATATTAACGTTTACAACACGCTTGTAAACGAATACAGTTCGTCTGGACCTGTTGCGTCGTGTTTCGTAAACTCTCTATCAATTACAGGAAAATTCTGAGTTATTACAATGTACGTCATAGGGTCACGTGATAAAAAGCAAAATCGCGCCCCCTGCACCCCCTGCGCCCCCTGATTAGAATTTTTTGTTCCAAACCAGGAAAAAATTACTTCTAAAAGATGATCTATAAGTTAATGAAAAGAAAAGATAGGGTGAAAAGTGTGTCACTTCTCCTTTAAATTGACAAAAACTGAAAAACTATTTTATACCAAGATCTCGTGTAAAACAACCTTATTCCAGTCAAATTCCAATTTTAGATGCCGTTGGACGCTTGTTTTGTTGCGAAAATAAGGTAGTTGGAATTTTTACGACCTGCACTTCGATTCGAAAATCCAAGCCAAATGCGGTATTCAGGGGCATGAAAATGCTATGTATTGTCCTGATACCGTCTCATTAGACACCAGAGCAAGAGGCAATTTACTCCTGCAAATAGCGTACGAGATTTTCCCTAAAAAGAAGAATTGCTGGGGATTGTCAGGTAAAACAAAAGGATTTTCAAAAAAGGTGTACAATGTTTTCTTGGAGTGATTTGCCCCTCGCACCAGACAGTAGATTGTTTGAACATGATTCACTCCGTGTATTTGATTAAAATGAAAACTCAGTAGAGGTCTTGTTGTCTTTGCTGGAATTTATGGAAAAACGGCTTGACATTGTTGATTGTGCAACGGAAGTTACGAAGGATAACTTCCTTTCCTTCGTAAAGCTTACAGCCAGTCAAAATGATAAACAGGAAATACATGCCTCAGCTGCACCAGACCTTGATTTGCGGTCACTGGCAAACTAGTATAATGACATTCAGGAGACCGATATTAGGAAAGACGGCAACTCAAAGGCTCTCCTGAAACAGCTTTGCAGACAGGAGCACTACAAAGAGGTAGCACAGGTTATGGCCTGGATTCTGGTGTGCAAGCCAAACTCAGCAGATTGCGAGAAATTGGTCTCGGTTTATAGTAGCCTCAAGACAAGCACCAGAAGCTGGCTTCTACGCGAAACGATAAGCAACTATTTATATGTCAGCATGAATATGCATGTCTTTACCATGTTCAACCCTAGACCTGCTGTGCACTACTTTCTGCAAGACCGAAATCATAGAGTAAGGGATATACCAAAGGCAGATCGACAAGTGTGATTTTGCAAAGTATTTGAAAGTGAAAATGAGACACAAGACGAAGAAATGAACGAGAAAAAGCCTTTGCAACATTTTTACTGACAGAAGATATGGTATATTTTACATAAACGTTTACTCTCAAGTTCCTAATTGTAAGGGGGTGGAACTCCATTTTTCAAAAATTTTTCATACTCATTTCCATTTATCAACAACCCCTTAATTATATATTTCATGGAAAGTTCCTATTTAAAGACCCCCAACTTTAAACATAATTTCGGAAAATTTAAGCATTTCAATCTATTATGACCCATTTAAGGGTTTAGGAACTTGATAGTACTTTGCTCGCAGATATCTAATCATGCTATCAAGTTTCAGATAAAGTTTTGTTTGTTTATCCTGGGGTATGCTAAATGCTTGTTTTTAGGAGAGTTTTGACAGTCTACTTTAGGAATAGGAATCAGAGGTATAACATTGGACATAAAGATATAATTTGTTTGGTTATCTAATAGGCTAGAAAATGGCCAATGAAACCTGACAGCAAGCACTGATGCATCTAATTGAAATATTGCTTAACTAAGGGATGCACAAACTGGTGCTGAGTTGGCTGAGTCTTGTTGCCACGTTGTATAACTAGCATACCGGTTTTTAAAATTCAAAGTTGTTATAAGTCGTTTCTGGCAATTTTCTAAAAATAAATTTTCAAAATTTATTTTTTCTGGCAAAAACCCAAAAAATTCACTTTCTTCGTTTCTCCTCGAACTAAAATAATTGCATCCAGCCTTTTTTGCATTGAAAGGTAAACACACTAAACCTCTCAACTTTCAACTGTTGTTTTCTCCAGATTTCTGACCTTGAACTGCCAAAACATTTAACACCATTTGAGGTGGAAAATACTGGTCCAAGAGCCTAACAGCTCCTTTGAACTCAACTCCTTCCTTTGGCCGAGTTTCTGGAAAAGTGTAAAATTTCTTGCATACCCATTCTTCCACAATGAAGTAGTGGTGCTTTTTTGGGCTAAATAAGTTATTTCCTTTTTAACAATGAAAGGGTCGAATGTTCCATTTCTTCCATCTTGCACCAACAATTGTAGGGCCTTCAAATTGTGAAATTCTACCAAAATCTGTACTAACAGGTGTTGCCATGATTCCTTATTGCCAGTTTGTTAGATCCCGTATTTTATATGACAGGATGCCAGTGGATTGAGCTGCAGAATTTAGTCAAATAACTTATGCCATTTCAAAATGAAACACCCGTGTTCTCAACATGACCACAAGTTTGTATGAAAAATCAATCTCTATATTTTAGATGTGAAAGAAAAAGATCAAAGTTTTACACATAAAGATTTGCAAATTGCTTTCAACCAAGCGTAAGTGAACGAAACCAATCAAAAAATCTTCTTACAAAACTTATCTTGTGTATTGGCTTCTAGACAAACTTGTTCCATTCTTTATGCATTTTGGGGGCTGTAGGATCTTTGATTATTTTGAAGCTAGAAATATAAAACATCCTTCAAATAACATTTTATGTATTATTTATAAAGTGAGGCAGCTGTGAAAATTCCATTGCTTTTCCTTTGAAATAAAACTGAGTTTACTTGAACTCCATATGATCTTTTAGACATATTAGACTTGAAGCTCTTTTAATAATTTTCTGGGAGGGTTATTGATTTCTATTGTTTTACAGCAAAAGCCATCAACTGCAAAAATGCCAAGGTTCCCTATTTGAAAGAAAACTTTGAGATCAAAGGCATCCCAGACGACATTCCAAGGAGAAAGGAGAATGGCAATATAAAGAAGCCTTCAGATTATGGGCAACTCAAAAAAATCTAATAATGACAGTTAAAGAGTCGATTACATTCAAGGTTATTACGCCAGCATTAACTGCACCACCAACTGTAGAAGTTGTGGCTGCAACACCAAGTGTATCGGCGGTGGCATGTGTATCGATAGAGGAAAGTGCTAATGAAATCAAAACCCAGATAACATTGGATACGGATTTACCAGTCTGCATGTTAAAACTTGTAGAAAAGGAAGTAGGATTAAGGGTGCTGAATGGTGGTAGAAAGATTGAAGAAAGCGAGATAAACGTTTTCAAACGCCTCAGGGATGAAGAAGTTTGGCAGTTGATGGACACCTATTCCAGGGTTTTTACTGAGCATGAATTGGATGTTTTCAAGGAAAAATATGCATCACAAGAAAAGGGTGTTGTCTTGGCAACATATACTGATCATGCTGGTGTCTTTTGGATGTTTAAGTTTGAAGGCTTTGCAAAGGATCTTACACATTTGAATGGTGATGATTCTGTGCCTGGCTACTGGCTCGACAAGAAGAAGGGTCCAGTTTACCATTTTTTTAACAGCAACGTCCATTCAATATAGCAAGATCATAAAGGACGATTACCAAAGTATTATAAGATGGAAACACAGAGTGGGAAAAAACGAGGCAACTAAGAGTGGACCAAGAGTTTCTCTGCTTGTTGAAGAAAAAATCAAACTGTTTAATTAAGTGCTTTGCTTTTGCTTTGTGTGATATTCGGGAGACTTTTAATTTTCACTCTTTGATGCCTTTTTAACTTTCCATCTTTTACAAAGACTGAGAACCAATAGTATTGATAGGAGTTTTTTGTAAAATTAAAAATCTCTCATTCTTTAAAAATATAAAATGCAGTAATGATGGTTGGTAACTGTTTCTTATGTTTCATTAGTACTGTCTTTCTCATCGGGTAAAATGTTAAAGGTGATTTCATCCTCGTTAATTTTTTGATGTCGCTGAATAGTGTATGCAACACAGTTGATAATCTTTTTCCTATTTTTCTAATAATCTTAATATGTTTGTATTTTTGTAATTCTTTATTTTACTACTTACAACTGATTAATTGTCTTAACTTTATTATCCTAGCTTAATGTTTGCCAGTTTTTTCAGATCCCTCTCTTTGATCTACAATGCCTGCCAAAAGTAGTTGGAACGCCGAGATTGTACTCTTAATAAATGTATATTTTTCAGTTCATTTCCCTTTTTCAAGCAGATGGAACCCCCTTCCCCCCTTATACAATGTTGTGAAGAAGGATAAACATGTTGCTAAACATGGGTTGCAAAATTTGCGCGGGAGGGTAGACATTTAGTAGGAAAGATGATTGAACTGTTCCAACACTTTTGGCCGGCATTGTATATGCTTGTTCTTTCTATCAGTATGGAGCTCTGAAATCGAATCACCTTTCCAGTTTCTAAAAATATATTTCCTCACTGGTGTTCATTTTTAGCTTCAGGGTTTACTGCCACTTAAATAATGTTTTGTACCTTACTGTTTGGGTCTGGCATTATTTATTGTCAAAAGCTCTCAATTTTAAGGATTTGATCACAAAAGTTTTATCTCGAACTCTAAACGCTACAAATGGTCACAAAATTTGCATACAGCCCACATATGACTCGAGTCTGAGCCTTGCACTCGCAATTCTTATTCAAGTTCCAATGTTGATATGTATGCTTTTGAAAATGGCTTTGAAAAAGGCGAACAAACAGCCTAAAATCATGTCATTTATGAGAATGGAGCTGAAGTTTTAGACTTGTTGAAATAATGGAGGGTCTTATACCCCCACATCTACGGCTGTTAAGTATCTTGTTATCATGCTGTGGTATCATTAAAGATGCGATAGTTACTGCTGTCATCATGTGAGATGCTGTTGGCAGATGCTCAGTAAGCAAGAGACAAGAAAGCAAGAAGGATAAATTGAAAGTAAGGGAAATCTTCTTTACAGTATGATTGCACGATCAAATTAAAGTCATATTTTTACCAAAGGGACATATGACGTTCATCTGTTGACATATAAATGTGCTAAACATTCACATTATATTCAATTTTTTGCCCCGTTCACACTGTTCTTCTTTATGTGTCAGGCGCTAAGGCGTTGACGATCATGCTCCTTCAAATTTCTTAATCTTGTTACAGTCTGGTTACAGATCACTTTACACTGTTACAGATCACTTTTTGATCTGTATCAAAATTGATATGGATTGGCCTCCCATTTGCACCACTCCTAGTTATCCGTAGCAAAATTGATACAGTTGACTGTATCACTTTTGATCCTTCTAGCAAAAAGATAGTAAGTGATCTGTACTCGTGAAATCAATTGTAAACAGGGCAATCTATATCACTCTTGATACGGATTAACAATGAAGCTTTAAATCAGCACGCGATTGAGACTATTTAGCACCAACAGACTCGATTGAACTCTATTTTGTTAATGCCTGGTAGGCTGGAACTTGGTGAGATAACCTAATCAATAATGTTGTATCGCCAGTATAATGTGTTGAGAATTTTAGAAGGTCCAAGGACAGTCTCTTGAATCTATGTTATGAGTTATGTCAAACAGTCATTGTTCGGGCAATTTTTTGCACCTAACAGAGAAGGACTTTGAAGTATTAAAGGAGTTTTACTTAACAGCATACAAATTTTAGCACTCACTCAAGAATCCATACTGGTGTAAATGGAAAGGCTTTCAAATAAAGGTTTGATGGTTAAACAAAATCCTTCGAGTAGTGCCCAGCTTGAATTTTTCATAACAGAGACTCAATGGAAGCGCACATTTAACGGGTCTGAATCCTATTCTAGCTCAGCTTTTGACATAAATTAATCTAGAACATTGGACAAGAAAACACTAGCAAACATAGAGATGTAGTGTTGCATTTCAAATCTACAAAATTCATTGGGGTCTAAATCTTTCTTATTGCGGGATTTGTAATATTCAGTTCTCCTTGAAAATGCGACATTCGCTAGAAATTCACAGCTTGTAGACATGATAGACGACGGGATTTCCTTACCAAATTTTTCGTAGGTAATTTTTTCAGATAAAATTTGGTTTCAAGTAATTAGCATGTGCTTGTTTAGGACACCTCTTAGACAGGGTTTTTAACATGACTGCGATAGAAGTTTGCATTCTGCATAAAAAAAGCCTTGTTCTTTATAGCATCTTTTTTCCAACTCATAAAGCTGGATAATACAGCGTTTTGAAGCAAAAGGTATTTTGTCTATAAGAGAGGTCCGAGTAGATTCAGATTTTTGGTAAAGATTCAAATTCGAATTTCTTGTTTCTTTGAATGAAACTTTTTCAACTGACAGCAAAATATGTTCCTGAAGCACTATAGTTGGGCGATGTATTTTGATACTTCAAATTTTTGTCGCTTTGTATATTGGCCTACACGTTGTGCAAGACATATTGCTTGTTTCTGACCCTCTAAGAAAGGAAGGTGTAAAAAATTAGGACAGGAATATTTCTTGGTAGCATTATTATGTTTTCCAGTATCTGGAAGGATTATAATATCTTCTTTATAAACGGAAAATTAAGCTATTAAACAGCATTGAGAAACACATTTATCAGCTAGCTCTTGTGAAACATAGCGCAAAGTGAGGAAAACAAAATATCTTTCTATGACACAAAGAATTTAGTTGGAAGCAATAACTTGTTCATTCACATAATAAAAAAAATCAAGTTAAGCTTGAACCAGTGTGAACTATCTTGAAGCTACCTAGGAAACAGATCCTCAGAATATTATCTGACTTTTTGAAAGCATTAAGTATTGCCAGTAATATCTTATTAGTATAATCTGTTATATCATTATTGAAGTATCTTAGCAGTTTTTTATAGGTATAGAAGGTAAAAACTAAAAAAACAATGTGTCAATAAAATTGTAAAATCCAAAATGGAAAAATGAGAAAAAAGCAGATAAGGAGCAGTCACTACCACCTGGTTACAGCCTCAAACCCAGATGGGGGGTGGTTGTTTGTGCTCCTTGTATGTTCAGGCAATGAGCTTGAAAACGGGCAGAAAATGGTAAAAAAGCACCTAATCAGCCAGAAACCCACAAGGGACATTTTGGGGCTTTAATTCAGTATGCCTGTTTCACATGGGCGCCCCTCGCAATCCTGCGTCCAGGATCACGGTTGCAAAATAAATATAGAAGCAATAAGAGTGAAAATTTATTAATCAGTGGATTCCGTACCCTAGATGTAACTGTGCCACTGGTGTAATATTTATATATTGTTAAAGTTAAAGGCGCATGATGCTTTGAGAAGCGGCTTTGTGTTAATGGCCTAATTTAGAGTGTAGCAATTGATCTTTGATGTTAGGCCTTCTGGTGAGGGCTAGAACCGGTCTGGTGTCATTCCATATTTGTTTAAGATAACCATCGGCATCATTAAACAACACGCGTCATACTAATATATAAAATGGCCAACTTCATGGAGAAAGACGTTTTATCCTCACCAGAATCCATCACGGACAGTGGCAAGTCACACTGGACAACCTGCCAGCATTCGATTCTCAATGTTTCTATTGCGTCCCATTACAATTTGTATTTCCCGCAACAGTAAAGTCTACATTAGTGGTTCCTTAGCTATCAGCTCCGATTATTAACTAATTGCTTAGATTGATATTACTCTCCAGCATCCACTTTAGTACTGCATTTTGTTGTTACTTGCGGTTTCTCACACATCATAGTTTGCTTCTGTGCCCACCCTCTTGGGCCTTACAACTGTAGCTTATATTACCGGTTCGGGCTACCTGGCTTTCCTCCATTTCTCTATATTATGCGAAGCTCACTGTGCATGCGCTGGTACTGTCTCCTTGGCCCTCTTTGCGGGTGTTGGGTATGTTTCTCCCTGTTCCCAGGGGCAAACGCTGCCTGTCTCTTGGCATTACAGTTAGCTATTCTGATTATGTCCGGATTTTAGTGCTCTTCCATTTCCGACTGGACTCGTGTGGCTTTGGCCTCCTCCTCTATGGCCAGTTCGGTGGCGGGACACCATTATGTGGCAGATATCTCTGCAAAGGCTCGCAATGGCCGCATCCAGCCAGGTTGCATTTGGGTGTGACAGGGGCCTGGTTAAGTCTTATGTGAACGAGGGTTGGGTTAAGGTAGGGAAATGGCCAGACTCTGCACTCCAGGAGAAATATTCATGCTTGTTCTCATGGAATTTTTTCGAGCACATATGTCTGGCAAGGTTGTTTACAAAGGTTTGGGGTGGGGACAGAGGGAGGGTTTTCAAGGAACCTCTGGAGGGTTGAGTTCAGGTGAATTAATAGGGAATGTTGGGACTGGGAGTGTGGCGGCTGGGGTGGGGGCAGATTTGGAGTGGGTTTTTACAGAAGTAGGAAAGGTTGGTGCAGACCAGGTGGACATAGTGGTGGTGGGTGTGGTAAATATAGGGTGTGGCCGTGGTCTGGACAGTGGAAGGATTTGCGGCTCGTTTTGGAATAGTGGGTAGGGATTCGGGAGAGGCCAGGGGTGGGGCTTGGTGAGTTAAGGTTTGATGGGTTTGCAGACTTGATTTTCTTTTCTTTTTTAGTCCAAGTGAAAGGCCTTTGCCAGATTTTGATCTGGTGTAATCCTGTTGGGCAGGTGTTTTGGGGGGAGATCGTACAGGGGGTCAGGTCAATGTCCATCAGAGCCGTTAGTTTGGTAGTAGCTGATGACACCAGTGACGTCACCATGGTGGTGAAGGCAAATGCGATAGTTGCCATGTTCGGAATTCCAGATCTGTAGGGCACTAAAAGATCGACAACAAAAAGCACGCATCAAGAAAGCAGGCCTCTATTTCTCCAACTTGCTACTGCAACTTTCCAACTACTACTACTACAACTTTCCAACTTGCTTTCCTTCCATTCAACCCCCCCCCCCCCCCCTGATTACTACTTTTCAGGAAATTCTCAAACTCCCCAATCATTTCAACACCCTATTTTTCAGTACTTCAAAGATAGTCTCAGGACTTCTTTTCAGCTAAAATAATATAGTTTTCTTAATAAGTTACTTCACTGTGGTGGCCCCATCTAAAATACACTTGAAGCTGTTATTGTGTTTCCAAACAAATGTGGATGCTATCCATTTTCTACTGCTCTGTAGTAGCAAGTTGTAAGCTTAAAGACTAATTAATATTATTACATGATTGACCTTTAAATTTTTTTCAATATTATGGCTAATGATTTCGCCCTTTCACGATAAATGAAACCTAATATGTAAAATCTTTTACCTTCCTAATTTCTAGGTGAAACATTTAACAGCATATTATTCCAATATAGAGTAGGAGAGCGAACAGTATCTTACTTGTGGAAGAAACAACACAAGCACTCTTTTCTGCATTTAAGAAAGTCTACTTGAAGGTAGAATACATTGATACTAGATAGAAGTCATAAACATAAATGTGTGATTCTGTTGAAGTATGTAAGATTTATAATTTTTGAAGCTGGGAATCCTGATTTGCTGTATAGCCTGGTTAAGGTGATTCAACATTGTCAGAGAAGAACTGAGTATCCATTCTATGCAATCTCTGCTCGGGTGATTGAAGCCAGCTTGGGTTTCCAGGATACTGAGTTGATCCATAATACCTGCTTGAGGCATAGATTGACCCCTTTTGCATTGGATTTGCATTGGATGCCTGGTGGCCTAATGATCCCATCTGGGCTTGAACGATTATAGTTGATATTTCATGCTGTGCTATTTTCCTTGTGACAGGATCTAATTCGCCAAGGCTCTCTGCTACAAAATGACCAAAGCTTGCAGTGGCACTGTTGCAATCACTCTTCTGCTTTCTTTTCTTTGTTTGGTTTTTGGATGTTGCCAGACTTTTAATATGAAATATGAAATTTATTGTGGAAGTTACAATTATAGAAAGCAGAAAAAATCTTTCAGTGACTGACTGAATAACATACTAAGCAATGTGCAATTTTGCTTTTTTACAGGCAAGTCTTGGGTTGCTTTCATCTGCATTTCTTGCTTTACTATCTGCAAATATTTTATAGCACTGCCTTGCTCGAAGCTTCAGGGTCTTTTGTGCTGGTAGAGGAATACCATGTGCTTTCAGTTCATCTGCTAAGGTTTGTGTCACTTTTTCTTTTCTATCTTTTTTAAATTGATCCCATGTTTTTTGCATACAAATGCTTGTTGCTTTGAAAAACAACGGGCAAATTAACCTGAAAGAACAGCATTGAGAATCTTATTTTGAATTAGATTTAGCTGAATGTTTGCAGCAGATTTGAATTTTCTGTAAAAAATTTGGTTTCTTGTCATTCTGTGCTCGTTTTTTCTATTAGTTTTGATTAGCATGGACTTTGCACAACACGATGGCAAGATAGAATTAAATTGAGTCTTAATTCGAGTACTTGGTTATACATACATGGTTGCAAGAAGTTTTTTTATGTTTATATTTTTTTATGCAAGAAGTTTCAAAAGTCATTTCAGTTTTTTTATGAAGGTTTCACTCGAACACTGTTGGTTACACAGGATGAAGATTTCACTCTTCGAGAGATTTTAAGTCATTCGAGAGATTTTAAGTCATTCGGAGATTTCAAGTCATTCAAGCTTGTTTGATACTTGCTTGCCATAAGACAAAGCAATTATTGCAAAAAAATCTACAACAGCTGGCAGCAAATCTTGCCATTCATTCATCAAATAGCTGTTTTTTGCTTTCTCGGGAAAATGTTCCCTCTTTTTCAAGGTTTATAAGTTAAACTTACAAATGACCTTGATTTTATGCCATTTAATGATTTTTATGATATTTTCTCCTCTGAATTCAAAGAAATGATGGATTTCCACTGTCAAAGTGACAATGTATTGGATAAAGATGGGAATTGAAGCCATCCATAAATAAACAATTGGTCAAGCATCAAATTTTTAATGGAAGCGACAAAGGATGTACCGGATAACAGCTTCCAATTTCTACTCAGCTGCTATCAACACAGTTACGAACAAAGGTTGATCTGTTAGCTGATTTGCTGTAGCATGCATACAAGACTTTATCTTCACTGTTATCCATAACATTAAAGCCTGTAAAGTTGGATTTTTTTCTTTTGCTCCAGGTCACGTGCTCATATTTTTTTGTCATCAGCACACATTTTTTGCCCTATGCTTAAAAGCATATGACTGTTGTCTATATCATTTGATGTACCAACTTCCTTCAACATGCTCTAGCATCGTTTGACAGATTGTACCAAAACGGGCAGTCTAAAAACGAGCATCTTCTCCATCTTGCAGTGGTCTGAATTTTGTAATTTCTTGTGTGATTGCATCTGATACAAAACGAGGGTCTCTATAAATAGCATTTAACACTCCCATGCAGTGTCATAATCAGATCCAACTCCTCCATTTCATACTTATCATCATCCTTTATTAAATTTGTAAGCTCCTCATGCTTACGTACTAAAAGTTCAAACCTCCTTTTAAATTATCCAATTATTTTTGTACCTCGTTTACTGGACTTGCATTTGCGACTACATGATCTAAGACTTTCAAAGCTAGAGTAGAGGCTTCTTTTGCAGGTCTCCGATTGATTTTTCCCCCTTTTAACTTCTCAGCTTCCGCCATGGTTTCCTTTCATAACTTTGTTGGTTGCAGTTCTCAAGTTCTTTGACACTTTATCATAAATCAAATGCATGGTTCTTTATAACAGGACAGACTTTAGATAAATGCACCCAATCATATATATAGAAATCTTATTCGATTTGAAACAAGTAAATGAATATGAATAAGTACAAAACGTCTTAATTCGGTGATAAACTGAACAACCGGAATATAAACTGAATGCGGAGATACAATAAGATAAAACCTACTTACTTATGGTGATGTCTCTAAATATGGGTAATTAGACTGTTTTTTGGTTTTATACTTTTGGTTAGCATGCAGTATCATTTCAATATTTTTAAAACTACTAACAAAACTAATTCACATCATAATAAAGCACAGTGGGATGATATTGAACAACATTTGTCAGCAAAATAATAATAATAAGTTTATGTTTTTAAAAATATTTAATCAAAGAAACACCCTCAAAGTGCCAATACCCCCTCCCACAAGTTTAAGATGCTTCCTGAATGCAATGCAAGAATTGAACATGAGGTTGAACAAGATATTGCAACACTACGCTACATTGAAACCGTCTAGCCCTCACTAACAGACAGTTAAAAAGTGATTGCCGAAATTAATTATATAGAATGATAAGCAATTAAGCATACTTTGGAAGATAAGCTTACCAATCAATGTTTTAAGCATGTCTTGCTCAGCATATTTATGTCTCTTGAACTGTTGAGGCTTCTGCACTTTAGCTGTATTTAGTGTTGCTGATTGTTAGGCAGGACATGGCAGAGGGCAGTGGGGCTCCAGCTCATGAAAAGTGAGGGACTAGAGAAGGTCTGTGGCTGTAGCACACAAAAAGTTTTTTGGACCACCTCCTTTTTTCCTACAAGAAGCATTTTTTCCCTTATGAAACAATCCTTGTTTCCCAAGAAATGTAATTTAATTAACGATTTGCAATGAACATTATTTCCTAAAACTTAATTTCAGAGTTTTGAAATTAGATATTTTACGCATTTAAAAATCACGATAAAACACTGAATAAAGTGCTATTCCAGATTGGAATCTTTGAAAGATGCGCGGGGGATCTGTTTGATGTCCATGAAAATTGCGCATTTGAAAATAGCTCAGATAAACATTTTGTGCGGCTGAGACTAATTACCATAAAAATACAGTATGTAACGTTCGGTTATATTTCAGATAAAAACATTAATGGCATCATTAGTGTTGATAAAAACATTCTAACAAATGTAAACATTTTTCATAATTCCTAAAAATAAGAACGAGAGGCAGCAAACCAGATGCGAATACTTTCCGTAAACCAAAATCTGCTCAAACTTTGAAAAAGTTGTGCATGGTAATGAATTAGATAATCCTGTCCCATGTGTATTTTACTCCCAACAGCTTTAACAACGATAAAATATCCTTCACATTTTTGCTGTCATTAGGCATATTTATCGTGTTTGGATACTGGCATTCAAATTTGGTGCTAGAGACAAACATTCAAGGTATTATATTCAACCAATTTGCTTTTAAAGGGTAAATCAAACTGTTCACAAAAAATATCAAATGCGATGGCACGAATTTAAAGGGCCTCTCCAGCCAAATTTTGCACTTGCATTTTATTAGCTAATCTAAAGGAGTTGAACCTGCTGATCACGAATTCGTTCTTTGTTTTTCGATATTTTTTACAGTTTGTGAGATATAAGCTCTTGCATTCTCTTGCATTACGTTAATTGAATTGAATTAACCGACAAAAAATTTTTGTTTTGGTAACACTGTGACGCAATTTTGACGTCACAGTGTATTTCGCTAGTCTCGCCTCAAACCGAATTGAACGACGGCGATTCGCAAATTGAACACTGCAAGTGATAGTACTCTCAGTTCTGTTCCACCGGCTTTTAGTTTGAGCATTTCAGGCATCAGTTCTGAAGCCATTAGTTGTTCATCGTTTCTGGAGAACAACTGAAGTGTCAATTTTGATTAATTATACGCGAGGGAAGAGCTGGAACAAGAAGCCATAGCTTTGTGGGCCTACACAGGTGATCAAAACAAAATCTTGACACAGCATAGACACATTCCGACCCGCAAACTTAGAATGATTGTAAACATTTAATATTTTTCGATCCTAAAAACTCCTGCTCTAGATTTAGATGCAGTTATCAATGCATGACCATGACTCCTTCGCGATTCGGTGGAAGATATACGAAATTCATTACGGATGAGAGCCGCACACTGTGACGCCAGAATGTCACAAAACTGATTCGGCTTTTGTCGTTTTTTTCTCGGAAAGGTGCAACTTTAAAGCCTTATAACTTCTAAACTAATTGGAATTTTGCAAAAACAACGACTTTGCCATTATACACGCACCAGATGCTAACTTTTTAGTCAATAAAAAGAATTTTTTTTTTCGGCTGGAGAGGCCCCTTAAGCAATGTGCTCCACATAGTAAGGTACTTTCAGCAATGTGCCCCTTGTAAGAAACTTAATCCCCCAATACTGCCTATTGTTAGATATTTCTTCCTTTCATATTCACAAATAACAATGGAAAATATGTTAACTTTGGAAAGACAATATATAAAATAGGTTTTTCCCGAAATACAAGGCACTTTTTTAAGGGTTTTTTTCATTACTGTCCCACAGTTTTCATTTTTCAATGTAACATGAAATGGGAAAGGTTCTAATAACTTTTGTAGTGCAGCAAACATAATCAATTTTCTTAACAGCAAATAGGAAACCAAATAAGATGGTAAAGAGAAATAAATGCAACACAGTGTAGCAATAAAACATGAACATCTGAACATCAACAGAATACATACTTTGACCCAGAACAAAACAAGATTATGCAATTTTGAAAAATTAAGGTATTATTAGGATAAAATAATAGAACTATTATTTAACATTGGTATAATTCAGTAAAATCTGATTTTAAAATTTTCAGGAATAAATTACTTCAAAGATGAAAATAAAAAAAGACTCTAGAATTGAAAACTTTCAACCTGGGCTAGTCAAAACAATTTATGCCCCCATGTGCTGTGCTTGCCTTTGCATTTTTCTCATAATGTACAAAGAATGAGTATATTATATTTTGAAGTTACGCTAGATATAGCTCTTTTGAATCAATATAACTGCTAAAAGAAAAAAGTTCGTTACAACAACCATTTGTTTCAAACTGGCTTAACTCTGTAGCTTTATTTATAAATACTCTTTTTACCAAAGGCTCATATCTTGCTACTCCAGAAGCAATCCAAATCATAAAAAAGGGAAATACAAACATAATTTGATACATTTTCCATCCCACTGGCAAATATTTGCAGTTCTATTCCACTTGATAGAATCTAGAACTTTTTAATATAGCTCAATATTCAGTTTCATAATATAATAAATTTTTTAAGAGCAGTGAGTAAGTAGCATAATAGTTTTAGTAAGACAGACATTCTAGATACTAATTAAAAATATGTAATTATCAATTTACATTGATACAAAAGTTTACAAAATTTTTAAAGCAAAAAAGGAAGTTTCAATTCTGAATTTGTTATTGTTTTGATAACTAAACATGCATCCTCTATGTACTTTATTTTGGCCTTTGCACTTGAATAAATCGGAACATAATGGCGTTTGATACCATGTTTTGCACTTCCTTTGATGTAAATATCTGCCATCTTTAAAAGAGCTTTCTCACATTGAATTGCATATGGAAAACACCAGTCTACCTATGCACGCTTAGAAAGTACGCGGGTTGCCAACCCCTGCTCTACAGCGTCTGCTTCATGTTGGCACCCCCAGGTAGTTGCAGCAGTTGTAAACTTGCAATGAGAAGGATAGTAAATTTTTTTATTAAACTTATGAAAGGCTTACTGGGATTTGTTCTACAGCAAGCTTTAATGGTTGATTAAGATATTCTACCAGCTTTGAAGTGGAACCATTCTTCACATTTTGCCTGATCTCTTGTTGCTTCCTCTACATATTTGACTTGCTCTTCAGTAATGGTCAAATCAAGTGTCCCACAATAATGAACTAAATCATCATATGATGATAAATTAGTTGCCTCTACACTATAAAACTGTGTTAGCACTTTTGGAAAATGGTCCAGAGAGCTAATAGGCATGTCATGGTGTGAAAACGAACTTACAATTGAAAGGCTGCTGGCTTTGGGTTGTTCTCACTGATTATAGCGAAAAATTTGGAAACTTCTTTTTCTGTTGGATGAGGAATGGGATTTGCTGGCTTTTTAGGGCGTTTTGTTTCATTTGCAAATTTTTTTAATGAAAGATCTTGAACTCATCCACAGACAAATTGATAATATGCTTCTAAACTTTTATAGTTCTTTAGCTCTTCGTTAGTATATGCACTTTTTGTTAATAATAGGTTAGCCACGATGTCTGGATATGACACGCCCGGATAGTCCTCAACAGCTCTGCTCCATGTTTTTTTTGAGTTCGTGTAGGGATCAGTGTTGTCTACCAGCTTTATCTTCTCTAAATATCTATTCTTTGCATCAGTACTCAACAATTCCAAATAATTTCTCAGACCAGCAATAATACCTCGCTTAATTGAAGTTTAGGCTGTTTGTGATGGTGTATGAATGTAGCGGCAAATATCAAGTTTGGTGTAGTGTCAAAGCAAGGTACTTACAAGAACTTTCAAAAAAGCTTTTCCCAAGATAAAAGTGCACAAGATAACTTGAATCTTTCTTCGATTTCGAGAACTACAGCATGTTTCACAGTGAACAGAAACGATAACAATTGACTAAACAGACGTTCTGCTAAGAATCAGTTGTGATCCATCATGGCGGAGATGGATTTGTCACATGACTAATGGGATTAATCTATAGGAGGACATGAGCATGTGTAAGCATTGTTTTATACTGAGCCAAATTGTACAGATGTTTCTATCTTAGTGTGGAAGAAGAAAGAAGTATTAGAATGCAAATTTCAAGCAAAACCGATTGTTGCAACAAGACCCAATCAACATTTTTGCAAAACCTTGAAAAGAGGGTTTCTTCAATCAACAGTGGTAGCATTAGGAGACTACCCCCATTTTCTCATAGGATTGATTTTGCGATTCAAAAGCAATTTAAGTAATCTTGTGTAATTGATCATCTTCTTGCTATGAACTTGCTCTTATATACAACAATTCATGCGACAGGGTCCATGCTCCCAAAAAGTAATTTGGACGCGAAGATTGTTTCTCATCAACAATATCAATGATAATGGTGGTACATGTCTGTTCTTTATCTCCACAGGAAATAATTTCGATTAAGGTCAATTAATTGGAAAATTAAACGAGCACTTACCCAAGGAAGTCTGAATTTCGATTGGAATTCTGCTTCATCTTCAATGGAGGAGCATGAAAATACATGCGGTGCATGTAGAGAAATAACAAAATAATTATGGTCATGTCCAATTGTGTCACCAGTAATTACACGAGACTTTCAAGACAGGAAAAGCTACTCTGTCATGTTGCATAACATATCTTTATAACATATATGTTTAGAGACCTAAACACAATCTGTGCTTACATACTAACACAATATACAATATGTTTGTAGATCAGAACACAAGGAGTTTTCTGATAACCTTGTGTATGAGCTTTCTGGGTTAGGCTGGAATTCACAGTTGGAGTAGCCTGAACTTCACATGTTTTGGTGAAAAAGCAATGTTGGTACAAAAAATCAAATTTATAACAAAAATTCCAAAAACAATAGAATACCTGATGTGTGACATCACGAACTTTGTGTAAAAGTACTGACACAAATTGTAACCATCCAGCTCCCAGCACATGTCTGATATTTTAGATTAAGTATCTTAAAACATTTCTTTTCACAACTATAGATATACTTGTTTCAAATGTTGTAAAAAATTGGTGTAATCAGTATTGAAAATCTGTGCATCGCAAAATTGATAGAGTGAAGCATGATCAGGGTATCAAGGATTTTTTCAGACTAAATTGATGTAATTTATCTCTCTATCATTGTGTAGAGCATGAAAAAGTGCATGTCAGCCAATTGTCATATATATGCCACTTATGATCAGCCTAAACATGTGTCACACAATTGAACATAAGCGTAAAAATAACATTGGAGAAAAAGGCAATCAAAAAGTCGGTCATATCAATTTTTGAGAAATATACTGACGGCTGCATTAAAAACTTCCAGAGGCATAAGTAAGTCCTTCAGTTTACTGCATTCTGTCATCTGCAGCTTTTGCATGGGTCCTTCTAGTTTTTCTGACCTTTTTGTGCTTTTCTGTTGCACTGGCATTTGTCAAAGCAGAATGATAAAGTCCTGCCCAAACTTCTTTTTCCATCCCCTCCAAATCATTCTTGTGACAGCGGGTAGCAAGGCCATAGTAGGTTTGCAGTCTGTCAATTCTATCAGCTGTTAGCCTACCATAGCCCCCTATTGATTTACCATCACTCAATTTCTGTCCAGCATACTTTGTTTTCAGTTTACGAAGTGCAGTTCCAAGGTGTTTTTGCACATGTCCGACACAGTCATGCTTTTTGATTAATTTTTCACCAAATGGCTTTAGGCTGGATACATTGTTGTATGCTTTGGAGTCACAATGTTTTTGCTAAGATGGCAGTAACCGCCCCTTGCAGAGAAGAAAAACCTCTTTTTGCCAGGTACCATCAAGCATCACATCACACTCTGTGTGGTCGGTCTCCTTGTCTTTTTCCTCTTTGGAAGCATCTCTTATGTTTTCTGCTACCTTATTTTTCAGACAATCTTGTATGGTTTTGAAAGTTGAGCTGTATGCGTCATGCAACATTGGGAAGGGAATGTTCAAATAAGCTTTAAAAAAGATGTCTCCCCCAATTTCCATTGCACCAAGTACAGCTCTACGTTTTGTTTCAAACCCTTTGAATTTTTGCAGTTGGGAGAGGTGTACATCTCTACCCTCTTCAAACATTACTGACACTCTACAACAATCAATGATGCTAGTCCTATCTTCTTTTCTGTTTCTTCCTTCACTTGAAGCTTGCCATATTTACATTTCTGACAAACTGCAGTGATATCCAGAAGTGACTGCAGAAATTCCATACCTATGGTACGAAAGCCTTCAGATTGAAAGTCTTGGATGTCCTAAAAAGAAAAAGAAATTACTAATAATATGTTCCTTTCGCAATATACGTTATATTTTTGTAAGTTTATGTTCTTGAATATGAATGAATTTGAAATAGCACTGTCCAGGTAGTAAATGATAATACAACGAAAAGAGAACAGCAGATAACACTGGGTTATGAAATTGTACGTTGACATCCAGGGGCGGTTCCAGGAAATTTTTTGACCAGTGCTCAGTTTAAGGGACCACACCCAACAAATTGACTACGCCCATTTTGGTGGCGATGTTAAGTAGCGTATTTTTTCCAATCAGTGTCCCTCTCTAATGCACGCCCCTCTTTTGAGCAAAATTTCTCTAATCAGCACCCACTCTCCAATGAGCTCCCCCCCCAAATATTTTGAAAACATATAGTAACCAGCAAATCTTTACAATAGTAATCAGTTAAAATATATTGAATAAAACCTATGCTGTTTCAATTTGGAAAATCTTCTGCAACTACTGACAGAATTACATAAAAATACATTTGAAGATATTGACAATTTAAATATTCAAGATGCCACACCAGTATTTATGCAAGTCTACTAGGATTTCGACTCAGATGAAACTGAAATCTTGTAATGATTATGCCTAGAACAGGTGTGATTGATTTTTATAAAAACAATCATTGTTTAAATTCCAAAGCTTAATTTTTTAGTGGTGGATTTTTATCTTTTTCTTGATACGCCCCACTCTCTAATGGGGCCAGAAATAGGATATAACCTCGTTGCGATAACATCGTAACTTTTTCAAAATACCTTTCTTAGGTTAAGAAAGTCTCGACGACAGTTTTGCTGAACTAAAATGGTACCAATTTGAGTATTTTAACTCTCTGTTGAATAATTGCTTAAATAAAGTCTTACGTGTCTTTCACTGTGCTTTATGATATTTGAGGTACCTTTTTTCATAACCTGTATTGCCTTTCCCTTTTTTAAAACTAGCTTGCATATCACAAAGTTTTAGCTCACTAAATTGCTCAGCGATGCTGCCATACTTTATCCAGAGAGTTTCCAGAAAATGAGCCGTTCATTTGTACCGATTATTAGGAATATTGAAATCACAAAAGGACATTACATCTTTGGCTGGCATGTTCCCAATACCCAAAATAGCCCCTCCCCTGAGCAAATTGCTAAGGCATTGAGTAACTTTATGAACCCTAAAATATTGATAAATATCCCTGGCTTATGGTGCATTAACGAATATTGTATTTTAGTATTCAAAAATTGCCTGTCCGTTATAAAATTCCTGCCCGTGTTTTTAGGGAAATCAGAAAAAAACTGACTTCTTCCTTTATTGGCCCTTCTATTTACTTTTCAGGCCTACAATAGGAGAATTTTTCCCTATGTAAATCTACAATTTTAAAAGAAAAACGGATTTCTTGCTTTTCTGAACAGATGCCCTCAGTTGTGCTACAAGTACTTGATTAACGAATGTGGCCTCGTATATCATATAAACCTCAATAAAAATTTTTCCCAACGGTTGATTTTGGGCGATTTTGAGTCTGTTATAGAGAAAAAAATTCTGAACTGGATGGTGGAAAATTCGCTTTTCTACTATTTTTTTCCGAATTGACCTTGAATTGAACGCTCCACGACCTAACTATTTCTTGTATGTGTGCTATTCTTCTGTCATTACCTCTCTGTCTTTTCTTATTCTCATCCAAACTGGCCTATTCACTCTGCAAAATGAGTTGAGAACAGTTGGATGACCTCTTGGATGAAGAATGCAATGTCCTCAATTTTTCACCTGGGATTGATTCTTTCCAGCGTTTTTCTATAATATTTGCCAACTTCTAAGATGTTGGTCATCCACTTCATCATATTTTTGATCATGTTCCTCGTTCAAATCATCAAGAAACTCACCTCTATGTTTGTTTGCAACCTTCCCTGCATCCTTGTTGTTTGGTGCTTGTTGGTTCTCCTTTTCACATTTTTGTGACAAATGCAAAGGAAATTTTTACGATGTCTCTTGCTGTGAAAGCATTTACTTTTATCATCAGAGAAAAGGAAGACAGGCTACTGCTGGAATTTGTGTCATTCTACAACTGACCTCTACGGGCATGCACCGCCTATCTCATGTAATTACTGGTGGTCTAATTGGAGATGACGTAGAATTAATGTCATACTGCTTGTTGGTGAACTTTCTTTAACAATGGCTCTTCTTATTTGGTTGTCTCTGCTCCTTATCAATTCCTCTACCTTTCCGATACACCAAAACCCACATAGTGTCTTGTCTTCATGTACTGTCACAACATCTCCGACAACAATATTAGCCTCTCCAATATACGATGCAATAAACTATTTTCTCCTCTGTAATTGCCTACCAAGATTCTCTTTTGTAACATCTTTCATTTTTCTATCTAATTATAATCTCTCTAATTATAATCTCGCAAAGTCTCTAATTATAATTGAAAATGTTGTCCGCTATTTTTTGCCGGTATTTTTTGTTGCTGTTTGTCTGCATAATTATTTGCGCCAAGCAGAAAATGCTGTCTATTGTCCGAATGGTTTTGTCAACTCTGAAGATAGCAATGGCTAAATTCTACCGGGAGAATGGCGAAGATTGGTTGCATCTGAAGGAATGTGTTTGCAAAACATTCAAAGAGTTTAAGGTCCCTCCATACTTCAAGTGCAATAGCCATTAGCAAGATAAAATAAGGAACTAAGATAGTCTAACTAAAACCCCTGGATTTACCTCCCTTTTCGCATCCCGATTCTCAATGGAACGGGCTCTGTTGTCTGAAACAAGGCCACGTTTGACAAGAGCGAGCCTTGCCAAGGCGAATGAGCCGTTGCTCTTACGTTTCTATCATGTTTTAGTACGGTTTCTAGCAACTTTTCCTTCATCAACTTTTGTGTTTGTATGCCCTTTGCCGAGGAGACATTTTTAAAAATTTTCGAACTATTGTTCAAGCGCTCAAACAATGAGTTCTATTGACATGCATAGCTGAGAACAATAAACTTGAGGCTAAAAATAGATCATGAATAGATCAAAATGGTCACTTTGCCTTGGGAAAGGGCATACAAAATCATGCAAAGCACGAAAATTGGCAAAGGAAAAGTTACTAAAAACCGTCCTAAAACATGATAGAAATGTAAGAGCAACGGCTCATTCGCCTTGCCTAGGCTTGCTCATGTCAAAGGTGGTCTTGTTTCGGACAACAGAGTCGGTTCCAGCGAAAATCGGGATGCGAAAAGGGAGGTAAATTGATGGGTTTTAGTTAGACTATCTTAGTTCCTTATTTTATCTTGCCATTAGGAATGCTTTGAAGCAATACTTATACAGCAAAACTGGCCCTGTACCATGTCAATTAGCTTACATTCAAAGAGTTGATGACGAATAAACTCACACAGCATCTTCTAATAATTGATTTTTCAACAATTTATAATCAGGAAAATTTGATAATTGAGCAAATAATTTTTTTAAAAAGTAATCTCTATTGAGTAAAAACATGTTCTAATTTGGCTCTATAGCAACACTCTGACTTCTCTCACTTGTATTTCCAAGTGCTGATACAACAGGCTGATCGGGTGAAGGTGCATTCCATGCTGGTTGGTGCATTCCATGCTGGTTCGTGCATGCATGAACGATTGCTGTTGCTGCTCCTGCATTTGTATATCAAATATAATATTTTGTATTTGATGTCACGCAACATACTGATTTCGGGGGTTGAATTTATTGATTTCTAGTACACCATCATTGCAAAATGGTAGTTTGATTCCAAGTACAAATTGGAATCAATTGATGACTTATGACCCAGCGTTAATATGAACACATCTGTGTCTGGACTTCAAACAACAACATTGCTGTGGTTCACCCAGAGGTGTTTGGCATGAAGCAGAAGCCGGGTATCAGCCTCTTCTTGGTCAGTATACAGCTCTTCTACTTCAGCTACATCGACGGTATCATTTTCATCTTTGTGAAAACAGTGACATTGTTTGCTTATGTAACAAACAGCTCTAATCTGCCAATCAAATCCTTCAGTAAATTTAGTTGCTTACAGTGCCTAAACAGAACAGCAGATATCAGTGGCAGATCCAGCACGAGTTTGAAGGTAGTAACGAATAGAGGGGGGGGGGGGAGTTGTGCCAAAAAGGAATGAGAGGAGTGAGAAAATTTCTTTACAACATTTAACGAAATATGCTTGTTTTACAATGCCTGCCTTATGCTTTCAAAGTTAAAAGATGAAATTTTCTATCTTGCTTTTCTGTTGAAATACCAGCTATCCTAGACAAAAATGGGGGTTTCTAATTTGTAACAGCAATAGTTTAAAGTTATGAAAAACCTTACCTGAAAGTAAATTTAATGAGAGAATCCTTGTTCTTTACCAGAGAGAGAAACTTTTTAAACTGGCACGGAATATTGTGGCTGGCATTCAATATCTTCGTCTGGGTTGTCCCTGCTCCTGTCAATTTGTCTCTTCACGGGTCTTAATGCTTACATCAGGATAAGTACCGTTTACTCGATCAACTGTAGTTTAGGTTTGCAACATGTGGCTCAACACAAGTCTTAAAAAATTTTTTCGGTATTTTTTAATGAAGTTTATTGCGAGGTAAAAATCTTAATCATTGACTTTATCCTGCCGAAACCTTTTATGCTCTGGGAGGACAATCGAGTTTCTTTGCTTTGGCTTTACTGCCATTTCTATGGTGCTTTTCTTCGCCTGCAGCCATTTTAACTTGCGGTATGGTAGGGTGGCAGTATCAAGTTGGTTTTCATTGTCATGGTTGGTTGTCAAAGAATTTTAATCATCAGTTTCCTTGCTGCTACTACTTGTGTTTATCAAGTTTTCCTTCTTGGCTTCGGCTCTTCTTATTTTCTCTTCATCACACAAATGCTTGTAGCAAGTATTGTGATACTACCACTCAAAGTTATCTGAATTGATCTGTGTGAAGAATTCTTGTGTGAAGAATTTGTGGAAGAATTCTGCCGCGATTGTACTTTCTTCTGGAGAACAGGCTCTCTTTGATCGCGACGATTCGGCCAGGTCTTCCAATTTGCTGAGGGTTGTTTTAGGAAGTGCTCCACACAGACATCGCGGCAGAATTGCTTCCAGTCCACCACTGTGTGCTCACTTTTAATGTCTAGTTCTTTTAGGACCTGCTTTTGCCACAGGCCACACGTTCATCCACATTCTAGGCTCCAGAAATATGTAAGAGCTATTATTTGCCAAAACTGGAGCTTCGAGCCTTCGAAAAAACTGCCCTTCTGCACTTTAAATCTTCTCCGACATTCTGGGCACCGCTTTGTCACTCTATCTAGGGATCTATTGACGGCACCCTCGGTACATTCTATGTGACAGTTCTCGCACAACATCCTTTGCGCAAGCAGCCCATTCAGGCGACACCAGGAAAGTGTGTCAGACAAATTCACATCAGACTTTACTCCAAAATGAAATATTGTCCTTAGTTTAAGAAATATTGTCCTGAAAAGATGGTAAGAAAGTGTCTATTAAATACATTCAAATAAAGGGAAAAAACAATTTCCTAAACTAATTAAATGCATTGTACAATTATAAACGGTCTATTTAATTTATTAAAAACGTTGCAATTTTATTCTTTAAAAAGTCTTTCAACAATGTTACAAATTTTCTGTATATACTACAGTTTCTTATGTTTTCTGGGAAAGAATTTAAGAGTCTTGTTGAGTTATCCTGGGAGGTTCCGGTTTCTTTTGGTGTAAAAAGTGTTTTAGCTCTACTTGATCGAAGCTCTTTGGGGAATTTTTTCTCTCGTCTAGAGGCAAGTATGTTGGCTAGGACTTATCATTAATCGCTTTAAATGCAGATTTGGGACAAGACTACAGCAGTAAAGGGAGACTTCATCTTCTTCTTGTTCAAGGGTATTCTTTATCAGCTTGTCACATTAACTTAATGAATTGAATAGCAATGCATCTGCTTGCTCTAGCTTTCTTTTCTTTCTTGCTGGTGTAGAGCACACAGAGCTGGCTATAAAATTGACCTCCACTCCCTGAATAAGCTGCAGCAACAATGCTCTCTGTAACTTGGTTGGCTGTCTTCTCTGCCATGAACAGCATCTGATCGAAAAATTTACACTTTGCAAGAGAGGATGGGGCTGCTTCTCACCTGCTCATTTTGTTCCTATATCCAGGCATTTCTTTAATGTGTCTTTTAGATTTTTATAATGTTTTGCAGAAATTCAACTAAGATCAAAATTAGAAACATTATTGCTTTTAAACAGCTTGCCTACAAAATCCACACAAAATCGGATAGGGCAAAATTTCATGCTAAAAAAGTTCTCATTCATTTATATACTGCCTTGTCAAATGCTAAACAGTAAAAAAGGTCGATCAAGAATATTTGGGAAAAAAAGTAAAGCGATGGAAAAAGAAGGACTCTTCCGTGAAAATATTCTTTCGCCAAAAATCAAAGGCTGAAGCAGTGGATGTGCCACCTGAGGATAGAGATGAAGTGAACGATGAAGACGTCAATAGTGTTGATTGGTCTGATGTTAAGGTTGTGGATAACAACAGCAGAGGCAACTCTCTCTTGTTTGTATATCAAACAGAATGGCTTCTCCGAAGATATGGAAATGAATTGGCTTTATTAGATGCTACATACCGCACGACACAATGCACGCTTCCACTGTTTTTCTTGGTGGTCAAGATGAACGTTGATTATCAGGTTGCTGTTGCATTTGTCTGCAAAGGAGAGTCGACAGAAAACATTGCTGAGGCAATGTGTACAATACGAGAATGGAATCCCCACTTCATGCCACATTATTTCATGACAGATTATCCAAATGAAGAGATAAAAGCAACTGAGCAGGTTTTTCCATGTACAATAAGTAATCTAATAGTCTTAGCTATTTTTAATAGTACTTTATTTTGAAATGTTGAAGATACAGTGTTTTAGATATAAAATCATGCATGTTAGGTGACAGTTCTTTTTTGGTGTCAAGCAGAAAATTATATTTCCTTTTTGTGAATTTCTTATCATGCTTTGTCATGATATTTTTGGCTTGCAAAAAAGTATTATTTTCAGTTTATATAAAAAATCCCAATTCCTCAAAAAGCTAATTCTTCTAAATTAATTTCTCAAAGGTTATTAATTTTTTTGTTTGGGTCACATTTATTTGTGGTATCCACCAGGAACAAGCTTGGGATCGATGGTTAAGGAAAACAAGAAACGGTTGTGTGAAGGTAAGCAAAGAGGTGCTGCAGATGCACATTGGGCTGAAATAGGAGGTCAAGGGGACATTTGGGTTTTGGGCATATCTGACCAAAATTTTCTGACAAATAGCTGTCAAAAAAGGTGGGAAATGGTAATTTGAGCATTTGGAAAGCCCTTGGGTAAAAATCATTGTCATTTTATCACTTTAAGGCCATTCACAACTAACCATAAAAGGTTCATAAAGATTCCAAAATTTAGTATTTTCGTCCAGGCTACCCACTTATTCTTTAGGTTTCTAGTTCCAGGGTTGCCAATCGTAGGGATTTCTACCTACAGTAGGGATTTTTTGCCTTTTGTAGGTTGTAGGGATAAACCTACGAGATAAAATGCAAAATGTAGGTATAAATCGCTCAAGTTGTAGGTATAATCAAGATTAAAGAATTTTTTTAAGGTAAATTTTTGCCTTCAGTGCAAGACAAATGGTGTGACCCTTTAGTTTACAATGGCTGCATTGAAATCGCTCTCGAACTTTCATGACCATTGGATCACTCTTGTCCCAGAGTCTATTGATGCAATCAGATAGATTATCAAACTGACTTGTCTTTCCACTCTTGTTTATTCTATTGTTTAACCTGTTTTTCCATTTCAGAGATGGATTCAGGCTTATGGCCAAAACAGGCTTCTCGTTAATTTTAACACAAACAATGGCACAGAACGTCAAAATGAGTCACTGAAGTACCAGTACCTGCAGAGGCACTTTAAAACTTTGCTCACTGTAATGCTTACAGTACTCACTGAGTGATTCTTCACAGATAAATTTAAGAAGTAAGTATTCAGTTAATCAAATTCAAAGCTTTATTGCTATTGAATAAGGTTATGTTCAATATTTTGTGATATAAGAAACTTCATATGTTATATAGCGTTGTATATCTAAAGGGACATTGAACACATTACTGACAGTTATAGATTGCATTTCAAATGCAGCTTATGAATTCTGAGACAAAAGTGTTAAATTTGAGAAGCATTGCACGACTTCAAGCAAATTGGAAAGCGCTTTTAATGGTCTGATGTGGTTGCAAATGTCATCTGTGCTTGAAGGTCATGCTGGCCTGTGGATTTTTTATTAATTGCAAACAATATTTACTCGATTTCAATCTATTCTAATAATTTTTTCAAATGCAAATTGAAAGATTTTGTTCTCAATGCAGGTATTGCGATGCTAATATAAAGATGGATTCATCATATCGATGCTATTCCGACAACACTCCGAAATATTTGATGAATTGACCAAGCAGCTTCATAAACAGTTACTTAAAAAAAACGGGACCATGCAAGTGACATTCCAGCATCCTATATTTCAATGCAAAGCATGGGTAAGTTTGCAGTCACAAGCATATCAAGAAACACACTACTGGAACAGTGCCAATAAAGTTTTTAAAAAGATACAGCGATGCCAAATTGTACTTGTTATGATTGGAGACATTCTGTATACCTCTGCAAGAATTTTTTGTAGTATTTCCAAATTGGTCATGCAAAGCATTATAGCCTGTATATCGCAATTCGCCATTCATGACATTTGACAAAGAAATTCAGCAACACAGGTCCCGTGAAATTTTGCAAAATTTTGAAGACCCTGAGCAGCCTGATTTCCAAAATGACCAAGACGTTCTTCCTTATGAATTAGGTAATGATTCATCTTCCAGTCAACAATCTCCGAAATTGTGGGAAAATGTTATGGGCCACTTTGTCGCGAGACTCTAGATGAAATAAGGAGGCTTACTTTCCTTGTGCAGGAAAGAAGAGACTCATGAAACTCTGACCACTTTAAAAAGAAAACTTTACGCTGTTTGTTTGACAGAGAAGAGTTTGCAGTTGCTACCCACAAATAACTGTAGAGATGAAAAAAGAAAAAATTAAGGCTTTCACTCCAAAGTTAACAAATGAGTAAACATAAGAGCCAACAGTTAGATCAAATGGTATAGAAGAGAGATCAGACGGAAGAAACAAAGAATTTTAAAATATATGATAGAGAAATTATTGCTATTACTGAGGAAGGGGTAGTTGATGTTATCGACATGGATTGGGTAACAACGTTCGTTTCAACAGTCAAAAATTGTGCTGCAACAGTAGAGGACGCTTCTGAAAGATCATCTGCTCAAACCGATGACAGTGTTAAAACTACACTGAGTCATAATGAGAAGTCTTTTATGGGTGATCCTCTACGTTGCAATCTCACACCAAAGGATCTATCTGCCTTTCTGAAAACAGAATGCGAAACGACAATGTCATTAATGTTTTTCAAAAAATGCTTGGTAGAGATATCCAAAATGTATTCGGATTGCAAGACAAAGTTTTGGAGCAAATCTTTAAATTCAAATCCATGCCAAATACACCTTTTGTCCAAATCATTCATGATGACAGATTTCATTGGTTGGCATTAAGCACATATGGTTGTCAGGAGGGAGAAGTATTTTTATTGGACAGCCTTTTGTCGGGTATTATAACACAAAAGGTCAAGCATCAAATCTGTCAAATAATGAAATGCCCATCTGATACCATCGAAGTAAAAATTGCTTCTGTTCAGCAACAAAGTAAAGGAATTGATTGCGGTGTTTTTTCAACATAGTATTCGTCCAAAGCATCCTCCTTGGAGATGACTTTCCCTCGTCAGATATGACCAACTCAGACTGTGCTCACATCTGTTACAATTCTTGCTACGAAACAAGTTGTCACCATTTGCATCAGCACTGGCTACAGTAAAACGATGCAAAGCAAGAACCATTGAGATTCAAGTACAGTGTAATTGCCGCCATCTATGGCTAAAATCAGATGACAGGATTTTTTCAAGATAATAATTTGATAGCAAACTCTTCATGCTAAGAGTATGATGCTAATTTACAGTGGAGGCTGAAATACACGGTACTTTTACAGTGAATATTCAAACATGGCCGCAAATGAAGGTTTTCTCATGCACTTTGTTGGCAAATGAGGCCTGGACACCTCCCTAGAATGAAAAGCTAGCAATTGTGCTGCTTATACCCTGTCAATTTAAGAACAAATAAAGAACAATCCAGAATAAGATTTTATAAAAAATTAAGAACAGTCCACCTGAACGTAAATTAACTGGTTCTTATAAAAAAGTGTGTAGTCTATACAACCATGTATCAAGCTTGCGGCCCTGTTTTGATGCTTGTACTTAAGCTGATTTCACACTGAACGCGTCATGGCGCGCCGCGTCATGACGCTGACCAAATATGGTTTGCATTAATTGCTGCTATGCGCACGCATCACGTTTTTTCAGCCATGCGTCACAAAGCGTCAAAGTTAAATAAATTTAAATAAATACATTTAACTTTGACGCTCGGTGACGCTCCAGAACAATAGTAAAGTCAAGAAAGATGGCAGCTAAAAACATAAACAAAGAACTTCTGATTGAAGCTGTTCGGAAATTACCGTGCTTGTACGATACTAGCAAAAAAGAGTACAAGGATGAGATTGTCTGAGAGAATGCCTGGAAGACTGTGTGCCAATAAATTTTTAAAGAACGGTATGAAAGTGCAAAAGAACTCGGCGAAGGTTTGTATTTTCTTGATGTTTTTTTATTCAACAGAATTTTGATTACTTGAAAACCTGTTTTTTTAAACAAGTTCGTCGATTTTGAAAGTCAATGCTCATCTTTAAGCAATATTATATCTCAAACGAAGGAAAATATTTTTAATTTTGAGCGGCAATTTTAAAAAAAGTTTTGCTTCAATCAAGTGATAGGATAGTTCTTATAAAATATATCTAGTTGAAAGTATCCATCATTGACACACTGTTTTTTCTTAGATATGAACCTTGCTCGGAAAACATTTAAAAGCTTAAGGGACAGATTTATGAAAGTGAGAAAGGAATACAAGCCATCTGGGAGCGCTGGTGGGGAACCAATAGAACCAACATGACCATTCTTCAAGCAGTTCCTGTTCCTTGTCCCCTTTATGAAACATAGAGAAACAAGGAGAAATTTTGTTCTTCAAGAGCGGGAAGGCCATCAAGAATCATCAAAAACCAAAAGCACCATTGATACCAAATGTCTGATTGGGGAAGCAAGAAAAGGTAACGAGCCAGCATTCCAAACTTCGGATAGTACCGTTACCCAAGATTGCACAGAGGATTCTTTTGTAGAATTACCAGCCTCTCCGCTTTCCTACGAGAGTGCTGTGCCTAAAAATGATAGAGCTGCAGCTGGATCTCCTGTGGCTCAGTTGGACTTTCTACGAGAAAGTACCCGACCAAAAAACCCCAAACGCCCCAGACAAGAAAAGACCCCTGACAACAGCCAGTTTTTGATGAAGGTGATTGAAAACACCAATCAGTTCATTTCATCGGCTAGCAAAAGAGAGGAGCCAGAGGAAGACGATCTTTACGGTCAAAGTATAGGAAAAGAACTAAAAAGATTGGCGACCTATCAAAAAAGTTTGGCGAAATTGAAGATTCAACAAGTTTTGCATGAAGTACAGTGGAGCACTCAAGAATAGACTCCTGACTCATAGTAATCTGGCTGCTTGGTGTGGCAATGTTATAATCCTGATTTCCTTTGTATCAATCATTGTTGACAAATAATTAAATATTGACTCATGACTTCACGTTGTTCACATCTATTTTGAATACAGTATTGCGTCAATGTGCCTTCCGATAAGATTAAAGAAGCATACTTTGGTTCGCAACTCACTTAATCAGTGACTAGACATATATATTTGTTTGTTTTCAATTTTCTTGCAAAGAAGGGGATTCTAAAAAATAGGATACGCAAATGTTCATTATAAAATCCTTGTCCTTCAAGCATAGAATGAACTTTATTTAATTAGTTTGAAGTAGAAACACGATTTTTTTAGTTTTTATCCTAGAGTTCTTTTAAGTTAAAAAAACATTTTGTTTCCAAGTAGATTTTTTTTAGCAAAATATGATGCAAGAATGAGCCATGAAAATCAGCTACAGCAGTCTAACTTTTACAAAGTTTCTGCCTTTCTAACTCCTTGAAATACATAATTCTAGGATGGGGGCTACAAACCATCACTTTATGACCAAATAAATGATGCGAAACATACTATGCTGTTTAATGCTAAGTAGCCAATCCCCTTTAAAATGCAAGAAAAAAAGAAAATGATGCCCATCACGGCTAGCCAATTGTTCTATCTAACAAATAGCTCTTTGGAAAAAGGGTCCCTAATCTGAAAGATGTCATAGGCCCCTCAACCCCTCTCTATATATGTTACACCCCTTCATCCAAGAAAGTTGAATTTTAAATTAAGAAGGCCCCTCAACATAAAACGTTGCAGAACTTCTTTCAGAAAAATCGATTAATTTCTAGAAACTTGACCATGTTATCAAAATATTAAAAACATTAGACATAATATTCTGTTAAGAAACTGGATCGTAAGAAGTTCTGCGAATATAATCATATTGCCATGGGAGTTCACCTTGAGGAGAAAGAAAATAATCTGCAAGCAAAGATCTATAATATTCTGCAGCTTTTGAATAGTTATTTGTCCCCATTTTGCCAATATTCTGTAGAGCTCCAGATTCTGACACTTCATTTCGCCAAGTGCCCTTGTGAAGAATTCCATGTGAATCTTCGTAGTCAGTATAACCTACTGGGCAGTAAAAACGACCGTAAACTTGCTGCGTGTCTTCATGTTTCTTGAGCCAGTTGTGAAGAGCAACCGATGCCAAAACATTTTTAATGGCTTTTTCTGGGTGAGCCTGTATTGGTGATCTTAGGAATCGCCATCTTGCTGAAAGGATCCCAAAAGCGTTCTCGACCACTCTCCTAGCTCGAGAGAGTCGGTAGTTGAAGATGCATAATTTCTCTTCAAGGTTTCTTCCAGGGTAAGGACGCAGTAAATTATCTTTGAGAGGAAAAGCTCTCAAATAAAAGAATACATTTGTATCAGTGTTTGGCAAGTGACCATGAACTGGAATATTCAAGCATCCTTTATTCAAAGATTCACCAAAAGGAGAATTATTGAAGACACTAAAGTCAAATTGACGTCCAAAGTCACCAATGTCAACAAATGTGAACATATAACTCGCATCAACCACTGCCATCAATACTATACTGAATGTACCTTTATAGTTAAAAAAAGCACTGCCTGAGTTTGGAGGACAGTTAATTACGCAGTGCTTGCCATCGATAGCCCCCAAACACAAAGGAAAACCCCACAAATTCCAAAAGTCTTCAGCCAGGCGTTTCCAGTTTTCAGGAGTGTTTGGTTGGGCCACAGAAAGAGGGCTCAGTGCTTCCCAAATTTTTTCTGGCACCTCGTCAAGTATTTGGCATACTGTAGACCTCCCGATGCTATAATTGAATGAAAGTGAAGCTTGAGATTCTCCAGTTGCCAGGTATCGTGAAGCTACTGCCATTCTTAACTGTGGAGGCAACGGCTTCTGTAAGTTTGTTGTCTTTCTGACCAAAGATGGGCCTACAAGTCCAAGCAAATCATCGAATGTTGAAGGAAGCATTCGGAAATAATTGAAGTACATTGAATGGTCTTGTACCCTCATTTCTTGAATCAGGTTATCATAATGCCCCTGACGTTCACGCTCCTTACATAATTTTCTTACCCAAACCGAACGCCGTTTCTTTCTTTCTCTTAATAACGTTAAAGCAATAGCTTGGTTTTGTAATGCGAGAGCAATAAGCACATCTTGCTGATAGGAAGCCATTTTATCTAACTAAAAACGCATGACGCGACGCTTCGTGGCGCTTTGTGTGTGAATAGCATGAAAAAGTACTTGACGTGAGGCTCGATGATGCTCAGTGACGTGCCGCGCCGTGATGCGTCCAGTGTGAATTCAGCTTTAGGCACAGTTCCGTTAGAAGGGAACAGTACTTCTCAGCTTTACGGGCAGCGTTTTATTAAGGTTAGTCTCGAACCCAACAGTTAATTCGATGACATACAGACAGTTGGAAGCAGTTTTGATTAGCATGTCAGGACAGAATGAATCGCCAGTTATGATACACTGTGATTAGAAAGCAGAAATGTCAGCATATATGAATACATCTCGGATACAATAAAAGGATAATGCAATGAAGTGCATTGCAGAGTTGTGCCTCCAAGTAAAACGCCCTTGCTCAAGGTATTTGTTGCATCCATCTACAATCTGAAGAAATGATCCAGGCTGAAGACAGAACAAGCAAACTGGTGAAGAGCTAATTTTCCATTAGCAGAGGTTGTTCCTTGTGGCTAGTGTGTTGTTGAGGTACCTTATCGTAAAGTTGAAGATGTTTTTTGAAAGTTTACTCTGAGCTGCAGACCAAAGCGAAGCAAACTTTGTATAGGAATGCTCAAGCAGGAATGAAATAATGAAGCCTTGAGATGGTAACTAGGTTTTGAGCTTTTAAGTGTGTTCGTCCCTTGTAAATTTCACTGCCTTGGTGTTCTTGTATTCGTCAATCTGTATATTTTCAAAAAAATTTTCGGCTTGTTAATACTTTCCCTAAACAGAACTCTTGTGTGAGAAGCTTTGCTTTTTCTCATCAGTCTCGTTACAGCGTTTCTAAGGCAGCAATACACAGACCAATCAACCTCTTTACCTGTCTTTCGCACTTTTTTCAAATGATATTCTCGTTCCTTTATTTTCAACTTGATATCATGAGAAAGCCATGGACATTCTCGGCTCCAGATTTTTCTTTTCACAATAGGTACATGTTTGTCAACTGTACTTTTGCGGAATGGTTTGAATTTATTCCAGGCGGTACTTATATCTCTTTCAGCATAAACCTGTTCTAATGGGGTACTCTTGAGATCTTCCTTGAAGTTAGCTTCATTTTATTTTGTATAATTATGTGTGAAAATCTTTCTCCGTTTGAATTTTTGACAATTCTCTCTCACGATCACTCCCGTTAGGTCATGATCACTTGTTTTCTCATTCATGGCAATAGTGTTTTCCAATTCCTGACCCTATTTCGAACAAATGGCTTCCAAGGCTTCTCATTACGAATCCAACAGAGGGTGACAGCAGAATCCACCCAGTAATATGTATCAATATCATTCACATCTAATTCTTAATGAGAACCCATTTATTGACTCGACGAAGGAAGCCATCAAATGCACTCCAAGAAATTCTAATTTGGGAATTGTTTTTCCTGAAACTGGACAAACCTTAGCCTTTGCTAAAATTAACTTAACGCCAATTTTCCCAGATTCCTACAGTGTGTGAAAGTAAACAAATCTTGCATATTCCTGTTTGCTGGCATCCAAAAAAGCGTGTATTTGATAACTATGCGTTTTCTTGTTCTTAAGACGTATAAATTTCTGAACTGCTACCTCTTGTAACATACATAGATCTTTCATTAACTTAGCATAGAGTGTTTCTCTGTGCCTTCTAATTCTTTATCCCAAGGGATCTTTGCGACACACAAATCCTGAAACAAGATTTTCAGGTTGAGAGTGAACAGAACCATATAGCCTATGGAGTCAAATACTTTTGCAGCTACTTTTAACAAAGGCCTTTTCGTAGGGGGTAGCTCAGCTGCTAGATCTGTTATTTGCTGCACATCATAATAAAATTGATCTGACCTTAAAATCCCAGTTGACCCCTAATACCTTAGAAGTACTGCTGCCTATAGGTAAGCTATTTACAAATTTTGCACACGTTTGGTCGTCATGTAAAATATTTGAGTTCTCTTTATCTACCTTAGCCGATTCCTTCGATTCTAATTCATGTATTTTAGCACGCACTGCTGATTAATTACACTGCCATTTACATAGGTTGAAACCCCCTCTTGATTTGATTTAAAGTATCCTCGTCTTCCAACAGATTTATAGTGCCTCCGCCTAGGATTCTGCCCCACAACACTTATCATCAACATATAACTGGCCCAGAATCTTGCAAATTTTACGCTCACTTTCCTAAAACTGTGCTATGCGCTTTCTTATTGTAGCTCCTAAAATAGCTGGACTGGGTTTAAATCCGAAGGGTAGACGTGCCCACCTAAGCTGAGCTATGTCTGGATTTTTCTTGTCAACATTGTCGATCCATAGAAATCTTAAAAAATCATGGTCTTGCTTATCTATTCCAATTTGTAAAAATGCTTTCTCGATATCAGCAGTCATTACAATAGGATGAGTACAAAAACGAGGTACTTAATCAAAAATCAATAGCATCAATTTATCTCCCCGCTGTAATCAATCATTTGAAGGGAGTCTGTCCCCTATTGTGCTCAACTTTTTTTTCTCAGGAGTGAAATTCACGCATTGTTTAGCTTGATTGATAATTGAACGACTCAAACCAATCAGAGACAACTTTAATTCAAGAGCTTTTGAATCAAAGCTGTGGCTAGAAAAGTTGTTTTTCCTGTTTGGTTTGTGTGACAGATATGTCAACACCAAAAGGTAATGCTTCCAGTATCATCATTCAGTTCAAATAACTTAATCTTCTTGCCATTACTGATAGCTTTTTGCTCGCAGTTTCAAATGTTGTAATCCGTTAAAGTGGGCAGACCATTAGTTCTTATTAGCCAATCATTGAGGGGATGGACTGCCTTCAATGATCTTTTCTTACCACACAATGATGCACAATAAAGTAGGCGTTCATAGCATTTTCCTCTGCAGGGGGCACCCTTTTAATTATACCAGCATCTAATTGCTCCTTGAAAATATGACCCTATTATTTCAACAGTGCTACATCAGATTTCAGTCTTGTCCTTAATGATGCCAGGCGAGCTAAACATAGCTCATTATCTCTTTTTACTGGTGAACCGATGTCTCCTTTCCAAGGCAGACCAACTTCAATTCTCTCACCATTGTGTTTGATATTCCATTCTTTGGTCGAATCACCATTGCTTAGCTTGTTGTCACCATGTTTAATCACCATTGCTAGTAAAAGGCTTAATGGTCATTCAAATATCAAGTCATTCAATGATATCCGTTTGAGAAAACTATATCTGCGTTTATTTTTGGTGTCATTCTGAAGTTTTGCCGAACATTTAGCTCGGCAATTTACACTGGCGACAGTTGTTGTGGGATTTGAAATCTGAAATATTACTTCACCATTTAAAGGGACGTAAGTGATCACTGTACATACATTTTGAAGCTGTTTTTCCTTTGAATATACCTTGTATATAGAACTCAATTCAACTCATTTCTGATTATCATTTGGCGAAAATGAATAAAAAGAGAGCCACCAAAGTGAGGGAACTTAAACTTGAAATCATCGCTTCACCCCCACAATAAAAAAAAGACTAACAAAGAATCGTTGTTCACCTAAAAAACTTTTATGGGGAACCGGGAGAAGATATATTGAAAAGTGGCTACAAAATTTTGAAAGGGTCGCCAAAGCCAATAACTGTTCAGAAAAAAGGCAATGCAATATCTTGCCAGCATTTCTATGGGACAGAGTGGCCGAATATTATGTTGAGCCACCAAAGTGAGGGAACATAAACTTGAAATCATCGCTTCACCCCAACAATAAAAAAAAGACTAATAAAGAATCGTTGTTCACCTAAAAAACTTTTATGGGGAACCGGGAGAAGATATATTGAAAAGTGGCTACAAAATTTTGAAAGGGTCGCTAAAGCCAATAACTGTTCAGAAAAAAGGCAATGCAATATCTTGCCCGCATTTCTATGGGACAGAGTGGCCGAATATTATGTTGAGCTACATGACGGGTTAAAAGTGACCTTGAAACACTTATATCCTCATTAATGAAACATTTTATACGTAGGGAAGCTCGTAGGTGTTATTATCCTAATTTATATTGACGCAAGCAAAACGAGCTAAAATCCGTTGATGATTTTGGCCGGGCCATAAAACTGCTTGCCCATCGGCCATATGCTGAAATTCCCATAGAACATCAAGACACTCTGATGCATGAACATTTTGTGAATGGACTTAGGTCTGATTTAAAGTGTATGGTATAAATTTCGAACCCTAAAACATTCACGCAAGCACTGGTTTTGACCAAGAAGGAAGAAATCCACGAGCAAATTACAAATGGATCCACCACCTGGGTAAAGCAAAAATTTTTGTACCCAAGCAATGCTATTGTAACAAACCGGGGGAACAAAACTGGGGAACAAAATTTTAATGAAAGAATAGATCATTTAGAAAGTGTGGTTGAAAAACTTGCCATGACTCTTGCTGAGTCCTCTGTTACCAAACGCCCCAATCGTTGATTTGGGGGTAAAGGCACATATCGTAGAAGGTACGAGGAAAGGAATTCAAGGTCCAGTAACATTGCGTGCTTGTGAATAATGAGATCCCGGTAAAGATTTTAAATGCTAATGACTTTCCAGTCAAGGACCGTGTGATCTAAATGCTTTAGGTCTGTTTCCAACATTGCAGCGTGGCTATAAATATGTAGTAATTTTTACTGATTACTTTACCAAATGGCCTTCACGAATGCTGATTCTCCTACCACCGCCAAATTATTTGTTGAGGAGATCTTGTGCCGACAATCAGCTCCTCGTAAGTTGCTATTGGATCGGGGTAAGAACTTCTTAGCTAAAGTAGTGAAGGATATTTGTCAGATGGTAAACAAGTCTAAGGTTAACATCACAAGTTATCACCCAGAATGCGATCCCCTTTATTAGAGCCCAAACTGTTTATAGAGGGTTTGCAGTAGCACTTGGTGTCTATTTCATGGTTGCTCAATGACCTGGGGAAAAAATCGGAAATTAAAATATTCTGATTTTTTATATAATACAGTCTACTGTTGTAATTATGGTGATCAACTATTGCTTTACATTTTCTTGAAGGTTTCTTTCTTTGATGAAGATACTTTCTCATACAACTTGTGAGAAAGTACGGATTCAACTTGAATGTTGCAGGATCAAGAGAAGGTGTAAAAAATGTCAGCATAAAGAATATGTGCAAGAAATTGGATGAATACAATGTGCAGCTTTGGCGAAATTCTCTCGGATGACGACAAAACAATATACTTGTCATGCTGTTTCTCTAGAAAGGAGCTGTATAACACGTATAGATCAAACAACAAGTCCTCGGATATACAGCTTTCTGGAAAATGTGGAAAAAGGACTTTAAGCATGTGGAAATTTCAAGGGTAAGAATACATGAGATCTTCTGTTTATCGAAGCTGCAACTCGTTTTTAAAGGCTAAATGGGTTTTTGGGTTTGAAAAATGTGGCCCATGACATGGCACAAGATTCTTTAGACTTTTTTGCAAGGAGTCCAACTTTTTGCCCCACCTCTATACTCTTGAAAAGATTCCATTTTGAGCCTGGATATATTCATAAAGTATTCACATATTTTTAAAATGTAGTTTTTAGAAAACATATTTCCTTGGGAAGGTTGAATAGAAAGCACGCTTTTAAAACAAAGAGATATACCAATATCAGTCATGCAATTTCCAGGTATGAACATCGCAAGACAGACAACTGCAGCAGCCAGAATGCTGAAAAATGAGACTCAAATACACAAATATGCTAGCTTTGGTGAAGCTACATTCATTTAATATTTGTAAAGATTGGGCGATTCTGTGCCTGAATATTCTTAGAAAATTCCTTATAAAACAGTTCATAGCTCTGATATGATTTTGAGGCGCACTTCTATCTCTACATATACTTGCGAGTTTACATGCAGTTGACATTCTTCATAGTAAAAAAATGCATTGAGTGAACTTTTTTAAAATTACTGTTTACTTGTCTGTCATTAAATCATCAATGCCTTCTAGCCAATTCTGTACTATATTCTTGCATTAACAGGACGATTGTAAGTTGCTGCTCTGAGTTTGAAGCTTGATGCGACCATCAGGCAACTGTTTTTAGGTGAATATTGTACATATACTTGGTATCTTTTGTTGAGATATATATTTTATATGTAAATATCTTACAGGGAAAAGGCAGTTTTACAAAATGTGGCGTCTGTGTGCTTTTGAAGGAATTGACTACTGCTTCCACAAATCCAGACAGAAGAAAAAGACTTCTTCAGAAAAAAGACAAAGTACATTGAGCAGCAACAGTAAGTTAGGCACTATAATATTAGTAATACCTATGACGTTACCAGCATATTTTATTCAGATCAGACAAAGTATTTTTAATGTCATTCTAGAAATGATAAATAAAAAATAAAAATGATAAATTTTAATATTTTTTGTTGAAATTAATAACGATGATGTTTATATCTTCCTAGAGCAGAAAGATAGAGTTACCACCACATTGCTAAAGTGTGAAAAGACCCAAAGAAAAATATCTCGATAATTTCTGAAGCCCTGGATCAATCCAAAAGTAATATTCCGCATTGGATTTCAAAATCAAAGTTACCTTTCGTTATTATTTTCCAAAAAATTAAAAAATTACAGCTGAATTCTTTATATTTAATGACAAAAAATTGTAAATTTGGTGATATTTGCAATAGGCACACCATTCAAATTTGGTGATGAATCCGCTGTACAGAGTGTTGGTAGATATTGCCACAGTACGTTAAAAAGTCAGTTTTTCTATTTTACCACTGGCAGATAGCTATGGCAGATGAGATTTAATTTTTCTGGACACGTTATCCAAATGTGTATTTAAATATTTTGAAATTATATCCACAAGTTTTATCCAGAATATCGTGTAAACAAATTTTGTCTACACTGTTGATATTTGCAACACTGACAAATATGTTTATGAACTGCTGTCTACAAAAACAAACAAAAAAGTAGGTTTACACGATTTCTGTACTTTTCTATGTTTGCCATATTCAGAAATGATTATTTTCAACAGATGTCCAGTATCCATGCATGGTTTTTTATAAAAGTACATGTAATCTTTGTGCAAATACTAACCAAAGCTATGTACTTTCCATTGAAATTTTACTCTTTTTTGAAACAGTATGAAACAGTTGTAGTTCATGGAAGCGTAGCAATATCTTAGGAATATTTCCCTCTTTTTTACAGGTTGAGATCAAAAAAAGATGAATAAGAAAACGAGAAAGTTAGGTAAGTATTTGCAGCACTTGAGCATATTTCGATACTTTCCTTCTAGTTATTTGACGGAAATCACAAAAGCTTCTACATACTTTCACGTCCATAGTGGTCCTTATTGGCATTCAACTAACCATAGGATTTTCAACTACGGCATTTTAAACAATAGATATTTCGGGATAATAAGGGCTTTCACATTGTAATTTGATGGTTTAACTTTGTAAGTGTAAAAAATCATTTTGTGGTACAAAATTTAGAAATTGGTTTGATCATAGCAAACATTTCAGTCAACATACTTTGTCAAACAATTGCCCTTATTGAAAACAATAACTGTAGTATTGACAATATTTACCCTGTGTGAATGTTTCTCTTAACATCATTATTGTTATTATTAAGTCCCTTAAATGACCAATAATGTTTGAACTTGCAAACAAAAATCAGTACTGCAAGAAAAAGAGTAGGCCAAAACTTTACTTAGCTAATAGTGAGACAAATGGAAAAGCAGACAAACTAAGTAGATAGAGCAAAAGCATTAGGAATAAGGTCAACATCTTTCCTTACAAACAAGCAACACAATGATAAACAAGTCTTGCAGAGGACCTTTAATTGAGAGGTAGTGCACAATCAATGAATTTTCTAGGAATCTTGATTCCTATTAGATCGAAAGCAACAAAATGCAACTTAAAAAAACATTGGTACAATAAAAAGAGGTCTTAAACCAATGTTTTAAAACTGAGTTTTTTGTTTCTTCTCTAGAGGTTCATCTCATTCCTGAAGAGTTGCTTTTAAACTTTGTGTAGGCCCGTCAACTTGACTTCCGTCCTCACCAAGTGGTTGACCTTGTTTCAAACCTATGTTTATTAAAAGTCTCAGTAGTTGATGTCTGAAATCAACATATAATATGAGATGAAAATGTGGTCTTGATAAACAAAAAGAGCAAAAGACAAGCGTAGTAAGTTTTCTCTATCAAAATAATCCTGAACAACCTTATGATGGGATAGCATAGACTGCCGGTCATGTGTACAAACTTTTGCTGAAGGAAAAACTAAAGCTTCTGTGCAATGCTGCTGCCTGAGATAATTTAAAGAATTATTAATATGATTTAAACCATTTAAGTACTTACGAGAGAAGATCTTGAGTTTTTTCACATCACTGTAAAATTGCAATTGCAATTTCGCTTTCTAGAAATTCATGGCATTTTATTAACAACAACAAAACACCTGTGAATGCATGGAATCCAATAAGACCTGAAAATACGGGTGACACCACACTCTCCTGTATTTTATTTATGTCAATCACCCTCCTTTAGTTTTCTGCACCAGGGTCAAAGTACAAATTGGAATCAATTGATGACTTATGACCCAGCATTAATATGAACACGTCTGTGTCTGGACTTCAAACAACAATATTGCTGTAGTTCACCGAGAGGTGTTTGGCATGAAGCAGAAGCCACGTATCAGCCTCTTCATGGTCAGTATACAGCTCTTCTACTTTAGCTACATCGATGGTATCATTTTCATCTTTGTGAAAACAGTGACATTGTCTGCTATGAGTAACAAACAGCTCTAATCTGCCAATCAAATGCTTCAGAAAATTTAGTTGCTTACAGTGCCTAAACAGAACAGCAGATATCAGTGGCAGATCCAGCACGAGTTTGAAGGTAGTAACGAATAGAGGGGGGGGGGGGAGTTGTGCCAAAAAGGAATGAGAGGAGTGAGAAAATTTCTTTACAACATTTAACGAAATATGCTTGTTTTACAATGCCTGCCTTATGCTTTCAAAGTTAAAAGATGAAATTTTCTATCTTGCTTTTCTGTTGAAATACCAGATATCCTAGACAAAAATGGGGGTTTCTACTTTGGAACAGCAATAGTTTAAAGTTATGAGAAACCTTACCTGAAAGTAAATTCAATGAGAGAATCCTTGTTCTTTACCAGAGAGAGAAACTTTTTAAACTGGCACGGAGTATTGTGGCTGGCATTCAATATCTTCGTCTGGGTTGTCCCTGCTCCTGTCAATTTGTCTCTTTCACGGGTCTCAATGCTTACATCAGGATAAGTAACGTTTACTCGATCAACTGTAGTTTAGACCCTTTACTTAGCAAATTATGATTGTAACATGGAAAAAAATTTTTTTTTGCATTTTTGCAATTAATGTCTGGTACTTTGAAATGAAAAATAAAAAATCTTAAATTTTTATGCAAATTTGCCGAAAAATTTATATGATGCCATCATTGCAGAGAACCGGTCAAGAAACACATCAATAGAAAACTCAATAGCAAATTCAAATTCAAATTCAAATTCATTGGCATTCAGCAACTAATTACAGGGTACTTAAATTAATTATTATAGTAGTTAATACAGAATATATGACATCTATTTTAGCTAATAACAAATAAGTTGCCTAGGACGCTGGGAGGAACCGAAATAGCAATTAAAATTTTTTTCGTTATTTCATGATCAAACAATATCATTTCAATGAATTTCACTGTTCTTAAAGTTTATGCCTCTGTGTGAAACTTTTTGAAGCAATTTCTGTCAGGCAACAAACATAGTGACACTTTGCATTTTTCAAAAGTCATTCTTCCGTAGGCATGGCAGACTCTGCACCATTTTTTGTCATTGGTTGGAGCTGGCCAATGTGCTATGTTGTCATAGCGAACATCTGCTACTGGTAATGGATTGCTAGGTCTTTTACCAACAGTTGGTGCACATTCTAAAGATGCCCTCTTGGATGGTCTTCCCCGTGTTGGTTTTTCTGGGCCTTTATTGGCATAGATGAGAGCCTCAGCAATTTCACAACTGAAATTCATCAAAGACTTTCTTTTTCTGGCTGGAAAACCCATTTGCTCATAGTGCCTTCTGTAAAGCAACCATGCATTAACTTTACAAATATCTGCCAGATGCCAAAATATTTTTATGTACCATCTCTTTGTCTTGGCTTCAATGCGGTACAGACTGATCAACATGTCAGCAAGATCAACACCCCCCATTTTCTTGTTGTAATGATTAACCGATTTGCTCTTATTGTTTCAATCGCCAAGATGCCTCTATCTTGGAGATAATGCATCAGATCCAAAGTAGAGAACCAGTTGTCAAAGCAAACTTTGAAACCAGCATTGGTTGGCAGATCTCTACAAAGCTTGGCAACAACTTGGGCACTCTTTTGAAGATTGTTATACTCAGTATCTTCTTCTTCTGATGCTTTGCCAGTGTATATGTAGAAGTCATACATCATGCCTGAGGCTCCGGCACGAACCAGATTTTTGAAGCCCCATTTATAAGGCTTTTTAGGATTGTATTGCCTTATTTTTGAAAACTTTTTCTCGAGGGAATAATTTGCTCATCCACAGCATTGTATTCCTCTGGCTCCACTTTACGGCATTGTTGAGTAACAGCATCAATGATCGGCCTTATCTTTGCAAGTTTGTCACCAGAATCTCATCATTGTTAACAAAGTGCAAAAACCTGCAAATTTTTTCGAAACGCTTTTGTGGCATAGCATCTGCAATTTGGGGACTTCTGAGTTGCCTTGACCAGTAGCTTGTGTATGAATGGTAATTTATTATCCCCATCATTACATGCATCCCTAGAAAAGTTGACATCTCATCATTACTCACATTTATAGAGGAGCAAGTCATTTTTGTGCTGTAGAGATTTGTTTGATTTGTTATCAAATCAATTGTCTCATCAGAAAAAACATTTTAAAATATTGGAATGCTGTCAGCTCTTTTTCATTGGGATCTAAAAAAGGTTGATTAAATGTATCCGGTACTTGAGGAGGGCTACATTTTTTCCAGCAATATGTGTGCGGACTTCTTGGCAGCACATGGAGCAGCAGCAGGGTCATCATTGTCTTCTGCATCAAGATCAGCTTCTTCTGCCTGGGATTCATTAGCAGGAAGCACATCTTCATCATCACCATCATCATCACTCAACTCTGATAGTTCTGAATCACTACCAGTTACAAGGTCTAGTGCATCAACAACATTATACCGCCGTTTATTGATTCGATCTTGACTGATCTATAAAATAAAGTTAATAAAGCTTAAAAATAAGTGACCCTGACAGAAAATGAAATGCTGAAAATGTGCAGTTTATATATATAGTTTTAACAACAATTTGGCAGGTACATTTGCCATGTTTTTGAAAATTATGGGATGATTATTATGAAATGGGCCTAAGTTTTTCAATAACTTTAATAAAAGATTTGAGTTTTTGTTCATGTTTGAGATTTTTTAACTATCATTTCTGCAACATCTTGTAACATCTAGCATAAACTACGTTTAGCTACCAAAAATATCTGTTAAAACCACCATCAATATTACGAGATTCACTTTACATAATTGACATTTTTATGACCAGTTCTTGGCAATGATTCCATTCGGCATCATCAACGAAAATATGGCCTAAAATTGTCATGAAATGTGATTTTTGAACAGAATATTTGTCAAAGTATTTACAATACAATAAAGGCCATAAAATAAAATTATGATTCAAATTACCTGAATGCTCTCCATAGTGACAAAGCTGTTATCTCTTGTAACTTGATTAGAAAGATGCTTGAAGATTTCGCGTGGTTATGTTCCTGATAAATTTCTTTCCGTTAAGAAGAGGAAGAGTCAAAGGGTTGCCTGAGATACTTCATGTAAATGGAAAGCAGAAATGACAATGTATTTGTTTGTTCAGTAAGAGGCTGAAAAAATATGGACACCTTTTGTGAATGATGCCATATGGCATCATTTCCAAGTAAAGGGTTAGGTTTGCAACATGTGGCTCAACACAAGTCTTAAAAATTTTTTTCGGTATTTTTGAATGAAGTTTATTGCGAGGTATGAATCTTAATCATTGACTTTATCCTGGCGAAACCTTTTTTGCTCTGGGAGGACAATAAAGTTTCTTTGCTTTGGCTTTACTGCCATTTTTATGGTGCTTTTCTTCGCCTGCAGCCATTTTAACTTGCTGTATGGTAGGGCGGCAGTATCAAGTTGGTTTTCATTGTCGTGGTTTGTTGTC